AGAAGCTTCAAGCGCTCATCAAGATTATCAAGGATGACGTTGACTTGAGCAATGAGGAAGAAGTTGAACTCGACATGGACCAGCTCGAAGATAGAACCGTCTTGAAGTTATACAACTTCCTCTTCGGTAAGAAGGCTGTGTCTGCTGCTAACTCCAGAAAAAAGAAGAAGCATTCGCCCGGTGGAAGCATGAGTGAACTCGAGCACTTGAGAAGTCAATTGGCGCTCTTCGAAGATGCAGACCGGGGATCCAATAATGGATTCGCAGGTATGAATGATGCCCAGGAGTCATCTGACGACGAAATGAGTTCTGAGAGCTCAGAAGAAGAGTAAGCTAACCCTACTTGTATCATATATAGCATTTGCTAAATGTATATTACTAAAGCCACATTGTTGGACGTAGCAGGGCCCTAATACCCGTTTAGGTGCGTCTACGCGAGATGCAGGACAAATCACAGCGATGAGATGGAGTCGCGATAGCGAATTTAATCGTTCTTTACCACAGCTCAACGCAGATCACTCTTGAATAGCCTTTTTTTGCTTTCGTCGAATGGAAACTCAGTACACTTCTCTCACGCCGAGACTCGCGGAGCACAACCCGTTGCGAATCATAAAAAATGCAAAATCAAAACTAGGACGTCCAGCTTTCATAGCAGGTCCTATGGTTCGGTATTCAAAACTTCCCTTCCGAGAGTTGGTCCGCCACTACAACACTGACATTGTCTATACACCGATGATACTTGCTCGTGAATTTGTTAGAAATGACGTTGCTCGAGCTTCCGATTTCACTACCAATCCTGCCGACCGTCTGGTGATTGTTCAAGTGGGTTGCAACAATGTAGAAGATCTCTTGAAGTTTGTTGAAATGATTCATCCTTATGTTGACGGTATCGGTCTTAATTGTGGGTGTCCTATCAAGGAGCAAGTTCGTGAAGGTATTGGTGCTGCTTTGATGTCTGAACCCGAACTCGTATCATCGATGGTAAAAGCGGTGAAACAAAAGTATGGGGATAAAATATGCATAGAAACTAAAATTCGAATTCATCCAGATATAAAAGAGACTTTGAAGTTTGTTAAAATGGTCGAGGAAAGTGGTGTGGATTTCATAACAGTTCATGGAAGAACTAAAAATACGAGGTCTTCGGTTCCAGTTAATCTTGATGCTATCAAGGCAGTGAAAGAGGCGGTACTGGTACCAGTGGTAGCTAATGGCGACTGCTTTTCGCTCCAGGATGCATATGATATTGCAGAATACACTGGTGTTGATGGGGTAATGGCAGTGAGAGGAATTCTTGCCAACCCAGCATTATTCGCAGGTTACAAATCTGCGCCATGGTCTGCTGTCGAGAGGTTCTGGGATTTAGCTACCAGCTATGGCCTTCCATTTCGCATTATTCAACACCATCTCTCGCAAATGTTAGAAAAGAAGATTCCCAAAAAAGTCTTGAAGGAAATGAACGAGACCACACTGTTGGTAGACATGATCGACTGGTTCGATGCCAACTTTATCTTGAGACGGAAAGGTGACGCCAATTTTGCTACACATGAAGACCCAACGTGGCGCATGAATAGAGAACAAGCAGCCCATATTTGAAGAGCTTTTCGGTGCAATTTCCATTACCCAAACCTAATATACATATTATACATTTTCTAAGAAGCTCTTGTTCTTCAATGAAACACTCTTTGTCATGTTGTTCACCTTGTAGATTCCCACCAATTGCTGTGCCAACTCAAACATGTTATTTCTCAAAGAAATAACCACAAATTGGGCATTTTTCGTACGTTCTTTGATGTAGTTGGCCACAATCGAAACATTCCTAAAATCCAACGCAGCATCGATCTCATCCATCACATACAATGGTGTGGGCTTGTATTTATGTAAGGCAAACACCAATGCAAGAGAACTCAAGGTCTTTTCTCCACCAGACAAATTTGAGATGTTTCTCCACGACTTCTTCGGAGGCATGACACTAAACAAGATACCTTCGGAGAATGGATCCAAACTATCCACAAGTTCTAGTTCTGCATTTCCACCCATCGTAATCATTTGATACATTTCTTTCAATGAAGTGGATATGGTATTGAAACCTTCCATGAACTCATCGAGTCGACGCTTTTTAAGATTCTCGCAGAACTCGCTAAGATCATTTCTTTCCTGGACAGCCACATTTAAGTCGTCCCGGCGCTCTTCATATTCAGCCCTTCTTGGCACCGTATTCCTTTAAAATTTCGATGTCCACTTTCACATTTTTTCATGTAATCTTCGAGCTCACTTATCTCTTGGTTAATGGAATCCATGTCGAGCAGAGCAAGCTCGTCCTCGGGTAAGTAATCAATGGCAGCTCCGTCATATTGCTTGCGCTCAGACTCTTCTAGCCATCCAATATACTCTGAAACATCACGAACAATCAATGACTTGAGTTCCTCTTCATTCGTCTTAATTCCATGTTTCGTCCGCTTTATAAATCCATTCACTTTTTCCAACTTATTTTCGATGTCAATTTCCTTCGACCTGAACTCATTTATTTGCAGCATCCACTCTTCCATTTGAATCTTGACTTTCTCACGCTCATCTTCTTTGGCCTCTTTCTGTTCGTTTAGCAGTTCTACCTGTTTTGAGATATCGTTGAGCTCCTCGGTGACCAGTTCAAGTTGACCACGAAATGCTGTGAGCTCGTCTTCTGATGTTTTGAGCTCTATCTCCGAGCTTTCTAATATCCTAGTATGCTTCTTGATTTCATTCTCGAGCTTTTTGATTAACATACGATCATTAGAAATTTTGTCATTGATAATCTCAATCTTTTGTCTGGTTGAGTCAACCTTGGAGCTTTGTAATCTCAACTCAACTCCACCGGCCTCCATGATCTTTTCTTCGAGCATTGTTACCTCAGCTTCCATGCTGGCCATCTGTGACTTCAATTGATCTCTCTCTTCTTCGAGCAGTTTTCTCTTAGCTAACTTGGAATTTAGCTCCCTCTCAGCATCACTGCTCTGTTCGCTTTTCTCGTGCTCACTAATAAGATTTTTGCATATCCTCAGGATATCCTTTTTCTCTGCAACTAAGGATTGAATATCAAGTTCTAGCCTCGATATAGAAAACTCCGTTTCTGGCTTCAAGTCTTGTAGCTTTCTCAAATTGATTTGCTTTTCCTTAAGTTCTGAACGTGCCTTGTCAAATTCGCCTTCAAGAACCTGAAGTTTATTGCGCAATTCTTCAACCTCCTCCTCTGTGACATCTGCCTGTGTAGACTTTTTAGCTGATTCAAGTTTCATGGCACCTTTTGCAGATACTGTCCCACCACCAGACATAGTACCCGAGGTATCGACAACTTTACCATCCAAGGTAACAACTTTCCATCTTTTCGCCCCATAAGCAACTTGCTTAGCCTCCAGTAACGTGGATGTCACTAAAGTATTGTAAAGTTTACTGTAAAAGGCAGGTGCAAATTTTTGATCCTGGGGAGTTATCATGTCGAATAATCGCTTCAGATTGGGAGGCACGGATATAGGATCGAGATTGAAGTTGCGGAGCTTATTCAAGCAAATGAATGTAGCATATCCTAATTTGTTCTTCCTCAAATAATCGATACACGCCTGCGCAGTTTCAACTGTTTCAACAACCATCGAGTCCAACCCTGGACAGACTGTCGAAATTGCGACATCATACCTATCATTGATGGTACCCAAATCTCCTAATCTTCCATAAAAGCCGTCTATTCTGCCCGATTTGGCCAAGCGTACCAAGCTGGTCAATACTTTGCTCTTGTTTTTGTGTGATGAGAGTGAGGTGATTGCTTCCTGTGTCTGCTGACGAACAGCAAGTAATTGTGATTGCTTTGACTCGAGTGACTTCTGTTCCACTTCGCACGCGCTTTGGCCAAGCTGAATTTGCTCCGAGATTTGATCTAATTTTTGACGGGCATTGATCAATTCCTGCTCTTTTTCTTTGCCCTCAGTCTTGATGTTGATCAACTTTTGTTTATATTCCTCGATCTGGTTTAGGGCATTCTCCTTCTCCTTTTGAAGCATATCAATTGAAGATGTCACGAGTTGTATTTCACTTTCCTTTTCTTTGAGCTGATCATTCCATGGTTCGAGCTTGGTTTGTATGGCTTCGATTTGTTTAGCAAAAACGGACGTTTTATCCGTGAGCCTGCGTCTGATTTCGTCTAATACATGCTTTTCAGATTCCAAATTTTTTGTAAGTTGGGAAAGCTCATCCTTCAAATCTTCCATGTTTTTGTTGCTCTCTTCTAGCTTTGAAGTGGAAGTGCTCAAAACGAGCTTCAGGCTTTGCTGATTTTTTGCAGCTTTCTTGATCTTATTTGTCATGTTCTTGATCTTCTCATCCCCCGATACGTAGACTTTATTGACAGCCTTACTTCGCTTCAGTAAAGAATTCAACTGATTAGAAAGTTCGTCAATAACTCTTGAAATTTCCTTCTGTAACTTTGAGCATTCTTCGATTTTGTCGGTGAGCTCTTTGTTACCTTCCTTCTCTGCCTTTAGTTGTTCCTCCAACTCTTCCCTTTTTGCCTCAACATCATTCAATTTCTTCTGATGCTCTTGGATGTTTGTCTGATATTGAATGGATTTTTTGCTGATTAATAACTTCTCTTTTGCAAGAAAGCTCAATGCTTCGTTCTTCTTTTCCTCCATCAGTTCCTTGTCCTTTTCAACAAGCTCAAATCGATTCTCTTTTTCGATACAAACGTCGTTAAGTTCGTCAGCTTTTGTCGTGTTCTCCTCGATTAAAGATTTGTACTTGGAAGTTCCAATGATATCCTCCAAATATTCTAAAAGACCATCATCGTTCTCCTTCTCAGCTTTCGCTTTCATTTGAGCAATCTGTTCGACTTCACCTTGAAGAATTAAGAACCTTTTATGGTCTAAATCGATTCCTTGGTCCTTCAAAAAGCTAGTGACCTCAGTGTAGTTACTGCCTTTTCCATTGATATAGTACTGGGAAGAATTATTCTTGTATGCTTTTCGACTGATGACAAGCAGCGAATTGGGCACCACGGTGGAAACAACTGGATCATCATTGCTGTCTATGACGTGGTTGAAGTGTATATCGACCTGGCAAAAATCGAGTTTCTCACCTCCAGCGGAATTGTGAATAAGTTCGGACAACTTGCCCTGACGCATTTTCAGAGCACGAAATCCAAATACAAATAACATAGAATCGATGACATTAGATTTTCCACTTCCATTGGGCCCCACTACCGCAGAAAAAGATGCATTGAAAGGACCAATGACTTGTTGGCCCGCATAAGATTTGAAGTTGGTGAGCACTAATTGAGAAATCACTAGTCGAGACTTTTGTGGAGCCGGCTCAGATGTAGAAGCGGCATTCATGGAAGTTTCGGATACTGATGCTCCTGGTGAAGGGGAAAGTAGGTTGCCACTTGCTGGATGTGGGATATTGCTGAGTTCAGGTGACGCGTTCGATTCGTTATTATTCATCATAGACTTGCTATTCTCGATCAAATGGTCTTGTGGTGTTGATTCTGAGTTTACGTCTTCCATAGCTTCGTCTTCTATAATCTCGTCCTTGAGAGCTGAGTCTAGATTCAATGAGGCTTGATGGTTGGTGTTTTGTTCATCATCTTCTGAAGTCCTATCAGGGGTAATATAATCACTATTGTTGATAAAAGTTGATTCTTGTGGTTCCTCTTCAGTCGGGCGAGATCGCTTGAGTGCCCGTTTCTGGCGAGGCATGTTGTTATGTTACAGTAAATAACACGGTAGAAGGAATCACCAAACTATAAACAAGTACACGTGAGAAACTAAATGTGTTTTATGCAGTACATACAGAGAGGAACAGAGGTAGTCGTAACGTATTCTATGCCAGGGTTGGAAAGTATGCAAAGGGGCTTTCATTTCTAATCCTTCTTCTTATCCTTCTTGTGCTTTTTGTCTTTTTTCTCTTTCTTTTCCTTCTTTTCTTCCTTATCTTTCTTTTCCTCTTTGTCCTTCTTTTCTTTCTTCTCCTTCTTCAGTTTATCCTTTTTATCCTTTTCAACGCTCTTTTTGTGTTTCTTGTCGTCGTCAACGTCGTCTTGATTTTCTTGATCGTCTTCATCTTCTTCCATTAGTGTATCCTGTGTCTCTTCTTGCTTAGGTTCTTCTATACCGTCTATGTCTTCAGTAGTCTTTGTCCCTTCATTTACTGTTGTTGACTCGCCATCGTCATCAAATTTGATCTTTTTATTCTGGTGAGCCCCGTTCTCTACGTCATCATCGCCAAACTTGATTCTTTTGTTGGATGATTGAGGTTCCACTGAAACCACTGGAGGAAGTCCTCTGAGATCTCTTTGAATTCTTCCTAGCTGACTCAATACGGTACTGTTGTCTCCCAGCGGAGAAAAGCCTACTCCAAGATCTTCTCCGTTTAATTGAGCTCCAGGGAGGGCATTTTTCCACTTCTCAGTTTGATCTATAAAATGAGTTACTTCTCTTTCTGTCTCCTCTAGCGTTACGGAGGTACTGCTAAGAAACTTGATAGCTGTGGGGTAGTTTACCGAAGAGTTATTGACCCTCCTGGACCTGAAGGCACCTGACATCGTCGTATGTAGTTCGTTACGTCGTATGGACTCAGCTCATCGCGGCTCAAATTGCACTCTAGATGCAGTACTGTGATTACGCAATCGCGAAAAACTTGGCGTAAACTGGGTACTGTTGATAGTACGGAATTTTTCAACTCTCGCATTCAGTAGTACATTATGTTCGGTTTGGCAGCTTCGACCAGGGGCATTTGGCCAGTTTCCCAGAGGTTGATACAGGCCCAGAGCCGGAACTTTACGTCCTTGGTTCGTTCAACTCCATTGGCAAGACCAGAAATGATCAAAAATGTGAATCGCATTCCAACAACTGTCTCCCCTATACTGTCCTTGCTTGAAATAGTACAAAGACGATTCAAATCCAGGGGTAATACATACCAGCCATCAACGTTAAAGCGTAAGCGAACTTTTGGTTTCTTGGCGAGATTGAGAACCCGGAATGGAAGAAAGATATTAGCAAGAAGAAAAGCAAAAGGTAGGTGGTACTTGACCCACTAAAGCATGTAAATAGCAATAGAGATGACGAGAAAAGGTTAGCAAAATAAATATTCGTTAATTCGTATGTTAGGCTTTGCCCAATATTTTTGAGTACTGCGTTTCAATCTGGTGAATGAATTTTTGTAGTGTGACGATTGCAAGTTGGTGAGTAGCATCAGGGAATCGATTTCTATGCAATCCAAACCATTCCAAAGGAGGTGTGGCATTACCCAACTCCTTAAGTCTGGGCGCTTCGATGATAGGTGGAGCAAGTGGGGTATATTTGTAACTTGATTCTTCCGTCACTTTGGCAAGCGTATCATTGATGTCTTGTTCCATATCTTGCTTCTCAGTTAAAGGTGTACGCAAGGTGTTTTCGTCAATCTCACCTTCTTTTCTGTATTTTATTCTTGTGAGCCACGCTCGCTTGTGAATGGCATACATCTCTCGAATGAAGTTTACGGAACCCAAGTTCCATTTCACTTCAACAGTTCCTCCAAATGCTGATTGGAACAAGTATTCAATTTCTTGTGATTCATATTTTTGATAAGTTCTCATGCAAATCCTGAGAGAAGGAAATACAAAAATATTGCCCCCTTTGGCTTTATGAGCAAGCTCCACAAATTCAGTAACGGTTCCATTGAGTACAGTTTCCGGTTTAATTGGTGCGGTCACCGATAATGACACATTTATGCCGCTAAATTTCACATCAAGCTGGTTAGAAACACCGGCAGTGATTTCTGTCTGTTGAAAGTGAGCTCTGGATTGATCAATCTTCATCACCAATACCTTGGAATCCTCGAGAGATGATGGGTAAACGTAGATGCGAAGATTACCCAAGAGAACTTCGATTCGAAACTCGAGCTTTTTCACAGTCTCTAACATGATTCTGCTAGCTGCAATGGCTAACCCTCCATTTTTCTTTTGTTCCTGACCGTACGAATCCCAAAGAGTCTCACTATAAGACCGCCTATTCTCTTGAATCATCCGCGAGACAGCATTGTTGATATCAATAATATTCGATGCCGCCAAAGACGTCATATATAGCTCTGCTGATTCGATATTCGCGGTAACGAATAGATGGTCCTTTGAGATCGTGTGCTCGTTCTTCTGGTTATAGACGTCAAGTGAGCTTCCTCGCAAGTCTATGATCGCGAAAACATGGTAATCGAAAGACGCTTTCACCTGAAGGGAATCGATACCACCAGATACTAGGATGAGTGGGATATCAAGCACTTCGGCTCCATACTTCCATCTGATGGCGGTATGAAGAAATGCGTCCCTAAGTTGTATGTTTCCCCCGAGTCTACCCTCCGATGTAAGCAGCACAATGTCGGTACCAATCTTCAAATCTTGAGCCCAATCGGTCGATTTTTTCGATACTAGCCAAAAGTTATTGAGACTCAAATTGAAATTACCAAGCAGCTGCCCGACGTCCATTTGGAACGACATATTGGAAACCACAAGAGTAAATATCCATGGAATTGCATAAGTGGTGGAAACCTCCTTGAACCTTGAAGATATGTTTCTGGAACTTGATAGATGATCTGACTGCGTAACAGATAATTTGCTTCTTTGTGGGGTAGGCTCTGAGACGTTTTTAGCTTTGTACAAAGACTTGGGAAACCAAATATCTTTGAACAAGTCGACGTCCTGAAACTGCTTTGCATCCACTGAGCCAACCACATCAGATATAGAGCACGATGAGATCACGCTGGTCGTTTTACCCATCTCCACTGAGCTTAAAAATATAACTTGCGAAACCTTAAGCGAGGCACTTATTTCACGGGAGTATATGTGTTGAAGTGAGGCGTAAAGTGGGTTCAAGCGAATCGCAGCAGTAATTGAGGTATGTTCTTTCTCGACAGTATTGATCTGAATGTAGATACCGTCGATTCCAACTACTGCTTCGACTCTTGCGGTGGGCTCACAAGACAAGGCTAATCGCTGCTTTTCAAAGCGAATTCCCACATGAACATCAAAATCTTGAAGTATGTTGGTCATACTGCTCTTTGAACTTGTAATCAGCAGCTTTCTGCGCTCTCTGGCAGCTTGTTCATTCATGCTTACATCTTTGCTGGACGTACGCATCATTTGCTTGAAACCATTGGCGAATTCAGCCATGACTGGAACACATGAGGCGTATACTGTGTTGTCAGAAGCACTGGCCATTACTTCTGATTTGATGACATGCCTCTTTGGACCATGCTTGTTGTGAGTATACTTGGTGACAAACTTGACGGCTGGTGAATGCAATGATAATGCTGGTGCATCACTCACACTGACTTGGTCGTTGCTCCACAACACCATGTTAGAACCGGCAAATGTTGCCTGGAATTCGACTGAAGTAAACCATGGTTTGAATGGACGTTGTTCTGGTTGCTTTTCTTCTGTGCTTGTAACATGCTCGCTCCTTAACTTATCCAACAAGCGCTTCACTTCGTTTCCTGACTGAATTACTCTTTCGACCAATAGCACTGAATTCGAGAGGAAGCAAATATCCAACTCGTCACCCGTGAGAATTATAGTGAGGTTCTTCTCTCCGCTATTAACCTCCTCAATAAAGTAGCAGAGTTGGATGTTGGGTAAAAAGGCTCTGTTTAGACTTACTCTTTCCGACAGCGTACTGAAGAAATTAGACGAAGCGGATCCGTTGGCAACTGAAAGATATGCATCGATCAAGGTGAACTTACCAAGGTCTTTTTCAGTAACAGCAAAGAACCGCTCGGCTCCCATTATTATTCCTGGGTAGTCTTTATGTTGCAGTCTAAAGATCCAACCTAAACACCAATTGTAAGAAAGTACATGGACTGAAACAAAGCGAGAAAATATACCATTTTTAGACCCCTGATCGCTCTTGACGGGCTTCTTCACCGAATTGTGGCTTGGAACTTCACGGTGGAAATAATTGGACAACCTAGATTCACCAAGCACTTTTAAAGTACTAGCAGTGGTCTTCGATAGCTTGTGGGCTATCATTGCAGCTCTCAATACAGCTTGAGGACTCAATACAATCCTGAAGTATTGTGATTCCACTTGCAATGTTTGCCCTTTCGCGGCGAAATCATTTGAAACTTTGATGCTGGTATTGAAATCCACCACTGTCGAGAGTGATAAAGGTATTTGCTTATCAACAATCGACACCCTTGTTGAAGGTATGTATACATCACCAAACACGGGAACTATGCTATAAATCTTCGACGATTGCTCCTTTTGGGTCACCTGTAGAGTTGATATTGAACAAGCCATATTGTCAAACTCGAAATTTACCCTACTGTTGTCAATACCAACCGATAAGCTGAGATAGTCAATCGAAAAGCTTGACTTGAAAACAACAGGTTTTTCACGCTTGGGACTTGATCTTAAAGGTGGAGTATCGTCTGTTTTCTTTGGGCTCTTGTTCCCAAGAACTTCGAAGCATTGACGGAGAGAATCAATTCTGGTCTCCAACTTTGGCAAACTCGTTTCGAGCTCCAGCATTCCTTGGAGTACCTTTGGAAAACTGATCTTCGTAAAACCTATGCTGTAATCAAAGTCAAGCAACGTATTCGCAGAATTGTTCTTGACTAAGACGCTCAATTTCGTGTCAGAATTTTCAAATCCACAGATGACGCTCTTCGCAATGAAAGTACTCAATTCTGTTGACCCGAGCAGAAACTCGAGAATTTGCGCTCCATTTGAGGAATCAACCGAGAAATCGATATCTCTCGAAGAACTCACTAGCGTTATAGGATCCAAGAAGTTCGCTTTAAACAAGAAGTTCGCAATACCAAACTTCGCAAATATGTCTGGTGCTTTTCGTGAGCCGCCTAGCTTATCCACTGCTTGAGGTGGGTTGCTCAGTGTGGATGGTTTAGGTACAAATGTACGTTGTAATCCCTTGATGTAGTCCACATCCTCTTTGATCATCGCTTCCAAACTTTTAGAAGCTTCCAAATTGTGACCAAATAGATGCATCGAGATAACATCGGCATCAATTTCTAAGACTTTCGGACCCTCTCTCAAGGTACCCACAGTAGCGGCAGATACTCTAATGTTCTCTCCACTCAAAGAAGCCAAGTTTTCAGCGCCAACACTGAATTTGATGGCCAGAGTTCCAAGCTGACTAGACAAAGTTATCTGGTTGGTGTCGCCTGCGACACCAAGTCGGAGACCATGAACTGCGTTTGATCCTGACATCCTAACAGTTGAGTTCAAAATTTTTAAAGTCTGATCATAAGAGGATATTTTGATTACTCCCGAAACTCTTTTCTGTAATTGGGTCACAGCTGAATCTGCTTTGGGTGCGATTGGTTCTTTGGGGTTCAGTTCCGATTGTGCTTTAAAAGTTGCCAACAAGTCGATAGATAGAGAGGATATAAAGGACTCATAGTGCCCAATCTGACACAAAATCTCAACAACTTCATCAGTTGAGGAAATTGCTTCGTCCTTTATAACACCACTGACCAATTTGGCCATGTCAAGTGAGGCACTGGATGAGTTCAAGATAATCCGATTGGTTTCCTCGTTCATCTTTGAGATTGACAACACGAGACTGCCAACAGCAAATTTATTGAGTCTTCGGTTGTCATTTGGAGCATTCATTTCACGGTTGAAAACCTTTTTGAATAGAAATCCATTACTCGTATCCACTTCCCAACTTCTCCACCGCGAGAATATACCTAAGACATCTTCGTATGCGGTGTCAGGAGCTTCCCATTGAAGATTTTGCAACTTTTCGTTCGTGTCGTTCTCCCATTGCGAGGGTATATTACTCAACACATGGCGCAATCTCGTGATAACTTTCCAGCTATCGTAGGTTCTAACATGATCGTGGACAGATCTCAAGACATGTGTGGGCTTCGTCAATACAGCAGAATCGTGATCGATTCTGTATTGATCACTGGCCATTGTAAGCTTATAAACGAGCTCCGCTTCTGCCTTGGATTCCATATTCGACTGTTTCGAGTTTTCCTTCAAGATGGGAGCCATTTTCTCCTTCAAATGTGCGATATAGCATCTCAAGAATTCCACTTGAGCTTCCTCAAGTGATATATCAAAATCATCAATTGTCACCGATGAAGTCTCGTTATTAGCTGTGTCTATATCTCTCCAAAATTCAGTATTGGTGACCCTGAAGGAGACTGAGGCTGCGAAAGAAGATGGGTCTGATATTGAAACAAGAATTTCTTTCACATGGCCAGCGAAAGTAGCTGATGTAGAAGGAAGGGCCTCATCACCTCCAAAATATTTGAATGCTTTCGAAAGCGCCAAAGATGGCTCATGCAATGACAAAGATAGAACTGGGACCGGCAGTGGCAGATCGAATATAGTTCTTGGATTATAGGTTTCAAACTCACCGACTTTGAATATAACTTCTGGCACTACTATCCTGGTGCAATCGTCTGCAGCAAGTGATAGTATCAGCTTTCGAATATTGCTGACAATGTCGAATTCAATATTGTCCATTAAAGTCTCCATCCTTAGATCTTTGAAGTTCCTTTGTAATCTCACTATGGCCATTACCGCTCCTGAAGTGATGAATGAGTGTATGACCCCAAATTGCAAAATGGCATTTCCGTGCTTCGAGTCTGGTGATTTCTCGTATTCCGGTTTGAAGTCGGAATCATTATACTCGTAGAGAAAGCTGTCGAACGACGAATCAACGTCGTCGAATGAAAATGATGACCTCAAAGAGCCTGATGAGCTCGATGAAAGACTTGGTGTGCTCCAAGTGCTATCAAGGTAGTCATCCCATCCGCCTATTGAGTCGAAGGTCTCTCCGTTCAAAGGAATACTGACATCGGGCAATGTCAAATTGGTGCTCAAAGATCCGAGAGCACGCTTGTACGTGAAATCACGATCATCTGGAGGAAGTATAAATGGACATCTATGGAACGGTCCATCGTTAAACTTCACATGCTGTCTTTGAAGCTTTTGCACCTCCAAAGAATTTGCTTTGAGAATAAAGTTACTAAGAGTCAACGAGGTGTTGAAGTATCCTAGCACTTTTCGCTCGCCTCCACTTTCACTTTCGCCTAATACACTCGCGGTAATCTCGGGTAGGTAAATCGAAATACGAGTGTTGTACCTGCCGTTGGGGAGATCATTCAAAGAAACGACTAGCGATCCTAAATTCGCCACAAGTATCGGACAGTTTGTTGGTTCAACTGCAGGTCTAACATTGATAATGAAGCTAGGGCACCTGAAGGAGAAGTTTGCGGCATCGTGCACTATTGGGAGCGTAGGCACGAGACAATTTTCAAGGTCCTTGAAAGTAAATACGAAGCTTTTGATGCTTGTAAGAAGTCCTGTGAGGAATTTTGCCTGACTGTCAATTTCGATAGAACCAGCAGCAAAATCCCACTTGCAGTAATAGGTTATCTGGTCAGGAGGAGGTCCGAACATTCGATGGGCGTGAATGTTGAGCCCATCAACTAAAACTTCTGGGGGACCTTCATTGAAATACTTCTCAACGTAAGCGGGAATATCAAATATCAATGAATTCTCTTCCTCCTCCAATACAAATACTCCTTGAGTAGGACTAAAATCTGCCTGGATATCCATGTAGTAGTTCGTGAATCGAAGATCGATATCAAACGAATCGAAATTGAATGCCACGTGTGAAGCAGTACTGTAGAAATTGTAAGGCAAAAGTAATAAGCCGTGTCTCACCTGAAACACAAATTCAACATCAAGATCATTTTCTATCTTGATGAATCTTTCGCCCGCATCTTCCTCTTCTATTTTAGTCTTTAGAGTACTCGAAGAGTCGTAAGGAGTGTTGATTTCAGGTGATTCTGTAGGCATAGTAGTATACTCTTCAAAAGTTTTGAACTTGACATGATCACCAAAGTAATTTTCTCGAGCTGTAAATAAGTATCGCACCAAGTAACCGTAAAACTTCAAGGTTATAAAGTCTCCAACAATTCTGATGATGATGTGGTTTGAAGTGGTTGGGTCAATTATGTTAAAGAAAGTGTATGAGCCATCAATCGTGAAATCGCTACTACGACCCATTTCTTCTGATCTGGAGAAAGCATCAACGGTATGCCACAGGGGAGTAGAGAGCACCGCACTTAACGCAGGAGTGTAAATCTTGTAAGATATGGTGGCAGACCGGGTGAGGTTACCGTTTAGGGGTATGGCAACTTGGGCTTCGAGTCTATCTCCTTCAAATGACAAATACTTATTGCTGTCGAAATCCAATGGATTGTCAATAATGTTTGAGTCGTTAACGTTCAAGTAGAGTTTATAATCATCCATGTTCCAATCAAGGATATACTCAAATGGTCTCAAGTACTCGTAAGCTGGAGGGGGGCCTGAAGCAAAGTCGGCGAACAAGTCTGAAAGAAGAAAGATATGCTCACGCAACAAAAAAAGTCTTGCTTTGGTGCTCTGATTTGCAAATTTCCAGAGACATGGAGCGTTCCATCGCAATGGAAAACCTATATCGCAATCCAAAACGTGAGTATCTGCTGTGAATAGTATATCGTGGTTGACAGAAGATCGAAGCTCAGGTTGTAATAAGTAAAGGGAAAGCTTGTTGGCCCAGCCGTTTTCCCTATTACTAGTGAAAGATGTGTATGAACATACAGATGATTTTGCAGCCATCTTGAGTTCAAGCCATCCAAAGGAACGAGCAATTTTTGTTGTAGGCATCGCACCGCTATCAGACTGTAGGTGGCTGCGAACAATTTCCTTGTCTTTGCTGGCTTCACGTATTGGAATTCTAAAAATCAATTCGTCTTTGACAGACACCACCACTTTGAAACCATCATATTGTCTTTTCATACCCGGCTGAGGCGTGGGCGTGGGACTTGAATCACGAGATAAAGGAGGAAAGAACATTTGTTGCAAAGGCACACGTTGTTTGTCGGCCCATGGACCATAGTGAATTGTTGCCACCGCAAGCTCTATGTCAACACCGTACTCAGGAGTGGCGTACGTTAAGGGGTCTCCTTCTTGAGGAAAATTGCCAAGGGAGTCGAAGTAATATATGAATCGGGTCAGGGCAGAGTCCAATATCAAACTGTATTTTGCATACTCTTCCTCTGTGTTCAAGTGAATGTTGTTGGGGCTTCGGGGCTCATTGTCTATGTAGCGACGCAACCCTCGCCACTCCTTACTTGCTTCCTCGAGCTTGATTTCTGCCTGTCGTTTTTTAGGTCGCAATAAGCGGACAGCCTTTTTTGAAGCCTGATGAAACTTGTGCCAATATTGATATTGTCGCTGGCGGTTTAGGCGGATGGTTGATGACTTGTGGTTGAGTTGTGAGGTCTTTGGTTTGGTGTACTTTGATTTGTCGTAGGATATATTTGGTTTCATTGATAGTTGAAATTGGGCCAAACTGAAGTTGTAGACATGACGAAAGTAGTCAAGAGGGCACGGAGACTGATGGAGGTCTATTATGCCAAATGCTGATTTATAGGATGCCACAAATATGCTGGGGGTGGTAGAATTGCCTAGGATAAGTGTACCCTTTTTTATCTGAACTCTTATTGGCATTAGACGGAGAAGATAGCTGAGGGAGGTGCTTTCGGCAGGACCCGTTTTAGCTGTGGTAAACTTGGTAGTTTCAGATGGATTTTTAGCCTTTTCATTAAGCATCTGTTCGATATTGTCATATGCAAATGATCGGTTATACATGAACACCTCAAGGCCCTCGAGGTACAAGACAAATCGACAAGGAAGTTTTTCATTCTCATCTCTAGGAATTCCAGATTCAAGCTCTTGTCTCATTTGGTAGTAGAATTCTGATATTCTGATGATTCGAAAGATCCAATATCGCCATGAGAAGTTGAGGGCAAGCACCGATATGGTATAATCCTGGGTAGTAATTACCAAGTTTTTCGCAAATATTCGGCCGCCCAACGGTGATATTCTAAGTGATTCGACGGTGATTCTCGTTTTGCTTCGTCTCCAAAGAAACAACTTTAATAGAAACGTAACAATGAATCCAATGAGACGACTGAAGAAGAAAAGGAACGCCAACGCCACTATAAGAGACAAGATCCAGTCCAGTAAATACACCCATGGTGAAGAGTTCTTTCCACCCACATTGGTGGAAGTATACTGAAACTGGTTTGCCATTCAGTAGTTTTGAGTTATGGCTGTGGTGATTTGAATCTTTTTGGGTGGTCCTGCAGATCAGTGCGAAAGGGTCGCAAATATAATCTCAGACCAAAACACAAACATCACCATGTACAGTAGGAAATCAGTACAGGATGAAAATGCGTTTCTGGCGCCTCTGAAGGGTCGAAAGATCGCCCGCGTGCCTCTAGGAAGCAAGGACCGTCGTCAACCACTTTTACAAAAGTCCCAATCTAGCCTTAATACCCTTGATCGTCCTTCGAAGCCACAACTTACCAAATCTAACCTGGTTTTAGGGGTCACTGAAGGGCTGAAAAAGTACGAATCTCGCCCTGAGCAGTTGCATGTTGAACAGAAAGCTTTTTTTCCGGAAGTTTCTGGTCTGAACGCCTTTGAAGGGCACCAGTTGATACCAAAAGATAACGTTCCAGTTGATGTTCTGACTCAAGTAGCACCGGAAATAAGCGCAGAAAATGCTGTTACAACTCCCCTGAGCACTTCTGTGCGCCAAAATGCTATGCTTACTCCCGATTCCCACGATTTTTCATACACAGATTCCATTCCGAAACCAAATATCGCCCCTAAACCACCACTTGCAACCTCGCTCCGCGATACATTCTCTTCACGAACAAAGCAGCTTGACGCTGTCAATGTTATCGACCGCGATCTCCAGCGTTCAAACGTCGATCCTATCAAAAAGGTCCCCGTTGAATCGCGGTCAATTGTAGTTCCCCAGGATTTGATTGATGATGAAACCAGTGTGGAGACGATCCCACAACGGCCAAGAATGAAAACCCCCTCCGACTTGGACGAGTTATATGAAATACCCGGCGGACACCACTATCAAAGTGAGGTAACTGGGGCCATGGAAGATATTGATCTTGATGATCCTCGTAACTTTGGATTCGACGAAACCAATGAACCGGAAAATATTGGCATGACGGTGGACGAATTGAACGACTTGCTAGATATGTAAATCGCTATGATATATTATCTGATGCTCTATGTACATTATTATTGTTGCGTGCACTCGGCCTGGGGCCCATTTTGGTACCCTCCATGACTATTATCGTGGTCCTGATCCTCTTCTTCATCATGGTAATCTGGAAGTGACAGTTCACGGGCAATCCTGAAATCGGTCACAAGTTCCACGTTTGCGTCTGTGAGAGTATCTAAATCACCATTTTGTTTGGTAGACACTTCTGTGGGAAGTAAATTCCGCATCTTTGTAAGATCATTTTTTTCCAAATACCAGCTATCTTGAGGAAACTCAATCTCCATTTTGATATAAAGGTCTCCTCGTGTTGGAGACAGACCGAACCACCGGCGTTGCAGCTTTTTGATGGGCATTCCCTCGCTAGTGATCTTTATATAGTCACCAGGACGAATAACTTTTCCTGTTGGAGTAGCCACTTTAATCTTTCTCCCGTCCAAATGTTGAGCCACCACCCGGGTAAACCCACAGAGTGACTCCACGAGAGGAATGGTGAACGTGGTGTACAAGTCGTTCTTCTTTCTGGTGAAAACTGGATGGTCCACACATGTGTAAGTTAATACGACGTCGCCAGTTTCTTTACCTGGATATTGATCTGATTCATTCTTTAATACAATCAGCTCACCCGAGAATGATCCTTTTTCAATTTCGAACTCTAGAATCTTGGTTTCTTCCACCACTTTTTTGCCTGTACATTTTTTGCATCGATCCTTTGTTCGAAATATCTTTCCTGCTCCGCTACATGTCGAACAATCGACGTAGTCTTGTGCCACAAGACCTGGACCCACTCGTCTGATCTTACGAACTGTGCCTTCTCCGTCGCATACCCCACATTTCCTGGACACAGCATGCTTCTTAGCTCCGGTTCCATGACAGTGAGAACAGATTATATCTCTTGTGGAAGTAATTTTGATTACTTTGCCATTGAACAAGTCCTCTAGTGTCACGTCCACATTAATCTCTGCATCCTTGGTACGTGGTTTGCCCGGTCTGGCACCTCCTGCTGGAGGTCCTCCATTCATATTGTTGAAAAAGTTGTAGAAATCATCAGCTTGAAATTCCTGACTGCCTCCAAACATGTTATCAAAGGGATTTTCTGAATAGCCATGGTACCCATTAGCCATTTCTGGGCCATCCGTAGTTCCGTACATGTCATATTGACGCCGTTTATCTTCATCCGAAAGAATTTCGTACGCTTGTGAAACCTCTTTAAATTTTATCTCCGCCTCCTCCCGACCTTCGGATCCCACCTTATCGGGATGGTATCGTAATGCTAGCTTTCTGTATGCTTTTTTAATCTCTATGTCGGTGGCAGAGGTATCCACCTCTAGCACCTCATACAATGACATGATGGCGATCAATCCAAGTGCTCAAACTTATATGTGGTCCTGCAGACAGCGCAGAGAAAACTATGGCTGGTAAAATGGAGAAAGCAACAGTGAAAGAGAAAGAACAGAGTTTGGGTAGAGGTTCAATAGCGAGTAACTTCTATGTTGGCTATGGATATTTTGAAAATTTTCAATTTTGCAACGTTGCAAAATTTTGCAAATGTCATTTGACCACAAAAGTAAAATACAAAATTGATAGTAACAAAATAAGCGTAGACGCTGTACATAAGGTCAAGACGCTACTCACTTTAACTGATAAAGAGCATATTTAAGACCTTGTTTTTTGATCGAAAGCAAAAAAAATGGCGACACGAGCAGGGTTCGAACCTGCGCGGGCAGAGCCCAAAGGAACCTGCATCCTTCGCCTTAACCACTCGGCCATCGTATCGTCTATCTGCAGAAGTACGTTTTTGCGATATATACCCTGAGTCTGTTATGGTACACCACTTTTATGAAGATCCATCTGCTGTATACTTTCTCAAATTGATGTGGTAAATGGTGGCTACGCCAACTTGCGAAGGAAATACTTTTTGGCTAGATTACCACCACAGCCATGATGTTCGTCGGGAGTATTGCTTTGAGTTGCGCACGCACTTCGGGTAACTTCGCGGAATCAGGGGAACTGTCGAACGAACGATAATCAAACAGAGTCTAATAAAATGGTAAGTAAATATCTTATTTGCAGCTAAAAGCGGCTGCTATCGATTTCTTGGTCGATATAGTAAGTCCAATTCAGATTGATTAAAACTAACATCAAGTCTAGATCAGGGTATGTACATTTGCAATATGGAAGTTCCACGCGTCAGCAGCTGAATTCCCTGTCAAGAGGATTTGACCATCAATTGATGGTTAATGGATTGAGACCACAGTCTGTGTTGCATAATGTGAAGGGTTTTTGATTGAACTTGAAACCTGATTTTGTGTCCTTTACGTAAATCCATTGATTTGGTAATTTTATGGTACTCAATTGGGTAAATCATGGAAGACAATGGTGGAGCAATGGAACAAGGTGATAGTTATTAGGGGTTTTCCTTCGTCGAATATTTGCTCGGTCAGTCTTCGAGTAACTTCGAGTATTGTCTCATTTTGCAAAATTCACGGTTCTTTTTCGAATATACTAACGCAGTGTCACAGTTGCCGACGAATCGTTGACCGCTTTCAACGACCTCAAGCTCGGAAAGAAGTTCAAGTTCATCATCTTTGCTTTGAACGACAAGAAGACCGAAATCATTGTCGAAGAAACCTCCACCAACCAAGATTACGATGCGTTCTTGGAAAAGTTGCCTGAAAACGAATGTAAGTACGCCATCTACGATTTTGAGTACGAGATTAGTGGCAGCGAAGGTAAGAGATCTAAGATTGTGTTCTATACCTGGTCTCCAGACTCGTCTCCTGTTAGATCTAAAATGGTGTATGCTTCTTCCAAAGATGCCTTGAGAAAGGCCTTAAACGGTATTAGTGCTGATATACAAGGTACTGACTTTTCGGAAGTAGCTTACGACTCGGTGTTGGAGAGAGTTTCCAAGGGTGCCGGTTCTCACTAAAGTATATACGAAAAGTGAAGTATCAAGAATGTTCATGTAGTGAATCTCCACGTGAGATCCTATTCACCTTCTTACGGCGATTATGCACAATAGCTTGCTAGTACCACCTGTTGCATCGCGGTAACTATTCTAGTTTATGCCCGATGGTGACTTGCATAATCGGAGGTGCCGAATGCGGTAAGAGCGATGCAATGCTGCAGCAAGGAGCACTTGATTTGCAGCACCCCAAAACAAATTTCTGGAGTATATAAAGACACCCAAATGTATCAAAATCATCAGCAATGTCAATTAACAACTCTACAATCTCAAGACTTGGCAACTCCGGCCTTCAAATCAACCATGCCGTGGTTGGAACAATGCTTATTGGTACCAACAATAATGGTATTTTTGCCAATGGTGTTGATGGAGACGAAGATTCGATGGCACTTTTGAAGAAATGTTACGACAGAGGTCTTCGTACCTTTGATACTGCCGATGTTTACAGTTCTGGACACAGTGAGGAGGTTATCGGAAAGTTTTTGAAAAAGTATGACATTCCTAGAGATACTGTGGTGATTCTCACCAAGTGTTATTTTGCAGTTGACACCTATGACAAAAACCGTCAAGAAGGACTTCATTTGAACAATCTGGGTCTCTCAAGAAAACACATTCTTGATGCTGTTGACGATTCTGTGCGTCGTTTGGGAACTCACATTGACTTGCTTCAAATTCACCGTTACGATCCCAATGTTCCCGATGAAGAAGTTATGAGGGCATTGAACGATGTTGTCGAAAGCGGGAAAGTCAGGTACCTCGGTGCTTCCTCGATGAAAACTTATCAATTTATTGGTTTGCAACACACTGCAGAATTGAATGGTTGGCACAAGTTTGTTTCCATGCAAAGCATGTACAATTTGATCTACCGTGAAGATGAGAGGGAACTCAATGCCTACTGTAACCATGCTGGAATTGGTCTTCTTCCATGGTCGCCCAACGCCAGAGGTTTACTTGCACTTCCTTGGACCTCTGCTAAGATCCAAGAGAAGCTTGCTAACCCAGAGGTCTACGGACTCAATTATATGGGTTTGGACGTTGAACATGACAAACCGATTATTGACAGGGTAGAGGAGCTTAGTAAAAAGTACAAGTGTACCATGGCAGAAATCGCAGGTGCTTGGCTTGTTGCAAAGGGCACTCATCCTATCATTGGTGTTACACTGGAACAAGCCATTGATGCAATGGTGGCCATGGCTCACACCAATCTCTCTAAGGAGGACGTTGAGTACCTTGAAGAGCCATACAAGGCCAAAATGCTCGTATTTACAAGTTCATAGTAATACACTACTAAACCACCAACGGTAAACCGGTTTTCTGATGTTTGGATGCCACCTCTTCTCCTGGTCGTGTTCCAGCACTGCGCAATCAGGAAGGTGAAAATCAGGTCTGTGCAGACACCCCACTTGATCTACACCAAGAACCAAGTAGACAAGGTATAGAATTGATAGTACCAAGGTAATCAGGGAGGTAAAAATTGGTTATCTTTGGACAAAAGCTATTTTTTTTCTCAACATAAATCATCGCTCCAGAGGAAAAAAGGGAAGAACGACCAGTCGCTTTTTAACGCTCTGCTCGATCGAACTTGGTCTCTAGCAGTCATTCGTTACGGAGATCGAGGTTTACACACGGTGGTTTGAATCTCACATCACTTTTGGAAAACTGGCGCAGCGTGAGGTGAATTTCTCGACACAAGTGAAATTTGGTAGGCCTCAATATTCAGCCACAAATACTGATCTTTCCAATTACACAGCATCAAAAGCCATTTATTGAAGGCATACCTCCGAGTATCACCATATACACCAAATTTGGGAATCTTAAGCAAAAGAAAACTACTTTATTGTCCGAGTTGCCCAACTACATCACTGAATTAAAGCTGACACATCGACGTTTCAATGGCAAGTGGATCTCGACCCAGGGCAACATTGGCCCAGAAAATCAAGGTGTTGGACTTGTATCACCAAGCCAATAAGTCACAAGCGGAGATTGTAAAACATTTTGAGTCGGAATTTTCCATCTCCACATCATCAATGAGCGAATGGCTCAAAAAAGAAGAACATCTTCGACGGCGTTTCAACGAAATTGGTTCAGCGCTGTTGAAAAACTCTCGGCGTGAATCCAATCAAAAATATGAGGAAATCAATCGAGCAATGGACTTGATGGTGCAACAGCGACTAGAACGTCGAGAGCCTGTGAGCGAAACTATATTACGAGAATACTGGTCTATATATGCCCACCAGTACGGTGTGGACGACCCGAAGCGCCTTGTGGGATTTAGTCATGGTTGGCTCTGCCACTTCAAGAAAAGACACGGATTGACTCGCAAGCATGGAACTTCCCCTGAAACTGTTGACGGTTCCAATACACCAAATCGCCTGTTCATTACACCAGGAGCAGATGACACAGCTACTGCATCTCCCACCGATGCTGAGCCCAGAGAGAGCGTTTACCTCGAAGGATCTCGCAATGCTATGAACGACAGTATGAGCACACTGAGTCTCAGTAACGAGCCCATGAGCACAAACACAACGCTTATGAACGGCGACACACAAAGCAACAGAGATGACTACGAAAATAATCCTCCTTATGAAATCATAAACCAACCGTACCAAAACTCCATGAATTTTAACAATTTTGAGTATGGTCGACAGCCCTCACAAAACCCACCTCAGGCGCAACAAGTACCACAGACTCAACAAGCTTCCCAAACTTCTCAGAATCCCCAGGCTACCCAGGCTTCTCAGGCTCCATATGAACCAATAGCTCATCGAATTCGTGGTGTACGTCGCCAGCAAATATCTGCACCTCCACCACCGCATCCTCAAGAACAGCCCTCTGGCAACATGCCACCACAACCACCGGCTTTATCCGCAGGACACCCAAACGGGCCGCAGCTACATCTGCCAGTGAGGTTCAAAGAACACGCTTCTCTAGATTATTTGAGACAACGCAATCGTGAAAGAGTCCTGCCTCAATCACCCAGTGCATCTCGCAGTCCACCCAATGGCCAAATAGCCACAGATTCAAACGAAACTATTATTATCAATGCCTCTGATATGGAAAGATTTATCTACCAGTATGCTGATAGTTTCTTCCATCACCATCAGTTTGAATACCCCCAAACCCTGAAACTTTTCCAAGATTTCAAAAACACATTCTTCAATGAGCGTATCGTGAACCTAAGAACTATGCAACAACAGATGATGAGGCAACAAATGATGAGACAACAAATGATGAGACAACCTGAAGCCAACGGCGAAATCAACCATATAAGACAAGATCCTCAGCCCAATATTGCGCCGCCCCCAAAGCGTGGACGCAAAAGAAGAGGCGTGGTGGCTCAACAACAATCTCCATCACAACCGGTGCCTTCCAATGGTCCACCAGTTGGACCACCACCTACAAGTAGCAGTACGAGGGATATGATTGAGGATTTTTTTATTCGAGAAGAAGTCAACGCTGGTACAGCCCGTCAACAGACGCTCAATGCTCGTAAGCGCTGGAAGGGAAGTGCTGCTTGATTGAAGAGGGTTAAAATATTCCGGTTCTCGATTACGTAACAACATGCACCAAAACAGGTAGAATTATCGATAAGCACAAGCGACATGCAGGTGCATAAACGGTCTGAATCTTTTTGCCAAACTTGCCAAACTTGAAAGACAGCTATGCAGATTACATGTGTACAGAGAGAACATCCCATAATAACGAATTTATTGGAGCTTTCCTGGGCTGTTTCGGGAGCATATTCTCGCAATACTGAAGCCCATAGTAGGTGACATAATTTTGAGGAGGAGATGGAGTTTGTTAAAGTAAAGAATGACGAATTTTCTGTTATGGCTGCCGAAACTGGCAAACTTAGCCAAATAGCAGCCAAAAATAGCCAATTTGCAATCATGAACAGTGTGTGTGTTTAATGCTTTTTGAAGGCAATTTGGTACTAACTCATCTGGATTTTCAGCAGCCCTTTAGTTTTCCTGTTTCTGCAAACTGCACTTGCGTCTTTGAAACTGGTAGCTAACATAAATTCAGCCATGAAACTAAAAAACCCGAAAGGTTATAATGCCGAACAGGCAGTAAAGGTGATCACTGAATATGATGTGAGAATCAAAGAACTCCATTAACGGATAGAAAGTCCTTACAAGCGATACTCACTGATAACTCACGGATAACTCACTGGTAACTCACTGCAAGAGAAGCCCGAGACGGAAGCTCGAATCTTATTCTCATACTAACCACCAAGGTGATGAATGAACTGGCTTTTGACAGTTCCAGCTTACTGGTATCTCTTGCGATATCACTGATCTCCCTACAACCCTGCTTGATTCATTTGTATCATCTATAGCTCTAACAATATCATAATGAACTAAACTCCACGGCCTTTGTTATCTTTCAAAGTGAGATCGGCCATTGCTGCAACATCCACTTCAACAGAAACTTTGGCTCCCGAGTTATCTTTGGTAGCTGTCCGAGACTTGCAGTTTGCACAATTAAGGCACTTCTTTGGCTTCGTCACCGTAAAGTCCTCAAAATCTTCCATTTTGGTTTCAGTTTTGTTTATCCGAGATTCGGTAATGATGTCATGTGCGTGCCTAGCATATAAGTAATTATGTAGAGCCATTGTTTGCAAAAATAGGAAACGACGACAGTAGAGACGAGAAGAAGGGATGTGACTAACTGGGGCCTGTAACATTAATAATAACCTACATTTGTGTACAATGTATAATACGGCACCAAAGTGGGACCACTTTTCAGATGAACCCCAACACCAACTTGAGCCTCTTGAATAGTATGGAAAAAACCTTGTCTGCAGTTTTGGAACTTCATAACTAGCGCTGTACCTCGTGTCCGTGTCCAGCCCTTTTAATAGGCCTCTACTGGATGGATGCTGATTTCATCATAAGCAACTCTCGTAGCTGTAGTATTGTACATTCTATGCTATTCTATATTACTGAAGATGCTGGGGTTGATCATGGGAGAACCGGATGCCGAGGATCATTATGGCAAATGCGATCGAGAGAAACTTGTACTTGAGGCCATCATCGACAGCAATATCTTTTCGTTTCATCGCAGATCCCATGAGAAGATATTTAATATGAGAAAATATTCCGATATCTTCGGCTTCTTCCTCGGGTATATCCTCCCAATCGTCCTCCGTAGTGTCATCTTCGCTGTCCGATACATCATCAAAGGAACTGTTTCTGTGGAATAATTGTGATTTGTGTTTTTTTGGAACGTGGAAATCCTCATCAAAATTGAAGTACGAATTAAGAGCACTAGAAAACACACGCTGCGAATACAAGTCATTGTGATTCATAAATCCGTAGTCGTCTTCGTCGGACGATATGAAGGGAAACTCATTTAAAAGTCCTTTGTGAAGCATGCCAAACCGCCGGCTGCTATCTTCGTGAAATTTGGACAAAATTGGATTGACAGAAACCGAACGAAGGACACGCTTCTTGTGAATCAAAAGGTCCTTTGACTTTTCAATGAGTTTAGCATCTGAATACTCGAACCTCTTGTTGAGTCCACGTAGACTACTCTTGCTTGAAAGCTTGCGAATGTTCTTTTTCTGCTTCTGTAATTCAAACCCGATATATGACAATAACTTTTCATTGTGAAGTCTCAATGACTGAAGCTCAAACTTGAGTTTCGTAATCTCTTGCTTTGTCAAATCATTATCCAAGATAACACTAACACTATCACGGGAACTAAGCAAAGAGTTTCTGTTCGACGATGATGTCAATGCACGAAAAGCAGAGCCGCGCACATTGGCCAGCTCCTCCTCTTCTATGCTTTCAATCACGCCATTGTCTTTGACAGGAGCAGAAGATACGCGCTGGGCTCCTTCTGGCTCGAATTCCACCTTGATAGCAAGGATATCATGAGAGTTATAGCGTGAATGGTTTGGTTTAGACGCCGAGTAGCGGTGTGTGGGTTGATTGAGTTGGGTCACCAGATCGTCGTCAAAGTATGTTGAAGAATTATTATTTGCGAGTTTGAGAGGTGACAAAACAAACTCTGTGTCCGAACGCAACTGTGCTGGAAGCAGCTGACGCTTTTTGGCATTAGGATCGGGAGAAGGGGGAAATTGGAAATTGGGGTTGTGTTCTAGACTTGGTACTCGGTTTTTATCAAGGTCAGGAAATTCTCCGAGTTTTACTGGGGACAGTTGGTCGAGATGCAGCACTTGTTCGCCTTCCAGGTCGTCCCAAGTATCATTCAGCACGTCGGGATCATCCTCCACGTGAGTGTAATGGACAATGCTGTCGTTGGCGTCGTCGTCTACATCTTGGTTCTTATTATTATCGAGCTGCGATTGGTTGACCAACATCTCGTTTTCCCGCGTGAGGAACTCAAGCTGGTCCATGAGTGCCATCTTCAGATTCTGCTCAAGTTCGAAATTGCTTTGCAATACTTTAAAGTCCTTAACGAGCCGGTCGTATTCAGCTCGAAGAGAGGTGGCATCATCGGACGTCAACCGAGCAACTTCCAGTGACATTTTCTTCAACCGCACCTGCAACTGCAGCACTAGGTCCTTGTAGTAGAAGATTTGGTTCTCGTAGAACTCCTTGGTCCTTGAAAGCTCGTTGCGGAGCTCGCGGACCCCAGATTCTAGACGACGAATCAGGTCTGTTTGGCAAGTAATGGTGTGGTTTTTGGCAGCAACGTCGCGCTGGCTGTGTTCATAGTCATTTGCTAGCCTTCGGTTGCGAAGAAGAAGGTCAGCACATTGCCTCTCAAGGTTTTTGTAATCATTCATGATGTTGTTTTTATTGTCTTGGTTATTGAAGGAGCCATTGGATGTCTTTGACCGGGTTTTTTGGGCCAGCAATAGAGACTGTGCTTCTGAGAGGGGACGCGGTGTTGCAGGGGACAGAGAAACAGCCTGAGTGACCACCGTTATGTCATTCTCACTCATGTCGAGGAGGCCGGTTAATCGGGTTGTTTGTTTTGGTGTTAAACACCGCCGGTGCATTGGTGCGCGAGGACGTGCGCAAACAACGAATGTGCCAACATGGCGTGCGTGCCCCGATTCACGATCTATTAACTGATTTTTTCGCATTATCTCCTATCATCTGGACCATGCAGGAATAATTCGGTCATATCCGACCATAAATAGCGCCTGATTTCCCTCCCCAATCCCTAATGATTTCTGAGCAGCAATTCAGGGAAGACGTGGTACTCAAATATACCGATGTTATCGGTGAAAACTTGGGTGGCCATGTGATCAAGGTTTCGGATGAATGGTTTGCAAAAGCCGAGAACTTGATCAAGCCTAAACCACCTATCAGAGATGCCACTCGATTCACTCACGCCGGAGCTTGGTACGATGGCTGGGAGACCAGGAGACACAACCAGGAGGAGGCCGATTATGTGATTATTCGCATGGGTGTTAGCTCGGCAAAATTGATTGGATGTGAAGTCGACACAGCATTTTTCAATGGTAATCATGCACCCCATATCTCGGTGGAGGCGGCATTTTTGGAGCTGGAGAAGTCAGATAAGATAGAACATGCTCAATGGGACACTGTGATTGCCAAGGTCGAGTGTGGACCTTCTCAAAGACATTTTTTCGTCAGAGACTCTCTCACCGATAAGGCGTATACTCATGTGAGACTTAGAATGTACCCAGATGGAGGAATTGCCAGATTCAGGTTATACGGCACTGTTCTTCCCGTTCTTCCTCACGATAGATCTGCTATTATGGATACAGCCTCGGTCAAAAACGGAGGTGTGGCCATTCGTGTCTCCGACCAGCACTTTGGTGTAGCTAGCAACTTGTTACTTCCAGGAAGAGGCCACGATATGTCTGACGGTTGGGAAACCAAGCGTTCTAGAGAGCCTGGTCATGTCGATTGGGTGATTGTACGCCTTGGTGCTAGAACTGCAGTGAGAGATGTGGTGATCGATACCGCTCATTTCCGTGGAAACTTCCCCCAGTATACCAATGTCAAGGGTATAGATGTTGAGAGTGACGATAAGGTCCCTGCTTACAACAGCAGCGAATGGAAGGTACTTGTTGGTGACCTGAAAGCGGCTCCTGACAAAGAGCATACTTATCCAGTTGACAATCACCCAGTGTGCTCACATGTGATGTTGACTATTATTCCTGACGGAGGTGTCAAGAGATTTAGAGTTATTGGCACATTGGCATAGATATGGCAGCAATAAATATATTTCGAGTTTATCTCAGCTCATCTCATCTCACGAGTGAATTTCAACGCTTTCCTTATACTTTCTCTTCCTTCTTCTTTTGTAATAGGCAGGATTCCCACTATTATCAGCAGACTTGGAAGTTACCGAGTCCAGTTTTACCTTATACTTTCCGTTTCCATCATTCTCTTTAAGCAAAACAATTTAGATTACTAGCTAGAAAACTATTATGGTAACTAAAAATTAAATCGAACGAGTCTAGGAAAATTTTGATTAGGAATCGCATACCTTGTTAGAAGACACTGTATCACCAATATAGTGTTAGTGGATTTCACATAGCTCACACACCACCACACCCACGGTGAAGGATATCATTATAATCAGCTCATAATCCAACAATATGCGATAGGGATAGCAAATGTTCTGTATTAGCAATTTTAGCGAAGGAATTGAAGTGTGGTCCAGGAATTCAAGCCATTTCTGGTCACTCCATTCACACGTAAATTATAAAGCAGAACTGTTACCAAAATGCTGCCAAGAATTGCTAACACACATAAAGCGAGAATTCTTGATATAGTTAGATTCTGTGATTGGCAGTAGAAATAGAAAGCGACAATACATGTCAGAAGGCACGCAGCAGCAGATAATGAGCTTAACATTAATGGCGCCATATGCTGATAGGAAGCGTACACTTGTCAATATGGGATTGTCACGAAGCTCAAAAGCGCTGATAGCATGAAAGAGGCCTTGCTAAAATAAGTTTGGTTCTGATCGACGTATTTTTTTAGAGCCCAAAACCATATCACAATGCACACAGCAGCATAAATCGAGTCGAAGATCATCTTTACTGCTCGCTCCCCACTTCTAATGGAAGTGAATGCGGCTACAAACCAACTTACTGTCCATATCCCATAACCGACTCCAGCTGCGGACCAGACAAATTTCGGAATCTCGTTTTTCATAACCTTAGGGTATACCAACCAGAGGAAAACAAGGGCTAAAACAAGCACAAACATGAATTGATTTTTCGTTACCCAGCAGCTGCACAGAGTTTCGGCCAGAGTTTCGGCCAGAGCTTCGGCCAGAGGTTCGGGCGCATTGGTTCTGGTCATTTCAATCAGTTCTCTCAGGCGTGATGTAGTTCGTTTCTTCTACATGTTGTTGAAACGTGAATCTAAATCCTTGTGGAAGGTATTCTTCGGCTAGGTTTTTAATAAACTCTATAAGGAGTTGTCTGTTCATTGTATTTATGAAGACTTGAGTACAAACGCGACGAATGGTCTTTTATATCTAGCGTGTCCCAATCGAAATGCAAACTGAACGGCTGCATGGCATTGCATGCTTCGAAGGTACAACCCCTGCAACTATCTATGCAATTCAGCAGAATATTAAACGCAGCATACTTGAAATATTATGTCTCGAAATTATTTACCTTTATCTCACTTGCTTCTAGTATTCAAGAGAGATTAGGTGATTTATACTACATTGTAAGAGTGTCAGGTCATGAGCGAAATAGTGAATCTTTTGGTGTTACATGTATAATTTCGCTCGGTGAGAGTCGCACCTTCGTATGCATGCAACCTCTTATCGCGTGAGGCTTGTGAGCCGCACGGCTGATTTTTGCAACCAAGTAGGAAAGCTATGTGGTTGTTGGAGTGGTCAACCTTTGATGTTTCATGACTATGATATGTCTTATAGGTTTTAGTACGGTGGATTATGGGTACATTTGAGCAGCTGACTAACCTAAAATACATCAGTCCAGAATGGATCACGTGACTATGCTTCTGCTTCTATGCATCTTGGGGTGGCCAACTACATCAAATGCACAACATGAATGAAGAATGACCACCACGTAGGTCGCGGACTTAAAGGTGCTCTGTTTAAGACGAAGGGTAAGAAAATTACAAATGCTAAATATTATTATATTCAATTTCACTGACAAGCTGCTAATATGATCGCCGATAATGTAGAGCGAAATATTGTAGTTGTATTACTCTAATTGGCGGTAACCATTGTAAATCAAATAACAAAACCCACAACATATAAGAAACAAAAGAAAAGAACTATAAATGTCTTGAAATGGTCGTTTATATCGAATGGAATCGATTAGGAGACACAAAGAAATTGCTGTTAAGATCACACAAACACCTAAAAATACGATCATAGCAAAATGCTCCGAATAAGCTTTAAGTACAATGACTGACAAAAGCGAGAGAACAAACAAAATCAAAGCTAGGCGACCATCTTTCCATATATCGACCCAGTAGTTTTTCAGATTCTCGGCCATATTTTCTTCAGTAATTTTTTCCTCCATTTTTAAGAAATTATCGAAGGTTCGCTGCGATAAAAGCTAGGTTTTAAGTAGACGTATGCGACTGCCAAGCCTAGAGCCGTGAAAGAAAGCGGTGGCCTCAATATTATAGCGGGTCAAATGTACCTGAAAATGAGCGTTCAGCCTGATTCTGCTATCTTTTCCTCTACTTTATACTTTCTGTTTCCCTATTCTTTCCGTTTCCTTCATTCTCTGCACTGGTTTATGCCATCCGATGATAGCCAGACACAATTGAGCTTGACACCACAACTCACATGTCGAAACTGACACCGATATCGCTCCCTCAATCGGTGCCGTTTCCCGTGACAGTGACACAGGCGATGATATCCCCAGGACAACATTGCCTCGTCACCAACCACTTCTCAAGTATAAATACTGGGATTATCAAGATAATCCAAATGACGCAGACACAGATGAACCCACGAAAATGCGGGTTGAACGTATAGGAACCATCGAATCGCCTATTACAGGCGAAGTAGAAGAGGTTTGCGTGTGGGTGAGGAGATTCACTTTACACCAGTACACCCAGTGTAGATATTTTCGCAATACGGGCAATTATAACGGTGTTGGTGGGATGTTCCTTATAAATAGCGCACCGAAAATGAATCTAACTTACAACTCACATACAACTCACTTGTAACTCACTTCTTACATTTATTCAATCATTGATGGACTTTACAACCTGTGTCCGGCAACGAGTGCCACCCAAATGGATTATAAAACCAAAGTCATCCGAAAACATAGAAGAAACTTTTCAATCTGTATTACCCCACAATCCATACTACGTGAAAAAAGTTATTGGAAAATTGATTCAAGATGCTGAAAATGAGGGAGAAGCACCGGAAATGCTCTATGAAATGTATTGCTGGCCACAAGTGCTACAAGCTAAAGAATTGAAGCCAACAGATACCGATATTGTTGCTTATAAAGTTGGATCAGCACAGATATGGATTCCAGAAACCCCACGCCTCATATCCGGAATGGGCACTACAGGATTACGAACATGGGAAGCGTCATTGTTCCTCTCGGAGTATTTTGTCCATGAAGCTTTTTTGGTCAATAAAAGTGTACTAGAATTGGGATGCGGCACCGGACTTGTGGGCATCTCATTGCTTAAAAACAAACTATGTGAAAGTGTCATATTCACAGATGGTGACATTGGAGTAGTTGAGAAAATGAGCAACATCTTGAGTCACAATGGAGTCAATGGCAACTCTCAGCAACTTTTATGGGGAGAATCTCAAGTTCCATCCGTTGATATTTTAGTCGCTGCCGACGTCACATACGACATATCTGTATTACCTAGCCTACGCGAGACACTAAAAAGTGCATTTTCATCCGGATGCCAGCAAATATTCATAGCTGCAACAATTAGAAACGAAGACACAATTCTGGCTTGGGAAAATGAACTCACAAACCATTTCAAATGGAGCGTCATTGCCTCAAAAAATCATAGCAACATCAATCTTCAGTGCTGGTATCCGCCACAAACTCCCGACATCAAGATATACAGTATAGAAATATGACTGTATAAGTTTTACACATTTTTCCACGTTCCATATTTATAAGCTTCACGTTAACTGTTACTTACATCTTGTATGTCTTAGTAGGGTAGACACACTCAAAGTAGTTTTCCGACAAAAAGTGTGAAAAAGTTCAGACCCAGGCTTACTGCTCAATTGCGTACATGTGTCTGTATACTGAAACTGTAAGACTCGGCTAGGAGGCTACTTGGCTTCATGGCTGTAAAGTCTTAGGCATTTGCAGTCATAGATATACATCTCTACACCACAGACGAGAAAGACCTGCATACAACACGCTCATTTTATTGGTCAGGATTCAAAGCCGAAGAGAAACCAGTGCGACGGACACAATTCATCAAAATGCCAGCTAGATTCCCAACCCCCGTTTTCAAATACTACTGGCCATACGCTACTGGAGGTATGTACCGACTCAGCAGACAACGTAACAAGTTTGATTGGTTTCGAAAGACGCTGTAATTCGGATTAAATGCGACGCTCTTTTCGACCCTTTTTCTTCGTCTATTAAGCGATGAACTGGAAAGAAAACGACGTGAAAACGCGTAGAATATACAATTGAGAGATCAGAAAGAACCACAAACTTTTTTGGCGTCATTTGGCGCTTTTTCCTTGAAAATTACTAACTCAGCCGGTATCACATACTACCTCATCTACAAGGCCAGCATTGCTTCCATGAACTCCGATGAGTTTATCAATGACCCAAGACACCCCAGATTTGCCAAGGGCGGCAAGTTCATCGACTTGGAATCGAAAAACTAGGTGTGTAGAAATAGATACATTATTGAAAACTGTAGACGAAAAGTGGCTCAGCTCAGGTAAACTGGATTAATGTGTTTTTTGCGGAGAGTTACTCTGTTGGACATGTCAATGTGACGTCGATCCAATGAATGGCTCCATGTACGACAACTGCATATTATGAACCACTCAGCAAATTACTTATTCAGCTCAACTCTTGAGAATTTCAGTCTCAGACAAATTCGGTCCAAACACCAATTCTAGGCTATGTCTCAATTGGCTCGTTTGTGGTACACAAAACCTATCATTGTCTGTGCTATAAGCTTGTGAGCAAATTTTCCTTCACTTTTTTTTCTTTAGGCAAGTAGTCTCTCACCCCATCTCTACAAACAATAACTGCGCACGAGTCTCATGTAAGATTATGTAGTTCCGCGCAGTACATTTAGCCGATGAAATGATCTAGCTGCGGTAATTGAATTTCAGTTCCCCTATTGGCAAATTTGCATTGCCCCGACCATAGTGCGGCTCGGTTCCACATGTGCCATTGTATACCTGCAGAAAATTTTCTTATCGGTGTGTCATGTGTCACTCTATTGGGTGAAAAAAACTTTAAACCAAATAATAGGCAACATCGGTAACCCCTTTGAAGTGCTTGCATTCGAAGAGACTTTCAACTTAAATTTAAGCGGACCCAACTTGAGTTTGTAGTAGCATCGGAGATTTAAACTTTATTCCGCATTTAAAATTGTATTTTGGGGCGTTTCAAATCATTTCCTACCGTCACTTTCCAACTTTGGAACGTGGATGTCAACCGAATAATAACAATAGCTGTAAAAAATTTGGTATTGTTGCAGGACTTTCATATATTACAGAAAAAATTTGTGCCAAGTTTAGGTGACATCAAGAAGTCCAATAGTAAATCAAGACTTGAAAAAGCCTAAAGCGACTACAACAGGCAAAGACGTTGAAAACAGGAAAAAGCAGGACTTTTTAAAATATCAAAGTGATACCCCAATATAATTGTCTGGAGCATAACTCAAATTTATGGAACACAACTCCCATACCTCCATGACTGAAAAGACCATGAATCTGGTGCACATGTCGCCCAGACAGACGACGGGTACGACTGTCGACGAATACTCAGGAGAATCGGTCAATTTACTGCCCTATTCGTCTGGTGAAAAACCGTCAGTAGTTAGACGGTTCGTGGATTCTTTTAAGCCATATGATTATTCCCAGCTACCTATTCAGTATTTCACCTCCCATTCTGCGGTAGACTACATCAACTCCAATCCACTGGAATTTCAACCGGAAATGCACCCAAATCATCCTGATTTCGATTACTCCAAATTGAGTGAACTTGAAAGAAATGCTATTGTCACGTCGCTGCTGCCTCTTTCTAAGCAACTCAAATCAAGACACTTGCAAATGATTGCGTTGGGCGGATCCATAGGAACTGGTTTGTTCGTTGGAGTGGGTTCGTCGCTACTGGCCGCTGGACCTTTTGGTCTACTTATCGTATGGCTTTTCATAGCGCTGGTTATCTTTGTTACGATGTCGTCATTGGCAGAGTTGGCGGTAGCATTTCCAATCTCAGGAGCCTTTATTACATTCAACTCTCTCTTCATCGATTCGCTGTGGGGGTTTGCCATGGCATGGAACTATGCCCTTCAGTGGTTAGTCACCCTTCCCTTGGAGCTCGTAGCAGCATCCATGACGATTCAATACTGGAATAGCCACGTCCTGCCGGCAGTCTTCGTTGCTATCTTCTGGGTATTAATCTGCATAATTAATCTCTTTGGAGTGAAGGGCTACGGTGAGGCAGAATCAGTATTCAGTATCATCAAAATTGTGGCCGTTGTGGGTTTCATTATCCTTTCTATCATTATCATTTCGGGTGGTGCACCTCCTGAACACCGTTATATAGGAGGATCGAATTGGCATGGCCCAGATGGAGGAATGTTCAATTCAAGTGAACCTTTCAAGAACATGTGTTCCACAATATTCACCGCAGCATTTTCGTTTGCAGGTGTGGAGTTATTTGGCTTAGCATCGTGTGAAACAGCAAACCCCAAGGCTTCCATTCCTAAAGCCATGAAACAAGTGTTCTGGAGAGTTCTCATTTTCTACATTGGCTCTATCATCATGATTGGGCTCTTGGTTCCCTATAAGCTGTCACAACTTTTGGGAAATAATACCAAAGCAGCAATTGCTGGCGTCGACATTAATGTATCACCGTTTGTTATCGCCATTCAATCAGCAAAGATCCCAGCGCTTCCTTCTATCATGAACGCTGTTATCATCATCACAGTTTTGTCTGTTGGTAATTCGAGTGTCTACGGTTCATCCCGTACTCTTGCCGCATTGGGTGCGTTGAGACAGGGTCCAAAAATCTTGAATTACATCGACCGCCGAGGAAGACCTCTTGTTGCACTCGCAGTCCAATTTGCTATTGGGTTATTATGTTTCTTGGTACTTCTTCCCGGTAAGAATGGAACAGCAGATGCTTTCAGTTGGATGCTTTCCCTACTGGGATTGTGTTCTATTTTCACGTGGTGGTCTATCTGCCTTTGCCATCTCCGATTCCGAGCAGCATTACGAGCAAGGGCTCGTGTGGCAGAAGAAGAATTGGTATATACCACCAATATCTGGGGTTCATGGTATGGACTTATTACTCTTGCGATAATCTTGGGATTACAATTTTGGGCTGCTCTTTTTCCGACTGGGAACGGTGGTAAGGCCGATGTGAAAGGATTCTTTCAAATCTACCTCGGTGGACCAGTAGTTTTTGTCTGTTATGCGCTCCACAAGATCTATGCATACTTTTATAAGGGGGTACCCTTGACGAAATTTTATTACGACGCCAAAGAAATCGATGTTGATACTGGCAGACGTGAGATCGATCTTGAAATCGTAAAACAAGAAATTGCAGAGATGAGAGAGCAGGCGAGAAACCGTCCATGGATTTACAGACTTTATAATGTATTTTGTTAATGACAATTATCTATTTGCAGCCAATGCACATATTTAGCCGCGGTTCCGTATCAAACCCCCAACGTGCGTTGAAACTTGACTTTTGACATATGCAGTACGATTGCCTAATCGATCTGCAGTTTCCACACGCACGGCGATAGAGCCACATGATTTATGCAGGAAAGGAACCAACAAGGCATTTATTATGCATCAATTTCTCCAAACGAGCTCTCGAGAGTCAGCACAGACTTTTGCTTTACTTCTTTGATTTAGATCCAGCTCAAACATCATGCACAAAATGAAGATAAATCACTGAAATGTCTTGTTTTCCAATCAGATTATCTAATCAGCTATCAATGTGGTGTATTGATCTTCACTTTTCGGCCCGAAGATGATGTTAATGAATTTGAAATTTGCGTTTTCCCAAACATAATTCGATGGCTAGACCAGCTGTATTCAAATCATGTTTGCATGAGATTTCCACAGTCTACATGATATGCTTAGCTCAGTTTTTGGCTCAGGGAGGAGTGTTAATGGCTTTGAGTACAAAAAACATCATTTTGCAATCGTTCAATGATCCAAATTTTGACCACTCACAGGCTGTCTGGTTTATGGGGTCCTTTGCATTGACGGTGGGAACATTCATCTTAATCAGTGGGAAGATCGGAGACGTTTTTGGATTGAAATTAGTTTTCGTGGTGGGATGGGTATGGGTGTCAATTCTCTCCATCATCACTGGTTTCTCCTACTATTCAAAGTCTGTCATCTTTTTCATCATATGTCGGGCACTCCAGGGAATTGGATTTGCCTTGATTTTGCCTTGTGGAATGGGAATACTTGGAACGCTTTATCCTAATGGTGAACGTAAGAATATTGCATTTGGTTGTGTGGGAGCACTGGGTCCTTCAGGTGCTTTTTTTGGAGCGTTTATGGCTGCAGTCATTGCGCAATTAGCGTGGTGGCCGTGGGTGTTTTGGATAATGGGAATCGTGGCAGCTATTGGTGCCGTGATCTCGTATTGGGTTATCCCCATGGAACTCACCAATAAAGAATGTTCGACAAGGGAAAAGCTTAGGAGGATAGATACCTATGGGTCATTAACAGGAGTGGCAGGACTTGTTCTTCTTAATTTTGTATGGACTCAAGGACCGGTTGTCGGATGGGGTACGGCGTATATCATCATACTTTTGGTGGTTTCTCTTGCACTCACTGGAATCTTTTTCTATTTAGAGGTCAAGGTGATTGAAATGCCTTTACTTCCCGCAGGAGTGTTTAATCGAAAAATAGGGCTTTGCCTTTTATGTTTGGGTTTGGGATGGGGATCGTTTGGAATATGGCAGTACTATTATTGGAGTTTACTCTTAGACCTTCGCCATTACACTTCGATTCACGGTGGATTAACGTACCTCACTTTTTGCATCATGGGAATTATTGCAGCATTGCTGTGTGGGTTTATTATGTCTCGAACAAGCCCATCTTACATCATTTCTTTTGCATCAATTGCATTCATGTGTGGTTGCATTATGCTTTCGGTCACCCCTGTCAAAGAAAGCTTCTTTCGCATGTCCTTTGGCCAGCTTTTCATTCTTGTGTGGGGAATGGACCTTAGTTTTCCTGCTGCATCCTTGATCTTGTCCGATAATTTACCCATTGAACAGCAAGGAATGGCAGGGCTGTTAGTAACAACAGTAACAAATTTTTCTGTTTCCCTTATTTTGGGAATCAGTAGTACCGCCGAAATCGAGGTCTTTAGGCGTACTGGTGATACTCTTCTGAGTTATCGTGCAGCATTATATTTGGGGATTGGTGTGTCTGGTCTTGGAGTATTATGCTCGTTTGTGTTTATCTATCAACAATTAAAAGAGTCAAAGCAGATCAAGGAACAAGAGAAGATGGGCGAGATAGACCAAGAAAATCACGAAAGCACTTTAAGACCAACTACCGATAAAAGCGACTTGACTGAACAAGCCCTAGACATCAGTATATCCAATTAATAACTAATATAGATAATAGATCTAGAAGCTACACTTACCACTGCTCACAATCTCAGTAATGACCAGCAACTATTCAAATACGAAAAGTACTTCTATTGCTGCTCAGAATTATAACTACCTTTTTTGCACCCACTCGCACCTATTTAGTCGTGCGCGAAAATCTCAACAACTACACTTGACGGAACAGAGAAGGTACTTTGGAGTAATTTTCTAGGTCGCAGGAAGGCAGTTTAAAGTACAAAGACAAGCTTCAACAAGTGATCTCACTCCAGGAAGGCTCTAAGTGGTATAAAGTTTGATTGATCGATAGTTTTTGACACCTTTCTCAACCTGTCAAATTGTGTCTTGAGATTGCCGGTTTGGGTCCAAAATAAGTAAACGTTCCAATTTTGCGTTGACTGACAGAATCATCTGCTCCAACAAACTAGTAGTGCCAATTGATTCCCTGGAAATTTTTTATTCAGATTTCAATTGCATTTGAGCAGATCATCTGGTATTGAATGTTCATTTTGCAGTTTAGTTGAACATCTTCCACCTTGCTTGAATAACAGAAATCAATAGCGTCTTGTGGCTCATAAAAATTCTTTGGTATTATTTGAACTTCCTTCAACCTCCATTCCATCACAATGTCGAAACCATTTCCCAAAAGACTGGAACTACAGGATCTTGTTAAAGAGTTTCAGGCCAAGTTGGGTGGTGATTGGGATAAATACCATGAGTCACTCAGTCTTTTTTTAGTGGGAAAACTTTCCAGAGCTGAACTTGTTTCGCAAATAACCCCAATTCTAAAAGGTGGTCTCGTGAAGTATCACAATAAACTCCTCCTACTTAACTTTGTGAGTTCATTAAAAAATGGGCCATTGGACTACCAAAATGAACTTGCGTTATTTTGGAACAAGAAAGCGAACAAAGGAAAGACTGTTCGATCGAGCCAATATGAAAAGTTCAAGCAGAATATTATGGGCCTTCCTTTGCGAGAAAGACGCAGAATAAAAAACATCACTCGTGACAGTGGTAAGAAGGGAAAGTTAAGCGCGTCAATTACACTTACTAGACATGCATTGCTTCCCAAAATACCCATTGATACAAGACAAAGAACAGCAGAAACTTCAAGTTAATAACTTGGTGCCATTGGCAACAAGACGTGGTGAATGGAATAATACTCCTCTTTCGACGCAAACATACGAAATCCCTGACTATGAGGATTTGAGTCGCCATGTGCTCATGACAATGAGAGAATATGGGTTGACTGGCGGAGCCAGTATACCTGCTCTCGAAATGATAATCTTGGGACTAGAAACCCATCTTCGCAATATCGTCGAGAGTGCCATAGATGTTGCAAGATATAGAAAGCACAAGTACTCTGCGAATGACATTGTTTCTGCAATTGGCATTGACCCCGATGGGCCGAAAGAAACGACTCCTGAAACTCCCATGCCCCAAGTAACTCTTCATATCGAGGACTTGTTCAACACACTCGAGATGTATCCGCATTTAATCGAACCTTGTGGCTCAAAATTGAGATTACCAAGTATAACGCTTGAGAATGACGATATGATTGATACTAAGTATGAGTTACCTCCTCGAGAGCAGAACGACGAGGAAGAAATAAAGGAAGAACCCGATAAACGAACAGCACATCTTGGGACAACTGATGAGCTCAAATGGGTGCTTCATGATCTTATAACGACAACTTAGTCTATGTATAGTATACCAGTATGTATAATTATAAACTTCTATTTTTGGTGTCGTTGTTTTACTGCCTCCAATGCTGTGATTATTTGTTCGTCGGGCTGCGATATGTGTAATGAGCGATTATTGTGACAATAATCAATCAAAGACTTTAAAGAGGGGTCCTGCCCCAAAATTAAATCGGGCTGAACACTTAAATCAGCACCACTAATATCAAGAACAACCATATCACACTGCCGCACGATACCGTTGATGGTTCCGTAAATGCTCAAGATTGATAGGTGGCCCTTACTATGTTCTGGAATGGGTATTCCTTTCAAGTCCTTCGAACTCTCGATGACCATCTTCTGGGCACGTATGTCCTCTAGGCTAGCTTTGACTTCTGCGGCTACTGGCCGTCTAGAATCTAGGAGATCCACGGATGGAGTTTGCCCAACATCAAGACACTCTCAAGGCATACTCAAACGACCATCCTTTAAATGCTGGAGACGCGGTTCTTTCAAGAATCAGTTCAAAGCAAGACGACAAAATTTGGGACACGAAACCTGGCTGTTTATGCCCAGAAATGATGATCCCGCAATTCAACATACGCTTAACAGAAGTGCCAACAAAACATAGAAACTCATCGATTATCTCTTGATTGCAACTGTCTTTGGAAAACTCTTTTGCAAAGTGAGTAGAGCTCCTTGGTGAATCTCTGACATAAATTCGAGGACCTCGTTCATAATCCATAATAGCATCTTCAAGCATACGCCTGTGGAGGTTGTGAACATTGAGCTGTTCTCGAGCCTTTCCGAATGATTTACCTTCTTCTGCAACTGCAGCTTTCCATCTAGATGCTTCTGCTTTTGCTTGGGCGAGGTTGTTTTCCGCCTCAAGTAGCTCATTCAGAAGCTGAGCCTTATCGGCTTCAAAACGTTGTACATTTTCCTTTATCCTTTTGATTTCATTTTCCAATTGACCATTTTCATCACGCAATTTTTTTATTGATGCCTCCATTTCATTCACTTCACTCTCCACTGATTGAAACTCGACCAATTTTGATTGGTATTGGTCTTCGAGAGCGGATGCCTCGTTTGTTTTTGAAGCAAGCACCCTGTTCATTTCTTTTTCAAGGCTCGAAGCCTCTTCTTTGAATTTGCGTTGGTTTTCTGCAACGACTTTGGCATATTTCTCTTCTAGTACCTTGGTCTCGTCCCGCAACCTTTGCACTTCTGCCAAAAGCTCTTCATCGTTGTAGTTCTTCGCTGCTGCCAATTCATCCTGTAATTGAAACTTGGCTTCGTTATACTCTGACGTGAGTTTATTAATCAAGTCTTTCACTTGCAAATTCATCATTTGTTCGCGATGCAGAACATTTTTCATGATGCGGTCCTCAGAGTACTCGAAGCGTCCCTTTTCAGTGGCTATCTGGGCATCTAGGTCAGAAACCTTATGTAGGATCTTCTTGTGACTTCGGCGAAGTTCAACCATGTCTGTCTGTAAAGCTTCATGTTTAGATCGAAGGTCCTTCAACTGAGAGTCCAATTCCACCTCAAGGTTCTTCTGGCGCTCCAAGTGACGATTAAACAGTTCTTCAGCATTAGATGAGCGATCGGGTCGCCTGGAATCCACTTGTTGTGATTTTGATTTGCGAACGAAATTCTGATTCATATCCAAAAGCCTATTGATATGAAGTAGATCTAGCAGCGGTGAAACTTGTGCTGGAATCGGCTTCGGCGTTGGGATTCGAGACCGGGTTTCAATTCGTGCCATGTCGAAAGTGAGTGACTTTCGTTTCAAAGATGAAACATTAGCCTCGGTAAGGGGCCGCTTCTGTGGAGACGGCATTGTATGCAAAATTTATGGGAGACACAACGCGGTCAGAATGCTCAATATAATGATAGTAGTGCTCAAAAATGTCCTCAAACAAGTAAATTAGTGCTAGGTTAAGTTTATACCTGGTGCAACCACTGGTGTAAACAGATGCGAAAGGTTGTCTCATCCCACTTACATAATCTTCAGATTCGCGGCATTGGGAGCTGTTGCAGCGCTTACATTTACGCTGAAACACCATAGGTTGATTCATATTTACATGGTTAGTTAAAGTCCCGGATTTGCAAGTTCCTTGGTCATGGCCGGCAATGCAACTCTGAGTCCGTCTAATTCTTATTGTCATTTTTAATTTGGCACCCTAATCGGGACGTCTCGGTAAGTCCGAACGCCAAATCGAGCATATCATTTTCATCATCATCGGGTTCAGGAATCTCGTCGTAGAATTCAGGATCCACAATTACATGACATTGTCGAGCAGGCACAAGATCCCGCCGCATGCACCTTCCATATCCAAATTATGTGCTTGTGCGATGTCCAAAAGGTTGTCACCTTCAGCAACCTCAAAAGTATGTTGCAGTCCATCCTTGGGTAATGAAAGTGATATGGAGCTCCTCACCAGGCTTGGGCTTATGTATATGGCCGTGGAAAAGAGGTGTAGAAGTATGAAGTCCTCGGATGGAACCATGAAGATTGCCCAAAGTTCGCAATTGTCCTCTACTTTTTGCAGGTGTCATGATAATACTTTTGTGCAAAGCAACACGAGGAGATTGCGCACGCACGGTAACCAGCGCCTTGACGCCTGTGCGTCCCCACATGGACCGGAAGGTATTCATGAACTATGATTTCGCCTTCAATTTTTCTTCATCTCATTAGTCGCGACCCCTATACAGGAGCACGCAAAATCGTAGATAACATTACTGATTAACACTACCAAAACTTACTAGCTAAAACGAGGAAGATAAGTAAGATGAGCACGGCAATGATAGCATAGCTGATGAACTTATTGGCGGTTATACGTCGTGAAATGGACTTGAGTGTTTTCACCGATTTGTCGATGTATCCATCGGCTGCGGTTAGAGTGTCACGAGCCCCCATAATCTGTTCTCGTTGAGCTCGTAAATCGTTCAAAATATTTCCTCCAATGGATTCAGTTTCAAGGGCAACTCGCTGAGAATCGTGCAACCGCTGAGTGGACCGGTCCAAGGAAGATTGGTTGTTAAGAAGTTGTTTACGTTGCAGGTCATGAACACCGTCATCATTGTCACTGTAGCGGTTTCCGAAAAGTTCTTGTTTATCTTGGTCATCTAGAAGCTGGCTCAATCGCTGTTTCGATTCCTCGGTTTGGTTCCGATACTGACGGATTTTGGTATTATAACTTGACCTTTCACTGGCTGGTAAATTTTGAACTTCAAGACTCATTTGGTCTACCAACTCCAAACACTCATCGGTGGCAGACTCTATTGCCTGTAATGTAACTTTGCGCTGGTTTGCTTCAAGACCAGGGACCTCTGCAATACGCGCTTTTGCATCTCTGTAACGCTAGCTGGAAATCCGATTCATACGTGGTAAAAAGTTCCGACATGGGTGTACTTGCCGTTGTGCGAATAGGGATTATATTTATCCCCAGGTTGCGGTGTATGGATGTGAAATCGAATTTCTTCATTAAACAATTTCTATATCGTCTACTTGTGACGGGTTTCAAACTCTTCGCCAGAAAACTCATCGGGATCGTCTTCGTCACGCAGCTTGTACCTGTGGAATGCTGCTCTAATTTGCCCGAGAAGGTTATCGTCTACTGCCGAATTTCCATCGACAGAACTCTTGGACTTGGAAGGTGTCAAACTATCCATATCATCTAAATCGTCGCCCGCCTGTGGCCTGGAATCAATGCTTGTCTGATCTTCATCATCTAAGTCAAGCGCATGGATAGTCATGTTCAAAAGTGACTTTCCACTTCTTCTACGCATAAGTCTTCCTGGGAATGGTCCCGATTTTGGAAGATATTGCGTTACATCGTCGTCTAAAACATCCTTCGTCGATCCGCTGTTGTGCAACACCACAGAAGAGCGACGAGGAGTACGAGGTGTCTTGGGTGCTCTGCAAGAAACTCCATTGTCGTGAATCCATTTGGCCACCAATGCTGTCCAACCACACTGGTGAGAAGCTCCCAAACCACGACCTGTGTCACCATCGAAATACTCGTAGAATGGCACGTAGTCTTTGAACAATGGATCTTTGGCAAGCTCATCACCACCATTACATGCTCTGTTCCCATTTTCATCAGGAAGGAAAAGATGGATGAGCCGGTGCTGAATTTCTTGAGCACATTGAGCCAAATTCAAATAATCACCAGAACCCTTTGGACACTCCACTTTGAGTTCTGGTCCGTAGTATAAGTAGAACCTTTGCAAAGCTTCTACCAACAAAAAGTTGACTGGGAACCAGATAGGACCTCTCCAATTAGAGTTTCCACCAAACATACCTGAATCAGATTCACCCGGAAGGTAGTTGACAGTATACTTTTCGCCATGAACATCCATTTCGAAGGGATTCTTTTCATGGTACTTGGAAAGAGAACGAATTCCATGGGGAGATAAGAACTCATCCTCATCCAACATCTTTTCTAAAATTGCAACTAAGCGATCTTTGTCGACCAACGCAAGAAGAAGTCTTTCACCCACACCCCTGGTTTCCATGGAGGCAATGTTACGTTCGGCAACGGTTTTCCTGTGCTCAATAAACCAATCGAGACGTTTCTTGAACGAAGGGAATCTAGCCACCAACTCAGGTTCAAGGGTCAAAGACGCATATAAAGGAATGAGTCCAACCAAGGAGCGAACAGGAAGAAGCTGCGAATGGTTACCATAACTGATGGCATCATAGTAGAACTGATCATTTTCATCCCATAACGACAGCTCCTGTTCAGCACCACCTCTATAAGTCATTGCATCAGCAATCAATATAAAGTGTTCGAAAAACTTTGAGGCAATGTTCTCATATATGGGGCGGGTCTTTGCCAATTCAAGTGCAATGTTCAACATTTGCAAGCAAAAAAACGCCATCCAACCGGTGGAATCAGCTTGTTCCAAACTACCACCAGTGGGAAGTGGTTCCGAACGATTGAATACACCAATGTTGTCAAGACCCAAAAAGCCTCCTGCAAACACATTGTTACCTTCGGCATCTTTCCGATTGACCCACCAAGTGAAATTGAGGAGTAACTTTTGAAACACAGTTTCCAAAAAGTCAAGATCTTCTGTACCATACATTTTCCTCTCAATCTTGAAAATTCTGTACGCAGACCAAGCATGAACCGGAGGATTGACATCACTAAAGTTCCATTCATAAGCAGGAATTTGTCCATTAGGGTGCATGTACCATTCACGAGTAAGCAAATCAAGTTGCTTTTTGGCAAATTCAGGGTCTATCATGGCAATAGGAACACAGTGGAATGCAGTATCCCAGGCTGCGAAAAATGGATATTCCCATTTATCAGGAAGCGAAAGCACATCATCAATATGCAAATGCTTCCAATCCCTATTTCGACCATTTGCACGGTTCACGGGAGGCTTTGGGGTGTTGGGATCACCACGGGACCAATAACTGTGAACAAAGTAGTAAAATTGCTTTGTCCATAAAAGACCAGCAAATGCTTGTCTTTGCACTTGACGAAGTTCGTCACTCAATGGAAGTGGTGATATCTTCCAATAAAAAGCATCTGCTTCATCTTGGCAGCGCGAAAATACCTCATCAAGTTGCAACTCATCAATATCACCCGGTTGCCGAGTAAATTTGTAACGAATGGTGACATAATCGCCAGCGGGAACACTTTCAAAATTGAACCAAGCACAAGCTTTCGTACCAGTACGTTCCGGATTGACCGTCTCTGACTTACCATCGATGACAGCATCGTGAAATGCATCCTTGACATACTTGACCTTGTTTGGTTGACCGTAAAGACGATCAGTATTGGTCTCATTTTCGGTGAAAAGAAGTTGAGGATCAATATCGGGAGCATCATCATCAAACCCTGGAGCCGGTGCAAAAACAAGATATCTCTTCCCAAACTTGGCATGGTCAACCTCAATTGTGTAATCATCAAGAGCCTTCACGCTAGGCTTTTCTTTCTTGGATTCATCGTCGCCCCAAGACCAAGTGTTCCGCAAAACCACATGTGGCATAATATGCAAAGGTGCTGCATCTGGACCACGATTGTAGGCGGTGATTCTAAATACGAGTTCCTCATCGTCATCTTTTGCCATTTCGAAAACCACATCGAAATACCGATTTTCATCAAAAATTCCTGTATCGGAAAAGTTCATATTCAAGCTCTTGTCTTGAACGTTTGCCATTGGTCTCAACAAGATCTTTGTATGGAAATTCCCGTTGCGGATACTTGTACAAGTACTTCATATAAGAATGTGAAGGGGTGTTGTCAAGATAATAGTACAACTCCTTGACATCTTCACCATGGTTACCTTGCGAATTGGTGACACCAAATGCTTTTTCCTTCAAGATCTCATCTTTTTCATTCCACAATGCCATCAGCATACATACCATTTGATGGGTATCGGACACTCCTGCTAATCCATCTTCTCCCCACCGATATGTTCTAGACCGTGAATGTTCAAATGGGAAATCACTCCACGCATCTCCGTCGTGGGAATAATCTTCTCTAACAGTTGCCCACTGACGCTCACCAAGATACGGACCCCATTTTTTCCAGTATTTAGTACGTTCTTTATTTTCTTTAAGTCTTTGCTCCTCTGCCGTGACCCCGTAATCCATTGCTTGAATTCGGATAGACAAAGAACAATCCCTAAATTTCACTCGCAGCAACTTCGACGCACCTTGCATGTTCTGTGCAGGGCACGAGAGTGGGCAACTCCGAAGCTGCAAATACGAGCACGAAAAGACAGGAGTCGTTCACGAGTTTGATACTGTTCGATGCTGAAAAATTGAGTGTGCTGACTGTTCAGTTTACCTTTCATATCTGGTTAACTTTTATCATTTTATATTGAATCTCACTCTCTTATCTATCTACTTTAGCTCACGCAGTTTCTCTTTTAACCATTTCTCCAAATACCAGTTCTAACCCTCTTTCTTGCACTATATGGCGGTAACAGTTGAAGAAATACGTTTCGGACGCTTCAAATACTAGGTACCTCAAAGTGGTTAAAAATGTCTTGAAATCACGACAAAAGTTGGCAAGCTGGTCCACAATGGTATTGTGGTAGTTGAGGGTGACTGAGTTGGGGTAATCAAAGTATTCTTGGCTAATGAGAGTGTTATTATTGATGATGGGAGTTTTGAAATCTTTTAGTGCCAATTGCAAAAATTGCAACCGTTGCAAATTATTGACCACTCTTATAAGTTCAGGAATCTCATACTGATTAACGGGAACACGAAGAAACTTCAAATTGTGGAGCTGCGATAACTTTTGGAGTTGGCTGGCATACCTGTAACAGCCATCTTTATTTTGGTGAACTGACTCAAAGTCAAAATCTAGATATGTCAACGTTCCACGATGAGCCGTGATAGCATTCACTGTCTCACGTAATTCGGGTTCCCGGTGTAGAGAAGACCAACGGACTTGCAATTCAAGCTTTCGAAGCTTACTGGGTAAGTATTTGATAAAGCGAATTGCTGAATCATTAGCGTTGGCTTCATTACTGAGACCAAGACTAAGAGTGTGAAGGTTAACCATTTTTGGCTGCAAAACGTCAAGGAAATAGTCCACGCCCTGAACCTTTTCCGTGCAATTGAGGAGCTTGAGCGTCTTGATTTGATTGAGATCAATAGTTTTTGACAACCGATTGGCATCATTGGCACATATGCACATATCTTTCAAGACCAATTCCGTGATCGATTGCAGCAAAGGAAATGCCGAAAACTGTGCAATATAATTTGCTTCGTCAACATATGGATCCGGAAGCTCAATAAAGTTTGAAACAGAGCTTGCATGTTCACTATTCTTCAAGGCACTTGTCAGACTGTTTCTTGACAAGGTGAGCGAGCTGAGATTCACAAACCTAGGCAATGCAAGTTTTGCTAGATTTGTGTGCTGGCCAAATCCAGAGACCAGTAGCTCTTCTAGACGATACACATGGTTGTCACCGGCAAATAAATTGACCTTTTCAAAACTCTTGAAATTTCCAACTACTGATTTCATGTTCACCAAATTTGGCACTTTTGAAAGAAGTTCACAAGATAAGTACATTTGAATAGTGAACCACTTGAGTTGCTCCAAATTCGAAAGGTTTGGGAATATCTTTTCAAGGAAGTGAAAAAGTTCAAGTTCCGGAAGATCGGGAATTTCGTCCATGAACTGAAGAACCCGAACGTATGAACAATATTTTTGGTTCAGGTACAAATTCTTCATAAATAGCGTAAAAGAATAAAGAGACTTGATGGTGGTGGACCTCGTCGACTTTAAGTCTTCAGTTCCATATGGTAGACGCGACGAATCAATAGTGACCGATGAGTAAATCTGGGGTAGAAGAAGGTCATAGTTGGCCTTACAAGTATACCCAAGACGAAGTACATCGCTGGTCGCGATATATGTGCTGATCTTGCTGATCAACTCTGGTGGTAAATCCATTAGGATAGATCGGTTTTCACCACCAACAAAATATTTCAAGGTTCCGGCCCCGGCATATGCATATGCACGATGGCCGCAATCGGGAATTATCTGATCGGATCTATAAACCCGAGAGAAATCGATTCAAGCTCAAGACACCAGGGACACCATTACATCCAATGCACCATATTCACCTGCGTGTCGGCGCAAAAAAATAAACAAAGTGTCAAGACCTGCAGGCGGAATACCGGACCTATTTGGAGGGGTTACCCGGTCATCGGCTCAACATGCATGTCCTCCGATAGAAATATGAAACTACCCCTGATTTATATCCACATTTCAAACTTTTTCTTGTTGCTCCGCCCAGATTTTTCGCTGTTCTGCACCACACGTTTCCAAACGACGTTTTTCCCGAGAGTGGCGGTGGCAACAACGGGCCACATCCATCCACCAATTGCTGATTGGCGGTTACCCGGGAGTCGTGTGCGTACCCCTTGGCCAACTTAATAATCTGTCCATCTGCTAGGAGAGATATTACAGAACCGTCCGTTTACAACACGGTATAGACTAGACAGGAGAAGCACATTGGAGGTGGAATCAAGCATAGGGGGTTTTATTAATTAAGAGCTTCCCAATTACATGTACTGATAAATTTGTCGATTTTTCACCATCAAGGAGTAGTCACGAGCAACACCTAATTTAGAGTCATAGACGAACCTTTGGAGGTTCCAGAACCAAGCAAGGCATTACCGAGGGACGATAGTATCGTAGAGTATCGTTTGACAAATCATTTGTTTTCCTCATCGATCTCCAGATCTAAATGTTCAACACTGAAATTTTCAATAATGGGTCCGGGTCTGGTTCCGATAACCATCTAGCCATTCCCCAGCCCATAGATATTACATACCAGCGACAGCAGCTGATATTCAATAATTCCAGGTTCCGCAGAGAGTCCATAGCTCATTCTCAGGGTATGGGAGGAGTGCTGTGGGGGTCAGTTACCATCGGGCTGTGGCTCAAGGATGAAGTGATGATGTTGAACCAGCATCAGAACCAGAATCAAAACCAGAATCAGTTTCAAAATCAGGCAGCCCAACTCATCAACCCTAGAAGGGGACTGTTCCGCCATCCTAGTACCAGTCATCATATGGCTACTTCGCCACCACTGCAAGCGTCATATCTTCCTAATCTCGAAGCGGATTACTGTAAGGATTACAGTTGCTGTGGACAGCATCTCCCCACATTGCATGATTTGTTGCGACATTATGAAGAGGCCCATATTAGTCTGTCACCACCGGCTGACCATAACCTCTTGAATTCAGCCAGATCCAATAGGGCCAATCTCAATAATATCCACAATGTAATGGAGACCGTCAGCACCAACGACGTGTTCTTGAATACCCAGCAGCATCCTCAAGTGCAACCCACCATCAATGCGGCACCATTTCAATTCAATCTTCAGCACCAAACCATCAACCAAAGCTTTGGCATTCCTCAACAACGTAACAACAGCAATACTCACCAGAACCACAACGGAGGCATCCAACAGCATGGCAATGGTGCTACTTCGATTCCTCCTTCCAGTATTCAGCAACAGCAATTACCTCAACAGGTACATCCACAACAAGTGCACCATCAGTCACCGCTTGGTCAATCTAGACCAGGGTCGGCTCAGGCTGAAGATGATGATAGCACCATGTATATCGATGACCCAGCACGTCATTTATATGTGATGGAAAATACCGAGCATAAACCATTTAAATGTCCCGTGATTGGATGTGAAAAAACGTACAAGAACCAAAACGGTCTCAAATACCATCGTTTGCACGGGCACCAGAATCAAAAGTTGAAAGAAAACCCCGATGGAACTATTTCCATTATCGACCCGGAATCCAACACGCCGTACTTGGATGGAGCGGGCATGGAAAAAGATAAGCCATACCGCTGTGAGGTATGTGGCAAACGGTATAAGAATCTTAATGGTCTCAAGTACCACAGGGGCCACACTACCCACTAGCATGTAGTATAGCGGTGTATGAGCGCATGAATAGGAAATGTAATGTTTAAATTTTTAAAGTTCGCGTCGAATAATTCAATTCCCCACAAATTAACTTTACACAATGGTTAATCTAGCTGTACCACTAGCGTTGACGAGGCAATCATTGTACTATAGTACAATTCTCTTCTCGACTCTTGCTATCTTGCTTCCGTTATCCATTTTATCTTACTTGTACTTTTATTCAACTTTGATCCCCATTCTGGTTTTGAGGGTCCCCATCACTTTTTCTCCAAAAGAAAGTTTTCACGAAGAAAGGAGAGGCTATGCAAATCTAGAACCATACATCAAGGTATTTGAGCAGACTCCAGACCTCATGTATTTATTATCTTTGAACTTGGACATTATATGCTACTCTGAGAAAAACAGTATTAGGTCGGTGATCCATAACGTAACCCTTGGCTCATATTCGGCCAGATCAACATTTGTACTCAACTGTGAAGAGGATTACATTTTCCACTCGAATAATCGGCTCATTCCTTATAAGCTACGCCATTATGTGTCTCCCCAATTGACCGATATACGCAAGATTGTAAATGTCAATTCTCAGTATTCTTTGCAAAGTGGACGACAGATATCAGAGACTCTGTCATATAATGCTAGAATTGATGTTCATAGAAACACCGACGTTGACGATAACCATTCGTTTTTGGAATTTTATGTCCAGTGGGATGGTATTAGGTACTATATGGTGACATACTATAAATCGTCCATGTTAGTGGGTATAATTATATTCTGGGGGTTCAGCTCGTTTGTGTGTTTATTGACAGCACTAGTAACATGGACGAAATACAACGAGCAAAATGAACAAGATTTCAGGAGAAACATAAAAGTCAAGAAAGAGACCTGAAAGACATGAAGAGAGAGAGTCATGAATTACGAATAGATAGGAACATGGTCCAATGAGAGAGTCATTTAATAAATAGGAATAAAAACCTAAGTATCATGAAAAATGAATTGCGGCCTCAGCCTCCATTCATCTTTAAATCGTTCGCTTCTTCTACCAGCAAGAATGGCACAATCTTTTTGAAGTAGTCTGTCTCGTTGATATCTCCCGTGCTCCAAGCTCCCATCAATGGTGCATTGATCTTGCTGTTGAGTTGATCCGTTTCGACTCGATGAATCATGTACTTTTCAAACTCCTCGACCACCAGATTCCATTCGTTTAATCGTTTACCGAGCTTCTCCCATTTGGCCCTATCATTTGGACTCAAATTCTCATACACCAGAGATTGTTCTATACCTCCAAAATCATTCAGTATCATCAAGTCATTCTCTTGACTCAAATATAACTTATCGTAGGGATCATCTCGAACGAATATGGATATGGTAGGTATTTCAGGCACATCAGGTACACAACGACTAAAAGGAACTCTTGGTGCTTGCATTTTCATGATCGAAAACCTGTTACTAAGGGAATCATGATCAACAATGAGTTCAAATTTGAGGACTGGCCGTACAACCTCAGGAACCTTATTGAAAAGCTCAGGCGGCTGCGTTTGTTCATCGTTGGGGCTCCACAGTTCCGTGGAAATGCTGCTGATATCCGAATCCTCAGTGGAGTTGTCGGTATTGGAAGTGGGAGTAGATTTGTAGGACATGACAGACGGACTTGACGACTGTGACATTGTGGAATATGAAGTTGATAGGGATGTCAATGATACCGAGTTCCTATTGTTGCGAAGTTGAGGAGGTTTCTTGGGCTCTTCCATGGACAACATCTTGAAAAGTTTGCCAATAGAGGTAACCAAAGAGCTCTTGTCTTTGATATCGGGGCTTGACGTACTTCTATCGATGACCAGAGCTGGAGTAACAGGTAAGGAAGAGCATGAATAAACCGCCTCATCAAAGATTTCGTATGGATGAGTTTTGCGAATCTCACTTGGGGTTGAAATAACTGGCGCTGTTGAAACGTCACCTGCCAAGTAAAACTCGTCCTTGGCATTGACGGGCACAATACCCAACTTTCTGCTACCCAATGGACTGTCTGGTTTGTAATAGTCACACTCATTATCATGAGCAAGTAACATCTCGTGAGCTTTACGAACCCGAGATTCAACCTTCTTGGTGGTTTGTATGGCAATTGAAGACTCGAAATTGTTGATGCCAATGACACGCCAAACCAAGAGCCTGATGAAATAAGAGCTAACAAGTCCATTCCAATGGGTGAAGAATCGCTCCCAACATTGATTAGATATCAACCAATTGACAAAATTTACCTTGAAACTCTCATTCAAATCTTGAAGCCACTTAAGATGAGGTGCTGAAGTATCTTCACAAGTAGGAAGTGTTTCTGGTATTCTATCCCAAACATTGAAAAGAAACGAGAGGCATTTAAGCAACGTTTGTACATGATCAGTATTCTGTAACATCATGTAAATACATCCAAGCCAAAACTCCCAATTAATGTCTTGACCTACTTGATGGACAATTTCATGGGCTACATTCAAGATCACACCATTCTTGTGGTAGTCGTAAATGCTGCTTGTTCTAGCAATGGCAACAAGAAGACCGTCCACTTTTCTGCATAACGCATATCGAAACGAGATGTCAGAAAACGTCAAATCACGGAAGGTCTTGAGAATTTTTAGGATAGGCGATGCCAAATTCGATTTTGCAGGACCACGACTCATATTAGTTGGTCTGTCCGTTGGACGTTCGGAATTTGCAATTGCCATGCGATTGATACTTGTTTCGAAAATTTGGAAAATGTGCCCTAAAATTATCTGGAAGCCCGGGAGTGAAGGCGGATCAAAATCCTCATCAACATAATGCAGACAAACATTTAAATAGTGACGTAGAAAAGAGTTGAATATGTCTGAGTCACTAGAGCACCATCGGTGTACCCAGGTTCCATTGGGGTCTTTTATACCATCGACGGGATGCTGTGGTGGAGGCATGCAATTAAGGTGATGACGATTCTTTGGCACGTTTATACCAGAAAAATTAACCCAAGCTTGCACTGGAACAGGAAACAATAGCCTTGACTCATTTTTTGAGGTTACATTCGCTTCGGAACGTTTTAAAACTGAAACCCGAACGTTTAATAGGAACAAAAGGGCATTGCTAACCTTGGGAATGTGGAAGAAACCATAAGCAAAAACCTTACCTGCAAACGCCAGAAAGGCAAGCAGTGTCACCTTGAGAGACAGGAGACGAGAAATGACATAATCCAAAGTGGAAACCAAGAGTTGGCGATATTGACGAAGGGTATCTTTATCAGACGAAAACCATTCTGAACGAGATATTATGCGAGAGATACCCTCGAGGTAAGCGTTTCGATCGGTGCTTGTAACCAGAGAAGTAAGTGCTACCGAGCCGAGAAGTGATGACCACCATCTAAGCAAAATAGAAGTTAATACGCTTGCAAGTGAGCGCTGGACTTGAATGTCACAATTTTCCAGAAGTTCAAGCGAATTGGATGCACGGAGAAATGGTAGAAGGGTCTTTCTTAGGATGTTAGTTTTGGTGACGTAGTTGCTTTTGGTAGCAAATTTGGAGTGAACCACCTCAAGTTTTTTAATACGTTTAAGGACAACTTTGATGTACTTGGGATCACGTACGGAAGGGTTTCGAGGCGAGCTAGGCGTGGCTATAGGGGATGATGTTAATCGTGGCGTCGAAGGGGCACGAGGAGGTGTTATAGCAGTTGGTATTGAAGGCAGGGGGGCTGTAAGCGTGGTTTGGGAATTTGTTGATGACACCGAATGGGTGGATTTGGATGACCTCTTGCGGTTTATCGTTGGAGACATGGACAGTAAAGCGAAGGTATAGGGTGGGAAACCTCAAAGGGAACAAATGTATGTCAAATATATCACGGTTACGAGCGAGTTTATGACCTCAAACAGGTCAATCTCGACGGTGTGGGGAAAGATCTTTCAAAAGATCGTGAGCACCAAAAGGGTTCAATGAATAAAAATGATGTTATTTGCTAGTTCCATGTGATAGGTACACGAGGGTGAAGCCAAAAGTATTAGCGCCGAGTAAAACTCTAAAAAAAACGATGGAAAAACGCCGGAATGAAGGAGCTCAGCTGTTCCTTCTTTTGGCAAATGTACCTGCAGGACATGCACCACGAAAATGGACATTGGCATTAAGGTTTGGGACCAAAAAGAGCCGAAAAATGCCGAAAACCTGTAGAAGACACAATTTCGCCTCAAAAATCAGAATTATTTGTTTTCAATCTCGTCCCATGGATATTGCAAGTTTTGACTACTCTATCGTGTTCCCCTGATCACCGTTCCTTGCTGAAACACCCGTACACCAGGCCAAGCCTTCTCATCCGCCCTGCTTAGTATGCACGCCCATAGACGCTGTGCTTGTATGCATGCGCGCGAATACCAAGACCATTTTGTCTCACGACTACTAACCACCATGTCACAACCCCATTCTCGTCTGCGGTCTCGTCTGAGGCACTCAGCGGCTCTGTCGCGACTGACTAGTGCTACAAGAAGACCATCCTTACGTCGGAGGTCACTTTCAGCTTCGTCTCTCACAAAACTTTTGCTTACTTCGACTACTGTCGATTCCGATTCGTCGATTCCAACGGTTTCTGCAACCATTGACAATACTCTTCCCCTTGATTTCTTCAAACTGGACTTGGTGGGAGTTATAAAAGCCCTCAAGGTCAGTAAATGGCACAAGAGACAGCTTATACCAGCGCAGTTGTCGGTGCAACGTATTCTGGGTGCTTTAACGAACTCGATCTACAAGCTTGAATACAAGGATCCAGTACTGAATGTCAACTTGCCTGCTCTCTTGCTTCGTGTTTACGGAAAAAATGTTGATCTGGTTGTTGACAGGGATACTGAGCTCGAGGTTTTGATCAAATTGCTGCAGAAAAAAATTGGTCCTCGACTTTTGGGAATTTTCATCAATGGTAGAATCGAACAATTTTTGGAAGGCTACGTTACGCTTAATCGATTACAAATCCGAGACGCCGTGATTTCACAAATGATAGCGAGAAGAATGAAGGATCTTCACTACAAATTGGAATTGGATGATAAGGACCGTAAAGGCATCCCAGCAACTTGGAAATTTATTTTGAGATGGTTAGACCTTTTTGAACGGACAATTTTGCCCACCTGGGACAACTTTGACCATCGGGAAGCATTTTTGACTGATTACCGTAAATTTAGAGATGCAGTCTTGAGGTACAGAAAATGGTTATTTGACCAATATGAGGAGGATATCAGCACAAACTTGAGGTTTTGTCACAACGATACTCAATATGGTAACCTTCTTTTACATGATCTGTTCTCGCCTGAGGATATTATAGTGCCACAAGAGTCATCGTCTCTCACATCCACCACCAATAAGAAGGACACCAACTTGGCAGTAATTGATTTTGAGTACTCTGGACCAAATTTTCCTGCCTACGACCTTGTGAACCATTTTTGTGAATGGATGTCTGACTACCACAATGAAGAATGCTCATACTATATTCATCACGATCGCTATCCCACCCAATTAGAGCAGCTCAATCTCATTAAATCGTACGTGGAGTACGACTTCCATTATCCTTCAAGTAACTACAAAACCAACGCTAATGTGGATGTGACTTCGGTGACCGATATACTTCAATACGAAATCAGGAAACTCTACAACGAGTGCATTTTGTGGCGTCCAACAGTGCTGATTTTTTGGTGCTTATGGGGCCTTATCCAAAACGGACCTGAGAACGATACCACTACCGATGACTTGGGTTCGAGAAAGGAAGAGCAGGGCGTAGGAGCTACTTATAGTATTTCTACTGGGGTCGATGCTTTACAATTGGACGAAAATGTGGTTGTTGAAGATGAGATCACTTCAAGTGACGACAGTTTCGAGTACCTCAAGTATGCCCAGCAAAAGGCTTCTCTCATGTGGGGAGATCTTATTGGTTTAGGCATTGTGGACGAGCTGCAAGTCGATCAATCAATGCATCACCTTATCAAGCATTTAGACTGTGGATTATTCGAGTTGGCTGCGTAATGCTGACTGCTAAAAGTGCAAGACTATTTAATACCAAAAGGGTAGATTTAATTCTTACGAGTATAGAATAAGGCTGGACTACTAGCTTACTATATATTAGCCTTAGACTTACTGTAGATCACCTTTTACTCTTTTTCCATGGATACCTAATGGTATATCTTCCTGTATACAGCTCAATACTATCTGCCTCGGCGCACACTCTCTTGTCATCATGTTAGCATTTAGGACTGCTGGTCACAATGGTTATGGCGTACAATACCTGCCGTTTTTCGATAACAAGCTAGCGGTAGCGACGGCAGCCAATTATGGGTTGGTAGGAAATGGTCGATTATATATTCTTCTGATCGAGCCAAATGGAACAATTGCAAATCCGATTTCTTGGGATACCCAAGATGGACTTTTCGACATATCTTGGAGCGAGAACCATGAAAATCAGCTTGTGGCGGCAAGCGGTGATGGCTCTATAAAATTATTCGATACGACGGTTGGTCAGTTTCCAGTTATGAATTGGAGAGAACATGAAAGAGAAGTGTTTCTGGTCAATTGGAACCTCGTAGACAAATCTACTTTCGTGTCGTCTTCGTGGGATGGAACCATAAAGATTTGGGACCCGCTGAGACCTCAATCGTTAATGACTCTTCGTTCTCCTACAGATCACTCTGTGCGAAGTTCTGGGCCCAATCCAGGACCTAATTCAGCAACAAATTCTGGGGCTCCCGGGGCTCCAGGAACCACCCCGTCTTCGAGTACCGCCCAGTGTGTCTACAATGCATCTTTCTCGCCTCATTCTCCATCCACCATCATCAGTTGCAATGGCACATCCCATATTCAAGTGTGGGACATCCGTGCACCACGACAGCTCCAAGTTGACTATATTGGCCATGGCGGAATGGAGGCCTTGAGTTGTGATTGGAACAAGTACAAGTCTACAGTGGTGGCTACGGCAGGAACGGACAAGCTGGTGAGGATTTGGGACTTGCGAATGATCACCAAAATCGACCAGCCAAATCCCATTGCACCCATGCCTGCATACCACATACGAGGGCCTACTCCACTAAATGAATTACTAGGGCATGAATTTGCAGTACGAAAAGTCATGTGGTCTCCACACTCGGGAAACGAGCTCATAAGTGCATCGTACGATATGACATGCCGAGTATGGAACGATATGTCAAATGAAAGAGCCCGGTTCTTGAACTCTGGGGCCGGTGGGTGTAAGGGTGTGATGTCCAGGCATCGAGAATTTGTTATTGGATGTGATTATAGTTTATGGGGAGAACCTGGATGGGCTGCATCTACCGGGTGGGACGAAATGGTGTATGTATGGGATTCCAAGCGGTTGTAACTTTGGGAATATTTCCTGCATTTTACCCATGTCATGTTATTACCTTTCCTAATTGGGATGGGTTGCAACCGATTGCAGTAAGCAAAACAATGGAACTTTAGATAGCCTTATATACCCGGGGCTATAATAATTGCTTGCGAGACTGTCATTATGTATCATGTGGTGATTCCCCTTGAATACACCTATGTCATCAACTTGATAACCAACAACTACTTTCATACTCAAAACCAATGGTTCAAGTACGATTCAGGTCCATCGGTAATCGATATCATTGACAACGTCCAAGCTATCCATCGCGAAGCCGACAAACTCAATGAATCCATTGATGGGTCTGTGAATGTGGTAGAGGGACTGTCCAGTCAAGAATATGTGGTAACTATATCTTCCACCAACCAGTCGTTTGTCAATAATGCCAGAACCAAAATTCTTCAAAAGTATAACCGGGTTGGGTACAAGCAAGTGGAGCTTGAGGCTAGCTCTTTCCGCAAATTGAACCACGACTTTTTCTTCTATTTGAACGACTTGGCTTCTCGTTATGATGTGGATATTATTATCAGTGACGAGAACACCGACTTTCAAACCAAGGTGAACCGGTCAAATCATCCGTATGTGTATGTGTTGGGATTTGAGGATAACATCACCGTGGCTGAGTCACAATTGAGAATTCTCTTGGACACCATGATGGATGAATATCATTTGGATTATGTGAATATTGATCTCTCGGTGGTGCCATTGATCGGAGGTATTGACCTCTACAACTTTAACCAAATTGCTATGCAACTGAAAGCCAACATTTATATCCTGGACCTTCTCCCCAGCTTGTTCAGTACCAAGGTTCTCGATACCACAAGCCAACTCAAAATCTCCATCACTGCTAGAAACGTCCATGAAATCGCCTTGTCCAAGCATATTCTTACCAGGCTCTTGGAACAACTAAAAAGCAACGGGAAATGGGATCTTTTCGTCAAACTGGTGACGCTTCCAAAGACCACCATTGATGCCTTAGTATTGCACAACCAGCCTGAATTATTGAATATCATGTTCAAATACGGTGTCTATGTTCAGGTCCCATCGCTCGCCGAACCGGGCGAGTATGACATTATCATTCAAGGTCAGACGGCCGAAATGGTGAATGATGCAGTAGAGGACCTTGCTTTGTTGGGCAGCAGGTATTATACCCTCACGCTTCGGCCTGCTGGATTCCCCAACGATATCGTTAACAAGCTTCTGAAACTTGTCAGTAATAAGCGTTCATGCGTGGTCACCGCTAGCAGCCATTGCATTGAGTTAACAGGATTAGCTGAAGATATCAAGGCGGCTCTCTCTGATTTTAACACTGACTATGTGTACTGGCATTCATGTTTCAGTGGAGACTTTGATATCAAGCTTCAAATTGAGTTGAACAATAGTCAAAAGGACTTTATAAGCGGTAAGAAAAACGGAAAGCTTATCAAGATATTGAACCAACTCCATCTGATTCCCCAAATTCAATTCAAGCCATTCAACCAGAACAATTTTTATATTGATATCAGTATCACCAGTGGAAACCCCACCACACTCCCTCAATTGCTCCAGGCTATTCACCTTGTTGAGTGCGAGCTTCCAGCAGAAGATCAGTTTAACATTCCCGAGGTGTTCCATAAATCTATCATTGGTAATGGTGGATCGATTATTCAGTCAATTATGAAAAAGTATAACGTTTTCATCAAATTCTCGAACAAAAATAACTTAAATGAGTCGCGAGTGTTCTACACCTACAAACGAAGCAACAATGTCTTGATCAAGTGTCCTAGAAAAAATAGTCGAAACATCATGTTGGCTAGGTATGAGATCGACCAACTCGTTCAGCTGTGTCTCAAAAACCAAGCCATGATACCTGGACTTGCACATTATCGTACCACTGGATTTAAGCTTCTCAAGGGACATTATATGTTGATGATCAATGCCAAGAATAAAAACTTGAACTTTGTCAATGAATTGGAAATCAAGCATGGAGTGTATATCGATTTCCCCAAATCTGTTGAAGCGTTTCAGAATAGCAACGAGTTGACGGTTTCTATCCGTGGTTCTGATCACCGTTCTCAACAATGTGCTGAGCAATTACGGTTGCAAATGCCAATAAACTACGAAATCAAAGTGACATTTTCTCCAGGGAAATTCGACCATATGATCAGCGAGGCCAATGTCGAGTTCTGTGAGCGGGTATTGGTACCATTAAACGTGAGACATGATGTAACTCTTACGATTAATGAGACGCCTATTGGCACTTACGACACTGGATTTCACCAGGTGATCTTGAGCTCGTATCTGGATGCAAGCATCAAGGCAGGAGTACAGCAATTGACTAGCTTTTTGAGAGAGAAAGAGTTTATGATTGCGGACCGTAGTCCCTGGAAGTATGAGCAAATTGTGGATACTGAAGTCGAGCAATTGCGGCCAATCAATAATGTGGTGCGACCAGTTGCAAAATTCGAGAAAAATGCAGTAAACTACAATTTCACTAACGACCAACCAGGAATGATAAGATATCGCAATCAATATGCCAACATCTTGATACCATAAAAAATTTATATATGTGAAGCAATCCTCAATATATAAGCTCACACGCTAGTTTAATGATCACAAGAGAATATGAAACTCACACTACATATCAAAATACTAAATATTCAACAAGCAAAAAACAAATATGAAGTGATTACTACAAATAGACGCCCATCTGCTTACTTGCCCGTCACTTCTTACTCATTTTTTACTCATTGTTCATCGATTTGTTCAAGCCCAATATCCGATTACATCCGCCCATCAATCATCTGCGGCGCATCCCAACAAATGCAGCAAGCGTCAGTGCGGCGCGGACTCGGCACCGTAACATTAACCCCGGTTTTATGAGAATCGATTTCCCCACTATACCAGTTACAGACTTCAATTCAAGCACACAGATTGTCACCACCATCTACTACACAACCTCTTTTTCTATTTCCATTTTCGTCTTGGACTTGCCAGTTTTTTTTGCACCCGTTTGAATCAGTCGCACCGTTTTGGGACATGTCGCAAACTGCCAATGCATCGCTGTTCCTCGGCAAAAATCTACTGGTTGTTGCGACAGTAATTATATAAGTCAATTACTTTCACCACTCGGGCAAGTCATGATTGAGTTTGGGAAACCTAGTAGCAACATATGGAAGTTTCCTTCGGGACAAACTCCATTGGCACCATCACCATTCAAGAGTGATTGGCTTTCCAATCTTTATCAAACCTCCATGAAAATCACCACTCCGATAACCATTGCTTTGGTTTACTTCACTTCGGTCCACTATGCCAATGGAATAGTACGTCGGCGCCAGGCAACTAAGGCTAACAAGAACATCGAATCGCTATCTCCAGCAGAACTCAAAAAACTCCCTCCAGCACCATATTCCATTGCCCGTCTGGGATTGTTCAAGTTATTTGTGTTGGCTCACAATGTGTTCTTGTGCTTGTACTCGGCTTGGACACTTGTAGGAATGTCATCTGCTATTTCCCAAACGGTGGAGATCATTCTGAATGTTTCCAATACCTCTAGTGTGGTGGACAATTTCTTCCACTCTGTATGTGATTTGCAGAATGGAGTCTTTAGCTCGAAACTTCCCTTCCGTAACTTGGAAATCTTTGGTTACTGGTTCTACATGTCCAAATTTTACGAGGTCATCGACACCATCATCATCTTGTTAAAAGGTAGGCCGTCATCGTTGCTTCAAAGTTATCACCATTCTGGTGCCATGATGTGTATGTGGGCTGGTATCAGGTACCAAAGCCCTCCAATCTGGATCTTTGTTGTGTTCAATTCGTTCATCCACACCCTTATGTATTTTTACTTCTCCCTCAGCTGTCTTCGTATCCGGGTCCCGGTACTTTTCAAGAGGACATTGACTTCATTGCAAATTACCCAATTTCTTGTTGGTGGGTCTTTGGCAGTTGTACACGCTTTTATCTGGTATACCGACTTATCCAGCGGTGAGCTTACCAGTTGTATTGGTACTACCGATCAAGCTCTTCTGTTGTTCATTAACGTTGGATACTTGACTCCATTAACGGCGTTATTTGCAGCCTTTTACATTGATAGCTATATTCGCCCCAAAAAGGCCAAGAACCAAAAAAGCTAGGCCAAGGACTCTCCAAAGCAATTAAGTAGTAAATAGTTTCACTGTACGTTATAAACCGTAACACCACCCTACACTAGTCTACCATCGTTCCTCGCCGCACGCAACCAATATTCGCGCCTTGGATGCAGGCACCCCACTCGAACCCGACCCTCGAATCGCGCCAAGACGTATTGTTTCCCATATCCACTTTTATGACGCCAGGATCATTCTCTGGCGCCTAGATCTTGAAGACACCTCCAATTTCCCATGAGCAGTCTGCAGAACCCCTTTGAGGACTCTCAGCGCTTATCAAGCGATTCTGTGACGTCTGACTTTTTGCACCAAGATTCCTCGGCGCAACAATCGCTTCTTCAATCTGAACCAGATGGGCTAAGAACCCACCACGACACCCGTGCGAGAACTGGTGCTCCTGGAAGACCCATATCCAACAAAAATCTTCATTTATCACGCGATACCGACAAACCATATGATTCTTTCCTTGAACATAAAATAGATGACGACGAAAAAACCGAGAATGGATCGGGATTGAGCGATTCTTCTGCTTCCGCTTCTCAAGCAGTAACACACCGGCGTAACAGTAGTGATTTGGAATACGACTCCGATGATCCGGTTCGTTTAGCAAATGCGCTGTCTTTTGACGGTCTGGCTGGGTACTTGGATGATTATGGAAACCGTTACGACCATGTCGATTTCGACTCTAAAGGGTATACAAACAAGCTTTCGTTCAAGGGAAACAGACTTGTCTATTTTACATCGGCATTTGTTTCATTATTTGTATCGCTTTTCGGATACGAACAGGGTGTATGCTCAGGAATATTGACGTTTGTCACCTTTGACAAATACTTTAACTCCCCAAGCTCAGCACAAATAGGGTTCATCATTGCAATTCTCGAGATTGGTGCCATGATTTCTTCCTTGATGGTGGCAAAATTGTCTGATAAATTGGGAAGAAAACGCACTATTTTAATCGGTACTTTCATCTTCATGATTGGCGGTCTGTTTCAATCATTTGCATCAAATCTCTTTGTTTTCGCCATTGGCAGAGTGCTTTCGGGGTTCGGTGTTGGTATTCTCCTGACAATGGTACCCTCCTACCAGTGTGAAATATCTCCTTCTGAAGAACGAGGTAAACTCGTGTGTGGTGAATTCACCGGTAATATTAGTGGTTATGCATTGAGTGTGTGGGTTGATTATTTTTGTTACTTTATCCAGAACGTGGGTAATGCTCGTAAGGACCCCCATTCATTTGCTGCTAACCTCCTGTGGCGGCTTCCTCTATTCATTCAGGTTGTAATTGCATTTGTTTTATTTTTGGGTGGCTTTTTCATAGTCGAGTCGCCTCGATGGTTATTGGACGTGGATATGGATCAGCAAGGATTTCATGTTCTTTGTTTATTGTACGACAGCTCTCCAGATCGTGACAAGCCTCGCAAAGAATTCTTTATGATAAAGAATTCTATCTTACATGAACGGGTCACCACTCCAAAATATGAGAGAAGTTGGAGACACATGTTACGTCATTACAAGACAAGAGTATTGATCGCATGTTCAGCACTTGGATTTGCTCAATTGAATGGTATCAATATCATTTCCTACTATGCTCCATTGGTATTTCAAGAAGCAGGCTTCGAAGATTCCAAAGCATTGCTTATGACAGGAGTCAATGCTCTTGTATACCTCGCATCTACGATTCCACCATGGTTCTTAGTGGACAAGTGGGGTCGTAAACCCATCTTGATAAGTGGTGGAGCCCTGATGGCAGTTTGCCTATTTCTCATTGCCTTGTTCATGTTTTTGGACAAATCTTACACCCTGTCTTTAGTGGCACTTCTTGTCATTATCTACAATGCATCGTTTGGTTATAGCTGGGGTCCTATTGGATTTTTGATTCCGCCAGAGGTGCTTCCTATGGCTATTCGATCCAAAGGTGTTTCGTTATCGACCGCTACGAATTGGCTAGCTAATTACATTGTTGGACAACTTACCCCAGTACTTCAAGAACTGATAGGGTGGGCAATGTATCTTATACCCGCAGGCTTTTGCATAATATCAGCAGGTGTGGTTATCGTATTTTATCCCGAGACGAAAGGCATAGAGTTGGAGGATATTGATAAGCTTTTTGCAGATTATTATGGCAAACTGGGACCTAAAATGAATGAGTATGCACTAGTCGGAATCCGCGACGATGCAGATGACGACATAGACGATATGGATTACGAAAGAACAATGTTATAGGAGACAATAAAACGTGGCGCTTGCACCTTCCCAATTTTGTTTCGCGACACTTTTGCATCTGAGAACGCCGTCTATTGTGCGGGAAAAATACATAAGCGAATTACAGACGAGATAGGTACAAAAGTATATTTTACATATCATATATGAAAACTTTCAAACCTTGTAGTAACACAATTATGTAATTGCGTAGCAACTCTTTCTCTACTTCAAAATAAGCTTTTTTCGGTAGTTTCCGACCGGAACCCCACGCCGCTTTCTCCGAGCGGAGCGCATCATTTTTTTGCGCAGGTTGATCCATTTCAGTGACATAATTCTTCTCACAACTAATTATATAACCTATCATTTTTTTTTAAAGAACAGCTAGATTGATCAGTTTGCCGTAAACCCTGTGGTACATTACTAGCAAACGTTCATATACCTTCTTGCAATACTTTATCTTGGCAGCCGGTCTGTTAAAAGCAAGAATTGCAAATTCAACTGCAACCCCACCCCTTTTCACCACCGTCACAGGTAACTTTCGACCAAACCATTGGTCTCTAGTTGCTTGCACAGTCCAACATAGCTCCCAGGCGAAATCTGGACCTTATCGGATCGTTGGAAAACTAATTATTTGACCATTCTCAAAGTCAACAAAGTCGTCATACATGACCTATAATGACCGCCCCCGATCTACCCATGCAGTCATCAAGACCTATACCGATACCTCTTGGTGATGCGGACCACACCGAATCGAAATCAGGCGCAAAATTACCAGTTAAACGCTCAATTAGCATCAGTTCCATCAAGCATATATCCAGAATTTCAGATTCTCCTCCCAACCCATCACATCCCTTGCAAGGGTACGACTCCACCGTGAACCAGTACTGTTCATTTGACTGTACCGCGTTCGAAGATAGCGATTGCGACGATACCTTTGACGATGAAGATGATGACGGATCAAAACTGTCGCTTTCCATTGAGTCTTCTAGCAGCCTTGCCAGTTCTGCTCAAAGCAACCAATGGTTCGGTTCTCCATCAATGCGCCCATCTAGACGAACACCACCCACTTTTCCTCGGCAATTGAGATTGTCAATTTCGTCTTCAACCTCTCCACCCTCATTCGCAGCACTTTCCATTAAAAGTGCAAGTTCAAACTGCACGACGCATACGTTTGCAACCTCGACCCTCGCGCGCCTGTCGTCACTAGAGTCGGTTTCAAGTCTCAAGCAGGCGTCGCGTAGACCATCCAGAACCCTTGCATCAAACTTGACAGAATCTCTCAAGAGTATTCAGAATTCTGTGCGTAAAAGAACTGCTAGCATTACAGCGACATTCACCCTCACACCCAGAATGACCGATGATGTACTTCCTCACCAGCCGGCTGTCGTTGAGGAAGAATTGACTACATTCCGTGGAGATGGAGCCGACATCACCAGTAGAAATCCCACCATTACCCCACGATTCAAGAATAGAGATCAGAGGGTAAATCCTGATTTTCTTCGACTCTATGCTTTTGACTATAGTGGAAGAACCCTGGGAATGCTTCCTATAGCCCACACCAGCAGCGAACTTGAACGTCTCTTACAAGGAAGCGAAGCCATTAGGCAATTCCATCATGCTAATAATCTCCATAAAATACTGAATGCTTCTAAAGAGAAACTATGGCGCGGAGTGATACTTGGTCCTCGATCCGATAGATGCCCTTATAGTCATATTGAGTGTGATCTGTACGTGAACACAGACATCACAAGTACTCAAAGTCTTGTTCGTCTACATGGTACACATCAGCCGTGGAATGTTAATGGTGCACGTTGTTTCAAACCTGCAGGTATCCTTTATGGAGCAAAGGAATGTATTAATGGCCATGCTCCTAGTAGTGGAGTGACTCGCTCACAATACACCGTCAAAGGATGGTGCAACTCACGGTGGCTTGCTACCGAAATATGAATTATATACTGCTATTTCAGCTAGAGAATAGATTACTGAAACGACTGCAAAATCAGGTACCATGCGTTATCTGCAGGTCAAAAATTACAGCGGATAGATTGCAAGAATGTTGGTAAGACAAAATTAAATTGAACAGAATGAGTGAAATACATTTATGAACCGACCCCTTCACTATCCCGTTCTATCTGGTGTTTATCGCCATTTACACCACCCACTTACTTCCACACAAAACGCAGTCACGCGCACGTGACCGATATTCTCATTCATTGAATTTTTCACGCTGAAAATTTCCCTCATCACCAACACTACCATGGCTCCAAAAGGAAAGAAGGTTGCTGCTGCACCATTAGGATCCAAGTCTACCAAGACTGCCAGTGCCAAGAACCCATTGATTGAGTCCACTCCAAAGAACTTTGGTATTGGTCAATCTGTTCAGCCAAAGAGAAACGTCTCCAGATTTGTGAAATGGCCTGAATACATCAGATTGCAAAGACAAAAGAAGATTCTTTCTTTGAGATTGAAGGTTCCTCCAGCACTCTCCCAGTTCCAAAACACTTTGGACAAGAACACCGCTGCTCAAGCTTTGAAATTGTTCAACAAGTACAGACCAGAGACCGCTGCTGAGAAGAAGGAGAGATTGACCAAGGAGGCTGCTGCCGTCGCTGAGGGTAAGTCTGCCAAGGACGCTTCTCCAAAGCCCGTTGTTGTCAAGTACGGATTGAACCACGTTGTTTCTTTGGTTGAAAACAAGAAGGCCAAGTTGGTTTTGATTGCCAACGACGTCGACCCTATCGAGTTGGTTGTTTTCTTGCCAGCTTTGTGTAGAAAGATGGGTGTTCCATACGCCATTGTCAAGGGTAAGGCTAGATTGGGTACTTTGGTTCACAAGAAGACCTCTTCTGTCGCTGCTTTGACCGAAGTCAACTCTGCTGACGAGGCTGAATTGGCCAAGTTGATTTCTACTGTCAACGCCAACTTCATCGACAAGTACGAGGAGAACAGAAAGCACTGGGGTGGAGGTATCATGGGCTCCAAGGCCAACGACAAGATTGCCAAGAAGGCTAAGACTATGGACGTTAAGCCAGTTCAGTAATATAGTAGGAAGATTGCGTATTAACAATCGTATTGAAAAACATATTGAAAATGTAGGTTAAAGGAAGATACTTCTACAAGGATCAAGTGCTCTCGGAGGTATATTACATTAGACGGCTGATAATGAATGGTCTTCACTTCCCATCTCTCGTTATCGATGCACGTGACCGATTGAATCCGGGTAACGAGCGCGCTCGACCAATGGTTTCATTGACTTTTCTCACCAACTGAAAAACCAACCATGTCATTTATCAAGGATTTGTGGGAGTATGCCGTTCCCGTAGCATATGCTGACGAGGTATGTATCATTTAACCAACAAGATTCATAACTTCAATTACTAATTCAGCCCGAAGAGTCCGAGGAGACTCCGGAAGAAGAAACTTCCGATCTGACATCCGGTTCAGACGACTCAGAAGATGCCGAAGGCAATGACGAGGAAGGTGGAGATGAAGAAGGTGACAACGACGAGGATGAAGACGATGAAGAAGACGAGGACGATGAAGATGAAGAAGAATTGGTTGATCCATTGGATACCATGAGAGAAGAATGCACAAAGTCCAAGCATTGTCAGCCTTATGTGCACCATTACGAGGAGTGTGTCGAGCGTGTGACGAAGGCACTGGAAGAGGAGGGATACGAACACCAAGCATACAAGGAAGACTGTGTAGAGGAGTACTTCCACTTGCAACACTGCGTCAACGACTGTGTCGCACCAAAGTTATTTTACAAGTTGAAATAAGCATAAAATAGAATGCGCATGAAGTAAGAGTAGTGGATCGTGTAGTCATTCAATTAATTAGTGGATAAATCAATTCTTAATTTAGTGGTTAGTTTGTTCAGTGCTTGGGCTTGCTGCTCCTGCACCAACGGGTTGCAAACCGCGTGCAGGCGCTGCCACTATCACTCCGCGACTTCTCGAAAATTTGTCACCATTAACACACATCATGTCCGTAATTGAAGATAGAATCTACATTGGTAACGTCGACTACAATGCCACTGAGGAAGAATTACGTGAATTCTTCGCCAACTCTGGTGTCAAGAGTATCGAAATTCCTTCCAAGACCTTAATGCGTGGCAAAAAGGAAATCACGCGTCGACTTGGATTTGCATTTGTCCTGTTTGAATCCAAGGAGGCAGCGGATAAAGCGGTAGAGGAGTTCAATGACAAGCAGTTTAAGAGCCGCAAGATATTTGTGAAAAAAGCGGTTCCGCCACCTACAGAGGAGGAAAAGTTGAAGAAAACCGAGGAGTATAAAGCCAAAAAAGCTGCTCGTCAAAAGGAAAAAGCTGCCAAGCAAGCCGCCGCAGTGGCAAATGGTGACCTGTCGGTAGAAACCACCGCAGCGGCCGGCGAAACCTCTGCTTTGGCTGCCAATGGCGACAAGGGAGTCCATGATGACAAGTCAATTAATGCCAGCGCCACCGGATCATCACCAGCACCAAGGAAGAAGAAAACCAGAAAACCAAAGAAAAAGGTTGTGGCGGATACCGAAGCAGCCTCTGAGCCTAATACCTCGGATTCTGCTGCTGCCAACACCCCAGAAACTGCAGCTACCACCCCAGGCAGTGCTCCGAAGGCTCCAGAAGGAACGCCGTCCCCAGATACCGTCTTCATCACCAACTTACACTACCAAGTCCGTCAACGTGCCCTCATCAGCCATTTCAAGGAATTGAAGCCCAAATGGGTGCATGTACCTCTTCGTAGGGTTCCTTACCGAAACAGAAAGGATGGCAAGAAGGCAACCATCTTTAACAAGGGTATTGCGTTCATCAAGTTCCCCAATCACGAGGTACAACAAGAGGCTATTAGCAAGTTCAACGGCCACGAAATTGAGGGCAGGGCCATCATCGTGGAGGTTGCCATTGACACCAAGGAAAAGGCTGCTGAAAGAGAAGCTAACGGCGCAGTAGAAGAAAGTACCAACGAAGTCAAGGAAACCGGAGACAAAGCTGCTGCCTCTGAGGTGCCTGCCTCAGCATAACTACCGTGTACATAGCGTGTAGAATAGCACAAAAGTTACAAGTTGTAGTCAACCATCAGTAGTCAACTTCCACACTTTTCACACTTTTCACACCTTTCACACCTTTCCCATCGCTATCAGAAGTAGATGCCACTATTAATCTCTCTTTCCTATTCTCTCCGCTTTAACACTTTCTGCTTCACCAGGTTATCGTCGCCGTTCGATACTGCATAGTCTAATCTCCATTCGAAGCACGGCACTATAGTTGCAACCATAAGATAAAGAATTCTGGCCAATTGTCTAGCCATTGAGTCTTTGGAACACTAAAACCAAAACCTGATGGTATTACTCATTCTGATACATTTTCCTTTCTTCCTCTAAAAATAACCTTCCCCACTATGACTCTTATCACCTCATCGCGGATATGCCGTGCAGAAGCGGCGCGCGCTACGAAACTCCTGAGAGCGAATTTCATTCATTTTTCATTTATCCCTTTTCCACAACGGTCGTACTAGTACACAGTTAGCTCCAGAAAAAGGGGATAGAGTGCTAATTATCATATATTCAAATTAGAACTTGCTAGAAGCTATATCCTGCTAGAAGCTACATCTTGCTGAAAAAAAACTACCCTTCATTAACACAACTAATTTTTACGTATTTTCTACGTCATCTATTCTTCCTTGAAAACAATGCTGTGTCCCTTGTGGGTCTACGACGATGTTACCGTCTGCTTTAGACACCAAGTTCTCGAGTACTGGTACCCTATCGTGGTTGGTGGAGCTTCTGTCGTTATATTACTTTGGCGTATAGTGGCTTCCTTGACAAAGAAAAAGGGCTCCATTCGACTTGATGACGAGACTAGACCATTATTGGCATCCAACAACACCCAGAACGAGACCGGGGCAACAGAAGACTCTGTGAAAAGTCGACACTTTGACCTCGTACGACTCTCCGATACCGGCCCCGATGATAAACCCCGAGGACATTTTCAGGTAATTAAAAAGAGCACCTTTGAGCGATTGCGGGTGTGCTTGGAATTCGTTCTCGTGGCCTTTGAGCTCGCCTATGCCATTGCTGTGTTTTTCCTTCCCTCTCTTAGCAAAGAATGGAAACAACCAGCTATTCCTATCGTTCACTTGGCATTGTGGGGCTATTTATTCGTCCTTGTGTTGATTCGTACTATCAATCTTAATCAGGTTAACATCAAATTACCAGGTTTGTGGCGCCATTCTACTTTCCTTTATGCTTTCAACTTTTTACCTGCGGTGATCACTTTTAGATCGGCATTGCTCGGACATGTCAAGAGCGAAGAGTCCAAGTGGTTCTATGTGGGCCATTTCATTGCTTCGACGTTGCTTCTTTTCCTTAATCTTACTTCTACAACTGGTGACAAACCAGCAAGACTTTTCTACCCAGCTGATGGTTCTGCTCCATCACCCGAAAGAGTTACCAGTGTTCTTAGTTTTATCACCTACTCTTGGCTCGATAAGATGGTTTGGGGTGCTTACAAGAATGGAGGAGTCGAAAAGAGTGATATTTGGGGATTGAGCGACGACGATTACGCTTTACCAGTTTTGAAGTCTTTCGAGGCGATGAAATCCACTGCCAGTTTCTCATGGCGGTTGTTCGCTCATTTCAAGTATTTGTTTGCATTTCAAGGTTTTTTCGCCATTTGTGAATCTATCTTGATTTTTGGTCCTTCTCTTTTGTTGAAAAAGCTTTTAGAATACGTTCAAGACCCTTCGGCTTACCCAGTCAGCGTTGCTTGGGGATTTGTTCTTCTCATGCCTATCGTCAAGATTTTTGACTCATTTTGCTCAGGCTGTTCTTTGTTCATGGGAAGAAGAGTGTGTGTTAGAATGAGAGCTATCATTATTGGTGAAGTTTACGCTAAAGCTCTTAGAAGAAGAATTACCGTAGCAGACGATACTGAAGAGGAAAAGGACCAAAAAGCCGACAAGAAGGAAAAGAAGAAAGACAAGGAAGGTGAAGAACCTAGTGAAAAAACTGCCGAATTAGGTGCTATCATCAATCTTATGGCTATTGATGCCTTTAAAGTTTCTGAAATTTGTGGCTACCTTCACTTCTTCGTGAGTGCCTTGTTGCTGATTTTTATTTGTGTGTTTTTCTTGTATACCCTTTTGGGTTACAGTGCTTTGATTGGTTCTTTGTCAATCATTTGCTTGCTTCCTGTGAACTACAAAATTGCCCTGTACTTGGGTGAATTGCAAAAACGTATGTTGGCTGTGACTGATAAGAGAATCCAGAAGATGAATGAAACCTTCCAAAGTATTCGTATTGTCAAATTCTTTGCTTGGGAAAACAAGTTTTTCGAATCCATTATGGACATTCACGAATATGAGTGAGTTGAAGAAATTGAAACATAGAAGTGTGGTGTGTGGTTGCTGGTGGATTTGTGTGGTTCATGACCCCCACTCTTGTGACCTTGTTTCTCATTCTATATTTTCACAATCATTTCAGGGTAAATACTTTTGACTGCGCCAATTGCTTTCACTTTCCCTTTTCGTTTATTCACGCTCTTGAGATCACCCATTAGATCAATTGTCTGGATATGGACTTCTTTTTGTCATGCAAATCCAAGGCATCTCTTTGACAGAGTGGATGACTTTTTTTGAATGAGCCAGAAAACGAACAAGTATGAACAACTCAAAGCACCAAAATTGCCAGATGATCCAGTTGCTGGATTCAAGGGTGCATCGTTCTCTTGGAATCCAAACTCGGAAAATGACTTTAAGCTTCGTGATATTTCCATCGATTTCCAGATTGGAAAGTTGAACGTTATTATTGGTCCTACTGGATCAGGAAAGACCTCGCTTTTGTTGGCTTTACTCGGAGAAATGCACTTGACTAGAGGTGAAGTGTTTTTACCTGGCTTTATTCCTCGTCACGAGCTTGTAATTGACCCAAATACTGGGTTGACTGATTCGGTTGCATACTGCTCTCAGTCACCTTGGTTGCTTAACGACACCATTCGTAACAATATTTTGTTTTCTGCGCCTTTTAACCAAGAGAGATATACTAAAGTCATTGAAGCTTGTGGATTGAAGCGTGATCTTGAAATCCTTGCTGCTGGAGATTCCACAGAAATCGGTGAAAAGGGAATTACGTTATCTGGGGGACAAAAGCAAAGAGTGTCCTTAGCAAGAGCTTTATACTCCAACTCGAAACACGTTCTTTTGGATGACTGTTTGTCTGCTGTTGACTCCCATACCGCTTTGTGGATATACGAAAACTGTATTTCTGGGCCATTGATGAACAACAGAACATGTATCTTAGTGTCGCACAATGTTGCCTTAACTGTTCAAAAGGCCGATTGGATTGTTGTGATGAACAATGGACGAATTGAAAAGCAAGGAACTCCTCTGGATTTGTTAGACAGTGGACATTTGGGAGAAGATGAATTGGTGAAGTCTTCTATTATGAATTCAAGAAATCAATCCAGTACAGACCTCAAAGGTTTGGAAGACAAGAATGCTGACATGAATGCCAAGGCGAATGCAATTGAGGCCAAATTAAAGGCAATCGCCGGAGAAGAGACAGAAGGAGTGGCACCACACGACGGTAAGTTGACTGAAGAAGAAACCAAGGCAGAAGGTGTTGTGGACTTTAAAGTCTACAAATGGTTCATGGGAACTTTGGGTGGCTTCTTCACATGGTTTAGAATTCTCCTTATGTTCGTTATTTCACAGGGCACATTTATCTTTCAGTCTTGGTGGTTGAGGAACTGGTCGTTGCACAGTGAAAGTTCCGCTGAGAACTACTTGGCTTCAACCGTGAATGCATTGTCAGGCCGCACTATTGGTGATATTATTGGAGTCAGTAATTTCCTGGTGGTTCGTGGAGCGAATAACATTTTCATGCTTGGAATCTCAAAAGCTGGAGGAGATCCAGAAAATACCGCCGTATACTACATTGCCATTTATGGACTCATTGGATTGATTTACGGCGTCACTGCATGTCTCAGAATCTACGTTGTGTTTTTCGCTGGTATCGATGCCGCAAACATGATCTTTAAACAGGTACTTACCAACATTCTTTACGCCAAATTACGCTTCTTTGACAAAACACCTATTGGTCGTATCATGAACAGGTTCTCCAAAGATATTGAATCTGTAGATCAGGAACTTACTCCTTGTGCAGAGGGTGTCTTTGGTTGTGTTGTCGCATGTGTCTCCACCTTGATGCTTATTGCTGTAATCACGCCTGGCTTTTTGTTCTTCGCATTCCTCATCGGAATCCTTTACTACTTGGTTGGCTACTTCTACATGTCATTATCGAGAGAGTTGAAGCGTTTCGAGTCAATTACAAAGTCTCCTATTCATCAACACTTTTCCGAATCGTTGACTGGAGTTGCTACCATCAGAGCTTACGGAGTGGAAACAAGATATATGAAGGAGAACTTGGCGGCCGTGGATACCAACAACAGACCATTCTTTTACTTGTGGGTAGCCAACAGATGGTTTGCATTCCGTAACGATTTGGTTGGATCTTTGGTTATGCTCACATCTGGTATTTTTGTCCTTCTTTCTGTTGGAAAAATTGATGCTGGACTCGCCGGTTTATCCATGTCTTATGCTATCAGTTTCTCCGAAAATGCCTTATGGATTGTGCGGTTGTATGCCAATGTTGAAATGAACATGAACTCGGTGGAACGTTTGCGTGAATACTTGGTGATTGAACAAGAAGAACCGGCTGAAATTCCCGAAACTAAACCTAGAAAATCCTGGCCTGAACGTGGTGAGATTTCTGTTCGGGATGTGTCTTTGAGATATGCTCCGGAATTACCTCGTGTGATCAAAAATGTCACATTTGATGTTGAACCGAATAACAAGGTTGGTATTGTTGGTCGTACCGGTGCTGGAAAATCTACAATTATCACAGCATTCTTCCGTTTCTTGGATCCTGAAACAGGAACCATCACAATTGATGGTGTCGATATCAGTAAAATTGGATTACGTGACTTGAGACAAGCTATAACAATCATTCCTCAAGACCCAACATTGTTCACAGGAACAATCCGGTCAAACTTGGACTTATTTGAACAGTACAGCGATGCTGAGATCTACGAAGCTTTACGCCGTGTGAACTTGATCTCTCGTGAAGAGTTGAACGATCTTGATGCTGCCAAAGCTTTGCAAGAAGGTGAAAATGCAAACAAGTTTTTGAACCTCGATTCACAAGTCAGTGAAGGAGGAGGAAACTTATCGCAAGGTCAACGCCAGCTTATGTGTTTGGCTAGAAGTTTGTTGAAGAGCCCAAAGGTGATTCTCTTGGACGAGGCTACAGCTTCTATTGACTACAAATCCGACGCCATGATTCAAAACACCATTCGTGAAGAGTTCGGCAACTCCACGATCTTAACTATCGCTCACAGATTACGGTCTATTATCGATTACGATCGTATCTTGGTCATGGACGCTGGAAAGGTTGTCGAATATGACGATCCTTATGTGTTGATTGCAGATAAGAGCTCATTGTTCTACAGTATGTGTGAAAATAGTGGTGAACTTGACGTGCTCACACAGCTTGCAAAGGAGTCTTTTGTTGCCAAAAAGAACAAATCTCAAAAATAATATATATGCGATATAGATGTCAAATGTAATGCATTTGATTGTGTGGCTTGTGTGGCTCTCTTACGTAAGGCTTATCAAGTCAATTTCAACACTTGCTGATAAAGGTCGCGGGTAGATGTATGATCGGCTCCCAAGCGAACCTCTCGTAGACGATGTTATAATTCCGTCAGAGGCACCCAAGTCTCCCATTCTTCCCAATGAGGATGTCTTGTTTCTTCAGGACTTGGAAGACGTTCCTCAAGGTCGTCATCTAGGATTATTTTCAACCATCGTACTTTTTGTTGCCAGGATGGTTGGATCTGGTATTTTTGCAACATCCAGTGGAATATTCCAGGATTCGGGAAGATCACCGTTTTGGTTCTTTATGGCGTGGATAGTAGCAGCATTGCTTTCTTTTGCCGGCTTGTATGTGTACTTGGAATTGGGATCATTGGTCCCTCGAAGTGGAGGCACCAAACCGTTTCTAGAGTTCATCTATAATCGACCTAAAATGATGGTCAGCGTTGTGTTTCTGATGTTCTCTGTGATGTTCGGAGTCACCATCCTGAATATTTTGGTGTTTGGGGAATACTTTTGTTATTCAGTTGGCATAAATCCAACAGACTTTCTGATTCGGCTCTCTGGGCTCTTATTTTTATTCCTCGCTACCACCATCCATGGCATCAGCGTGAGCCATGGTATAAGAGTACAGAACATATTGGGGGCATTAAAGTTGGGCCTTCTTGCGGCAATGATCATAACGGGAGTTTATGCTGTTTTTGTTCCCTCATCAATTTCCCACATTGATTCAAATCTTCATTGGGACACCTTTTTTAAAGTTCCCGGCACTTTTACAGCCTCATCGTTTTCCTCAGCGGTAATTAGGGCCACTTTTGCATTTTCCGGATGGAATACAGTCCACACCGTTTCTAACGAGATTAAAGATCCTGTTCGTACCTTTAAAATAGCAGGCCCTGCTTCCTTAATCATCGTCTCCATTACTTACTTGTGGACCAACCTTGCATACTTGGTAGTCATCCCAGAAAACGAGCTCGTTTCCACGGGACGGTTAGCAGGTTCACTTCTTTTCGAAAAGTTGTTTGGAGTCAATGTTGGTCGAAGACTATTAACATTTTCAATAGCAATGAGTGCAGGAGGAAACGTATTTGTTGTTCTCTATACCATATCAAGAGTCAACCAGGAAGTATTCAGGGAGGGATATTTGCCCTTATCTCGCTTTTTTGCATCCAACTGGCCATTTGGTTCACCTTTTCGATCGTTGCTTTTGAGCTGTGTGCTCAGTACTCTGGTCATTGCATTGTCACCAAAGGGAGATGTATACAACTATGTGGTAGCGTTGGAACAATATCCCCAGCAACTATTCATCGCCATGGCAGCCATAGGTGTTTTCATCTTGAGACACAGGTATCCGGATGTCAGAGCGCCAATTCGTTCCACTCGTATCGGAGCGCTTCTTATCGTCTTGGTTGCTGGCTACCTTCTCATTACCCCTTTCACATCGAAAAGTCCGAACCCTAAAGGGTTGGAGCAGTGGCCATCTTATGCGCTAGTAGCCATTATATGTCTCCTGATTCCATTTTTTTACTGGCTTGTAATGTTTCATATTGGTCCTAAAGCTGGAGGATACACTCTCATGTCAGAAGAAATGCAACTTAGTGACGGACTCACTATCAAGAACTGGGTCAAGATTTATAGATAACATTAATAGACATAACTTTAGTGCTCTTGATCGTCAATCATTGTGGCTTCCACCTTTTTGAGTAGCTGGAGAAAGGGCTTTTGCTTTAGTTTTTTCAAAAGCTCAGCCTTAAATTCCGAGTCAGACATCGATAGGTCAAAGTGGACATTATTTACTGGCAAAAATTCATTCACTGAACTTGGGTCATAAGCCGGTTCGAGGATATCGCCATAAACCGCGGTACCTTTATCATGAATAGTTGTGCTTGTATCAGGAACCGAAGTATTTTGAGTAGAAGCAAATGTCAAGCCCTGGCTGAAATTTGAGGTATTATTAGACTGAGTATAATCGTTGAATTCGCTGTGAATATCTTGTCCACGAGGCTGCAGACAACTGAATAGTGGCCACATTTGCGAATCGAGAATATCAACAGCCTGACTTGGGCCCTGGGACGCTCCCTCGGGTGCAGATTGACGTTCCAGGAATTTTAATGGCAAATCCAATCTCTTGATAGCATCACAGCATTTCTCAAACTCAGCTATGTGTCTAAAATCAACTTGAATTCGCTGATTCACATTTCCTCGAGCCAGAACTTGCTTCACCGCAAGAGAAGGATAGCTCGCGTTGAACGAGAGACAGGATCTTTTATTCCAATACAATTTCATTAAAGCATCACCTTTCCAATATATCATCACAACACCTCCTCCATCACGTTCAACTACTATATGAAGGGTGAGACTAGATCTCTGAGGGAAATGTCGCCATGAACCCCCCAGTTCGAGTTTTGAACATTTTCTGATAGTAAAAGTGTTTACCGGTTTCATAACCCAGCAAGTGGCCGCGTAGAGCAACCTTTTATAGCGCGGTTACTATTTCCGACTTTTGCAACCACCTCGGAATTGGTTTGGTGTATCGATGTGAAACGCATGCAAGGTGGTGGAGGTCGTATTGCTGCATTGCAGCGGCTTCAGCCGCATAGGCGAATCAAGTGTGAATGGAGACTTGAACTATCAAATGATGCGATGTGGATTACAATGTTGAGATCCGTGGCATATGGTACCACTAACAGTTGTTACCTCTTCTTTTTATGAAGAGAAAATGCTTATCTTACCCATTTTTGTTGACATTAAAAATATCCGGAAATGTTTGACAGGTACAGCTATTTAAAAAATAATGCGGGCACATGCAGCTCGCTTAAGTTGGGTCGTTAATACTTGATTGCAACCTCCTATCTCTCCGCTTATGGAACGGATTTCTCGGGGTATAAATAAGGGACATGTTTGCTGAATTATCACAGAATGCTGTTACAATCAATGGTGTTCAAGGCTCTTGTTGCTGCCCTTTCAGTAACCACTACTTTTGCAGCAGTTGTGCCCGAGAAACGGAGTACATCAAAAGTTATTCTGGTTGATTTCCGTGTGGAAAAATCTCCACCTCTACCGCTTTCCAGCGATATCGTTTCAGAAGGGGCAGAACAAACCAAGCGTGAAGTTATTCCTCTCACCCTTGCAAGAGATGACATTCTGTACTTGCTTCAGCTAGATATTGGATCGAATCAAGAAACATTTACATTCCAGATTGATACGGGATCCTCCAATTTGTTCGTTCCACTTGCGGGTGCAACTTGTGAATGTGCGGAAGAAGCTAGGTATGATCCTCAAGGTTCTACCTCGTCTCACCTATTGTACAATAACGTTACTCTTTTGTACGGAGAGGGCCATGCGTATGGCGATTTTTACACTGATACCGTCTCATTGACCCAGAATCCTCAAGTGTCGCTCAAAGATTTTCAATTCGTAGGTGCAAACAACACCGACATAGGATATGGTTATTTGGGTCTTGGGTTTGACAACGGTGAATATTATCCGGAATACCCAAACTTTCCACAATCGTTGAAAAATCAAGGATACCTTGACAAAAACGCATATTCTTTATATTTGGATAGTGCTGAATCGCCTCTGGGAACCATCATTTTCGGCGGTAAAGATACCAGCAAGTACGAAGGTGAGTTGAAAACATTGCCCATTACCCACGACTTTCGCTTGGCCGTTGCTCTTGAAAGCATTAGTTCCGGAAACTTTACGGTTTCTGGAAATCAAATCAATTCCATGTTTGATACCGGCTCCACATTCACCTGGTTGCAACCACAAATTTACCAGCCATTGGCAGAAAAGTATGGCTGGACGAAACAACCTGGAGGAGGTTACCATGGACCTTGTGAGGGTGATGATTTGGTGTTCGATTTTGGATACGATTTAAAGATTTCCGTTCCTTATAACCAATTGATTACCCGATATGACGGCAAACAATGCTGGGTCTATATTATCGAGCATCCAACAGATGAGATTATAAATATTCTTGGTGATAACTTTTTGAGATCAGTTTATGCGGTATTTGATCTTGATGAGAGAACCATATCAGCGGCTCCAGTGGTGTACACTAGTGATTCCAACGTCGTACCATTGTAAAATTGGCCTTTCGTCTTAGAAAAAAACTAGCACTTTGTTTCGTTTTCAATATATGTTTTTGACCAGCTGAATTGATGCTCAAGAAAATAATCAGCCTTGTGTAGGTACCTGGCTGGAGTGTAAATGAAATTTGCAGCTCATAACGTTATGTCAAGGCAGGTGCAGTGCATGAGCCGCTCGCTCTCAGGGGTTACATGCTCTGCATGACGGGAGCCGAGCGATAGGCAACATTCAAAGAGATTCTAGCATAAAAGGTAGACATTAACAAGCCTTATAATTTCTCTAAAGGATGATTGTCTTCCATCAGTAGGAATAATTAAACTGATTGAAAATTTGAGATGCTCTCTTTTTTGTTACAGAGCTGAAACTGAAGTTTGACTCTGATTTCACCGCCCCGCTATTTCACTTGCGGAGAAGAGATAAGGCTAGAAAGTTGTGATAGGAAGTGTCCACATTCAACTAGAATATCCTCCACATTCCTTACTCAAAAAGTTAAAGAGCAGGCTTCTCTAAAGAAAGGTAACGTTATATTTGCCACTTTACTATAAGGTATCATATGGCATTTCTATGATCTTCTTGCAGCCAATGCCATTATGATCCGGTGTATGGATGTGCGACAGTTCGGACAGAGCTCGGAAACGATCGCGGCTGAGGATTAGACCACCATGCTGGCCCTCGTTAATGCTGTTGAATTTGTCGATCGAGAATTGACAAGTCTCATACAATCCACCAGCTTTACGGAAAATCTCCTTGCAACGACAACCAGCAAACTTATAAGTGAGGTATTTCTTTTGTCGTTTATCATTCTCGTAGGTTATGAAACCTTATATTGGCTGGGAATCTACTTGGGACTTTGGGAGTACCATGCCAAAGATATATTTACAGAAATCCCCATACATTGTGCTCATGTCTACGTAAGGATAAATTTGGCTTCAAAGGACAAGATAGATCGTATAAGGGAATACTATCGTCTCAAACAGAATCGATACAATGTTCTTAGTTGGACCACTAGTAATCAGATTGGCAGTGAAGTGTTTGAATTCGAACAATTTGTCAAGTATCACTTTGAATTCAGCCCCGAGGACTTTGAAATGAACGATGAGCCGGAATATGGATCTACCATCAGTCACCTTCGCGATAAGATTCTCACAGTTGTTTCGCAATCCGACTTGTATCGTGATTATAAGAACAAGAAACTCGAAGTCATGGTATTTGATAACCAAAACAACGAAGTTGGCCACGATAAGGACAAACAATATCTCAGCAAGACCTACATTGAGACGGGGAATGTAATTGATTGTATAATATTGGTAGAATAGCATATAGAACCAAGGAAAAGTATCTATTGATGGCAATGGAGAGTAAGAGTCGGCAATGGTATCAATAAGAATGTGGGATTTCGTATGGCGACATGATTAATATTGAGCTCTATCATTAAAGTAGCTCATTAGCTTCTCGATTCTCTTCTTCCAGTTATGTCCTCTTTCACCCTACCAGTCGAGTTGTTGCTTTGTCACCACACAAAACCGTGCTAACCGTTCGAGTCGCGATTCGAGAACAGGAGGAATAACCACTTCTTCTCTCGATTCGTCTGCTTCGTCATTGGGAGTCTTGTCTCCGCTACTTATGCATTGGTTTTCAGAACGAGGCACGCTATAGTCGTAATTGATCAGATAATGCAGACTAAGGTCAACACCATTACCACGTGGCATCGATTGCAGAATGACGGACTTGTAATTGGAAAAGTCAAATTGTGGATAAGTTGAGAGTGTAGTCAATCTTGATTCTAGATCGCTGGTGCCCAAGTTTAATATCACCAGGTTAACGAGCTTCCAGCAGTCCTTTCGTAAGGATATATCCAAAAGACTGCGGAGTTCATTTGGAAGTGTTTCGAGTCCATCGACGGGGAAATCGAAACAGAGAAGACTCATCGTCACTTCGAGTTCTTTGAGTAAACTACCAGAGTTAGCAACTTTGTTTATAAGGTTTTCACGAACAAACAGGAGCACTTTATCCAAAAACTCTCGTTCTTGATCTGGTGTAATATGAGGGTTGAGTTTATGACTGCGAATCATCTCAATGAGGTTGAGTTTGAGAAGCTTGAAGTGCAATAAATTGTTGGAGTCAAGCACGGTGGGGAAGTGGTCAATAATCTCCTGGATAGCACCAGTTATATTGCCTTCAAGAATTGAATTTTTAATCTTTTTTCGTTGTCTTATCGTAGCATATCCTTTGCGAATTTTAAAAGGGGGTTGAACCAACTCGGTTTCATCAACGCTGCCTCGAGGTCCGTCTGAAATACGCTTCTGGAGATACTCTTGAACTTTATCAGCGAACTCATCACCATTATAATTGCCAAATTGAAGGCCTGTTTGATGATAACCAAGTTGAGAAACGACTAAATCAATACCATTTTCCTTTGCAAATGTCTCAGCAGCACGCTGGTAGCCCTCCTGAACAAAGTATTCGAGAACAATATTGTTCATTTGGGTATTGGTGACCGACATTCTTGGTGGTAAAGATGTGGTACTGATTCTAAATGGGTGTGGGGTGCAGTTTGGAAGCAGCAGGTTGTTGCACGACTTAATCCGGGGGTGAAACGGGGGCACTGCCGCTGACATAAGCAGATGTCATGCACCTGACCTTCGCAGCAATCTTAACGAGTATATAAGAGTTTGAAATTCCTCCACATTCAGTATCGAACATGCCAGGAGACGCTGCAGAAACCGCTAAAAACATTGCCATTGGAGTTGCTGGATCCATGGGAGGTAACAAGGTTGCCGATAAATTGCATTTGGGAGGTGCTGGCCACATTGCTTCCGGAATTGCTGGAGGAATGGGTGCCAATGCTGCCGACCGCAAGGTTGAAGAGAAGCATGGAAACTAGACAATGAGTATTTTATAATGTGAGAGATTTTCAACGATTGTAGATTCTTCTGCCGTGTGCGACATTTTCGCAATCGGTGCAGCAGATAATAGAAGTTGCGGTGTGTGGGCGCAATTAGTATTGTCCTCTATCTATGCTGGCAAAGTTTAAAATAACCATGACGCTGGCGTATAGTTCCCCTTGTTCCTTAATGGATCAAGGTCCCTGGCAATTCGTTTTCGGTACTGCCAGCATCGATCCGCCATTATTTCCCGATGCGATATGGTAGGGCTGGCTAAACGCGCGATGTCTACCAAAAGCGGCTGGATTCTGTCCCAATGCGGAAGGAGCTGGATCAGAACGATGTATGGAATATCGGATCGCAGGTCGCACATATATAGCCTGACCCGTCTACCAATATTGCATTAATTCTTGCAACACTTTTGCAACATCAAACTTATCAGTGTGTTGTCACTGCTACCTATTTAATAACGTCAATCTTGCAGCCAACTTGACACATTTGTGCAGGTATCTGTCAATTAGTTTCTCCGGATAGGTTTTAATCCGTCCGTCTCCGAAACTGCAAACAAGCAATTCCAACCATTAAATTCTGGCCCAATTGAGTTGCCAGACCCAGACAAACCTAATTGCTAAACTTCAGCATAATAGATCGTACCATGAGCATAGTGCACAGCAGAATGTTAGACCCGCTGGTGAACTCATTTGAACCGGGCCATATGCGTTCTCGGTCTTATAGTGAATTAATGACACAATTCCGGTCGTCGTTGGCGGTTCCAGGTTTATCTCTGCCGTATGTTAAAAAGAGATCACACAGTGATATGCTGAAATCCACCAGTTGTTCCGATAATGAGCCGCAGATCAAACGCAGCCGGACAGCTCCAACTACTCCACCAGCAACGCTTCTGTTGAAATCATCTGCAAAGACTATGAGATCCCGCTCGTTGTCGCCTAATAAGCGATTGTTCCCTGAACGCAAGAAACCAGTCCAGGAATGTAACAGAACCAAACTTCCCGGTATTGCTTCACTCAATATTCCCACCAAAGTTTCTGTTCCACCCATCACTCCCACCATTTCTTTAGACTACTTTGACACTTACAAGCCTCATGACGAGCACTGGAAGTATGGGCTCTTGGATTCAATTCAAAAATCCAAGAACGACTTGAGTCGATACTCATATCTCAATCACCATGCCGCATCCAAACCACTGTTCGATTCCCGTTTGAGTTCCAAGATCACCAATCCACCCGCCAACAATGTGTATCAAGAACGCAAGATCAACTTTCCCTACGAGTCCAATTACACATACTTGAACCAAACGTACAAGCGAGACATAGAAAAGTATCCCGAGTACTTGGAGCTTGCTCACTCGCTCATCTCGCTTTCCCGCAACCAGACACTGAACCAGACACTGACAAACCAGCTGCAACTTCCTCAACAACCCCCACTTGTACCTGCAACTTCACAGCACCAGCATATTTACCATGGAAGCTTTCCCTACAGCCGCCAAAAGAATCACGATACACACCATTACGAAAGAGCAAACCATCACCACCAACACCGCCCCCACTACCATGACCACCACCATTATAATGGAGCCTTGGCGTCGCTTCCAACACCCACTTCTTCAACTATGCAACTTCCTGCTACAGGTTCATTTTCTTCGTATCAGCCTTCAATTCCATACTCAAGACATCCTTCCGACCCAGAGATCCGTCGTCTGCCCACAACCCCAGCACATAGCCCACAAGCTGCCAAGTTTATTCCAATAACTCCACCATCGATGAAGTCGAAATCGAGGTCTGATCTTCTTAAATCTCCACCTAAAGCATCTCAAATTAGAGTATGTATTTCGTGTGGATCCGACCAGTCACCATGCTGGAGACCTTCATGGTCGATCAGAGAGGGCCAATTGTGTAATTCGTGTGGTTTAAGATACAAAAAGACATCGGCAAGATGTCTCAACCAAGGCTGCAAAAAAATTCCAGCCAAGGGAGAATGGTCACTTATGCTTGGTAAAGGAAAGAGTGTTTTTGAAGACGGCGAGGAGGGATACAGCTGCCTCGATTGTGGTTCGAGAGTCGAAGTTGCAAAGTAGCATTTCCCAAGACATTAATTTTACCGCAGCCGCTTTCATAGTGTATAATAATTCAACCAAACACCACTTCGAGAACGTTCCAGTTGTAAAAAACCCACACACCGGTTATATCGCACCGATTCATACGCCTCCATTTACCCACTTCTTCCACGATGTCAGACATAACAATCACCATCAAATCGTCGGGAGACGCCAAGCACGAAGTAAGCATCGCTGGCGACGCCACTGTGCTTCAACTCAAAGAGAAAATTGCAGCAGTCGCCGACGTACCTGCTGATAGACAGCGGTTGATTTATTCTGGTAAAGTGTTGAAAGATGGTGAAACGATCTCATCTTACAAAGTACAAAGCGGACACACGATCCACCTTGTCAAAAGTGCAGCAAAACCATCTGCACCGGCTGCATCTGCTTCGACAGCATCGAACAATGAATCCAACACCGGCGCCGCGGCCGCTGCATCTACCGGAGCTCCTACCAACATTGCCCTGGGTCAAGGTGCTTTCAACCCACTCGCAGACTTAACGGGAGCCAGATACGCTGGGTACACCCAACTACCATCGGCATCTATGTTTGGACCAGATGGAGGCATGAATTCAGGTATGCCCGATCCCGAGCAACTCACAGAAATGATGTCGAATCCCATGTTTCAAGAAAGCATGAATGCCATGTTGTCAAACCCTCAAATGTTGGACTATATGATAAACCAAAACCCGCAATTGCGTGCTATGGGACCACAAGCTAGACAAATGTTGCAGAGTCCCATGTTCAGACAAATGATGTCCAACCCAGAAATGATGAGATCCATGATGGAAATGAGTCGTAATGCCGGTCTTGGTGGTGCTGGAGCAAACGCTTTTGCTGCCCCAGGAGCCAATCCTACTGTGGGTAGCACCGAAGAGTCGTCGGCCAGCTCCGAAACCCCAAGTGCAGGCAACACTGGAGCTGCAGCCAATCCCTTTGCATCACTTTTCCCGAACGGCATGCCACCAATTGATCCTATGGCCCTCTTTGGAGGGGGCGCTGGCTCTGCTCCACAAGAAACCGATAATCGTCCGCCAGAGGAACGGTACGAATCGCAACTCAGGCAATTGAATGATATGGGATTTTTTGACTTTGACCAGAACGTAGCAGCATTGCGCCGGAGCGGCGGGAGCGTGCAAGGAGCCATTGAGTATTTGTTACTGCAATAACTTGAAAAGACCCACTATGACTACTAGCTGAATGCTGCAAATATGTAATGTATAGGTGTAGGGATGTGACGAAATGCAAAGCGAAATACAACACATTCCGAATTTGATTATTATGCTGACTTCGGAGGCAGACTCAATCAAAATGGAATCAGGTCGAGACGACGGGTCTGATTCGGACGTGGAGATTACACATGAGTCGAGAACAGGGCCTCGTCGTACCAGGATTGTCATGGATAAACCACAAGTCGATGGACTTGTTGAAGAGCCGATGGAAATGCAGCTCCGGAAATCGGTAGCTTTAACGCTTGATGCACAGAATATGCCCATGACTCCCGGATTTCTCGACCAGATAACCGAACTCGCAAGTGAATACTTTCACAACATCATTGTAGCACTTCAGAAATTTACCGAACTTCAACGAAGACGTCGTCCTTCACTCACAGATGTTCAGCTTTGCTTTTCTACCCTCGGAATCAATCACAATGCCGTTTTGCGACTACATGAGCTGATTACAGCCAAAATGACACCCCAGCAACATACATATGCCCGGAAAATTGCCGAGCAGAGTAATACCATACGCACCGAATCTCAAGATTTCACCATCGAACCAAAAGACCCATCGTATCCATTTATTGCCAATGAAAAGTATGAGATCACAGCAGTAGTACCCCAGCACCACGCAAGACCCGAATACGTTCCTGGACACATGCCTATGCTTCCCCCAGATTATACCTATCATCGAACACCGGAGTATATGCCTACCATCAGCGACTTGAAGACAGTAAGAACCAAGCTTGTAGAGGAGTCGAGGATGACAGAAAAGTGGCTATACGTGTTAATGAAAGACAACGAAAAGTATAAAGTCGACAACAACGAGATAGATGTGGAGATGGATAGAATCAGCAAAGAAGAAAATGAAGATACCCGCAAGGGAGAATGGAACGGAAGTGATGATTCTGATAGCGATGGAACCAACCACAATGGCGAGGTTAAAAGTCCCGAGACGAAAGAAGGGCAAGAGAATGGAGAGAAGGAAACCCCTATTCCTCATTCTACTTCTAATCCTAAATTTTTCGACATAATGGCCTATGCTCGTAAACGGATAACATCCTTAGAGCGTCGTACACAGAACCTCGAACAAAAAAGAAAACGCCGTCATGATAATATCTTCATACAAGCGGAAACTGTTTATTCTCCATATGCCACAAAGAAACCTACTAAAGAAGTGGCCAAAAAATTTGACGATGCGTTGGAGGCCGCCTTCCTGTCTGTGCTTATACTGGTTAAAGAAGGTGAAAAGGAAAAGAGACGGAAACTTGCTGCTATTGAGGAAGACAAAAAGAGACGTCAAGAGGAACGTGAGTTGCAAGCAGACACTCTTGAGTTTGGAGCTTTGGGCAATATTGCTCATTCTGACGATTCAGACGAGGAAGATGAAGGGTTTCCTGAATTTGATTTTCCTGATAATCCTGACCAAGCCACAAATAACTGGGAAGCATCCCAGCCAGAAACAACGACTCAAGAGATGGCTGAACAGCGTCCAACATTGGCTAAAAAAGGTTTACCTTCCAACGATCATCCTGTGGAAGAAACAAATGATAGTGATGAAGATCTTGAGGCTGACCTCGAGGATGCTCTTGGGGATCTTGGAGCCATGACATAAGGATTTCATTACTAACTAGGCTAGAGTATGTTCAACGTGCTCGACAGAAAGTTTGTGAGGACTAGCCAACATTGCAATTTCATGGTCGGCATCATCTCCAAAAACTTTTGCAACCTCTTCAAGAGTATAACCTGAGGTTTCTGGGAACATGAAGTACACAGTGATTACTTCCACCATATCCACACAACAGTATACGATGTAATATCTCCAAGATATGGCATCCATTGCAATCGGATTGACAAAGCCATTAAAGATTGAAATGACTTGCAGCACTCCTTGTACGATATTGATTCCTTTGGCACGATGACTATATGGCAAAACCTCTGTCAAGTACAAGAAAGGGAGTCCATTTGCTCCGGCATTGAATGCAACATAAAAGAGAAATATCATAGCCAATACTCCATTTGCAAAGGACTTGTCTTTAAAATCTCGCTGCTCATTGATTGCTGATAAGATGGTCCAAATCAGAAAAGTCATCACCATTCCTATGGTAGCGAACAAGAACATGGTACGCCGACGAAAGTAGCCTGCTACCGAAGCGATAAAGATAGCAACGACAAGATTATAAATCATCAAGCAACCATTGATTTGAAGCTGACGATCGGGATCGGTAATGCCTATGGTGACCATAACCTTGGGCAAATAGAACGAAACGAGTCCGTTTCCTGAAAGTTGCATCAAGACGGGAAGAAACATGCAAATAAAGAGACGACGACGATAACTTTTCCTTGTGAAAAAATCAGTATATTTTGTCTTGTTAGCAAGTTTCTCCATTCTGATGGCTTTTTCAATCTCTCCCAATTCAAATTTGACAAGATTTTTGGCTCGTTCATCAGTGGACCCTCCAGTATGGTATTTCACCAAAACCTGTTCTGCCTTGGCAATTTTACCTTTGCTAACCAAAAACCTTGGAGACTCCGGCACCATCAAAAAGAGACTGATTTGCAATGCTGGCATGGCCGCTTGAAGGTAGCTAGGCAATCTCCATGAAGTGGAAGATTTGATATTTCTTGTACCATAAGTTACCCATGCAGCTATCACCGCACCCAAGTACCAATTGGTGTTGTACCAGGTAGTAACGACTTGGCGATGGGTTGGATAAGCGATTTCAGATATTAATGTTGGTGAAGCAACCGCAGCAATGAGGGTTCCTATTCCCAATATGATTCTTGAAACCAAAAAGAAGGCATAATTTGTGGATGCACCTTGTAACATTGCACCCACAACCGATACAATTTGACCAATTACAATTGCCCACCAACGGCCCATTTTATCAGTCAAAGCTGGTGCTATAAAGATACCGATTATTCCACCGAAAACTTGACCATTTGCTAAAGCTCCCAAGATGTGTCCGGTAGGATGTCCCATTTTTGTTTCCCAAGTTTGTAACGACTGAAACCCGTTCAACATACTTCCGTCGTAACCATTATTGGTTGACGAGAGAGTCACCACAAAAATACAGAAGTTGAGGAACCAAAGATGCTTTACTTTCCACCATGGTTGAGAATGCGAAGTGAATTCGGAGATGGAGTGATTATCGAGGTCTGGATCGAGAGCAGGCACCAATTTGGCAATTTCAGGTTGGTGATTCGTATCGCCTTCCGAAGATTTTTCTGAAAACAGTTCTGACATTTGGGCCAATTAACTTCAGAGTTGTTATTTATAGTTCGGAGAGGCTATCAATGCACCGAAGTGTCAATGCAACTTCCCCGCAGTGCCGTAGCCAAGACTGCAACCTAAAAAGCATTCATATACGAAAACTAGAAAGTGCTAATAATAAAGGCCAACTGCCACAAATATGATTATGCCATACGAACTGACAGACAACTGACGAGGAAGCGGTGTCGCTTTTACCCATTGCAACCTCAGTGCGTCCCCCACACTCTAGCGCCGCATAGCTGCATTCCCTGCATTAATCCCCTGAGATTTGCGCAGGTCACGTCACATTCTTACCTCCGCGCCGCACGGTGAATAATCAATTTTCCTAAAAGCGACCCAAATATGAGGACAACAAGTCGAGAGCAATGTAGCAGCAATAATGGCAACAAATGAGTGTACGCCGAAGATCACAGAAGTTCAAGGAAAGTCATCAATGTCGTGAAGCGGAGAGGTACCTTAAGCAGGGAACATTACGTTATATCTGAGCGGTTGCTTGATCGTTCCGTCCCTGGTAAGTAGGTCAGCGTATCAATTAGGTTTATTTTCAAGAAACAAGCTATCAATTGAACATAGATATGTGCTTGTATTCGATATATAGGGCCAAAAAGTTATCAAATTCGTATGCGCGCCCAAAAATGGTTGCGAAAACTGGATGCGGATTATAACCTCTTATCTAAAGGGTGCGGTTAAAATGATTGTCCCGTTATAAGTGTATTTATATAACTTTCATACGGGTAGATCAAGATAAAAACTGATTTTCGATCGTTTTCCAGGATACGGCAGCAAGAACATGTCTTGCATTTCACATTGTAGTTGAGTACGATGATTTGACAAGCTTGCATTTATCATGTCAAGCTACAAGAAAGTACTGTTCTGTAGACGAACAGTAGGTAGGGAAATACAATGAAGAGTTACCAAGTTGAACATATTCAATTCCACTAACCAGCCGCTAATATAACTGATAAATACTGTATAGCGAAGAATCTTTGTATTACTCTGCTTGGCGGTAGTAATAGTAGACCATACAACATGACCCAACGCCTATAATAAGAATAAATAAGTCCAGTATAATCTTTGTTGCTGGCTTTTTATATCGAATGGAATGGATTAAGGGTTCTATCCGCGATGCTGTATACCCCCCCCAATGCCAAGTGCTAAAAGGAACCAGCACCAACCCAGATAGTTAGGAATCTTTATAGCAATGTCCTTTTTTGAGTCAGGGAAGACGAAAGATACCATTATGAACGAGCTTGAATAAAGTATGAAAAAAAGCAAAAATAAATCTTCCCTTATCTTAAGCCTATGCCTATTTAGTTTTTCGGCCCTAGTTTCTGTAGTCCATTGTTTCTCCATTCTTGATCAAGAAACCATCAAAGGAACGCTGCGATAGAGGTTTCAAGTAGACGTATACGATAAATAATCTGCCAAATCTAGAGTCGCAAAAAAGTCGTACTTCTTATAGCAGGTCAAATGCACCTCAAAATTATTATTGCAGCGTCCAGCCTACTTCTGCAATCTTTATACCCAATTAAATCCTTATACCTTCCCTTCCTCAACATTTTCCTTATACTTTCTGTACCTTTATCTTTCTCTTCCTTCCTCTTCTGTAATAGGCAGGATTCCCACCATTATCAGCAGATTTGGAAGTTACCGAGTTGAGGCACATTTACTGCTTTTTTCCATTCGTATTTGGCTCCTGATCGCCGATAATGTAGAAATCTTTGTACTTGTATTACTCTAATTCGCAGTAGCCAATGTAAACCAAACGACAAAACCCAACGTTCATAAGAAACATGAATAAGAATTTAAAAATGTCTTCTAATGGTCTCTTATATCGAATGGAAGCGATTAAGATATACAAAGAAAATGCTGTACACATCACAAGAAAACCTGCAAGAAAGAGCCAAACAAAAACGTCAGGAATCTCTATATGAACAACAAGTACATGGATTGAAAGAAACACGAAAAAACTGAAAATCAAACTCAAAATCAGTATCATGAGGTTATCAGCTTTCAGAATTTCGGTCCTAGTTTCTGTAGTCAATTGTTTCTCCATTTGTGATCAAGAATTATCAAAGGTACGCTGCGATAAAGCTAGGTTTTAAGTAGACTTATACGACAAATAATCTGCCAAATCTAGAGTTGTGAAAGAAAGTCGTAGCTTCCGCAAGTCCAAGTACCTAAATATGACTCTCGCAGCGTCCAGCTTACTTCACCAGCCTTTATACGCAATTAGATCCTTATACTTTCCGTTTCCTTCATTCTAGTCACAACTTTCTCCTTTTCTTCCTGTTCCTTTTTCTTACTCTTCTTCCGTCATAGGCAGAGTTCGCCGAAAATAATGAAAATTTACCGAAATAAAAAGTAGAACTACTGCAGTAATGAACAGTCACATTGTAGTTTGTATTTGGCTCTCGATCGCCGATCGAGCGGCAAAACTATATCGAAGGCATCATAAGATCTTAGATTAGCCGGTTCTGTGGGTCGCTGATAGTACTCGTCACGGTTGGAGAGTAGCACAAATGGATACTCAGGATGCTCTGTAGATGAGAGAAGGATGCACATTTGAACTGTAAGTGGTATCCGCCAGCTGTGACCAAAAAAAATGGGTCACAATCGTGCAAAATCTTAGCGTGGGGTAACATCCAAACACCGCATAAATAGCTAAGTGGCTAGCAGAAAAACTAATGCGAGACTTTATCCCATAAGTTGGGCCAAGCTGACACTATAATTGTAAGTTAAACTAGTTGCAAAGCTGCTTTTTGGTTTTTGTTTCTCTTTCGGCTGCTTGCTTTTCTGATTAACTTAGCTAACTTACTACTCTATTAGAAATCGATAAGTAATAGCCTGAAAGGGACTTACCGTTGAATTAAATGTTCAGTTTCTGGTCAATTCTTTTGACTTTCGATAGTAGCATCTTAAAGAATAAACTGGTTCTCGATCCAAGATTTTTAAGTTACAAGGTAAAGAACTTGTTGCACGCTTTCACAATGTAAATGAGTTTAGAGTGACAAGCTTGCAATTTCATTATGTCAAGGTACTTGCAAAATTTGTTATGTTTGAGACCAATGGTACGTATGACAGGCATACATTTTTATATATACGAGGACTATCGACCCACAAGCTAATGAAAGCATTTAGCTTGTGTTTATCGATCGTTAGACCTATAATTATTCATGACACAAAAGTAGCAAGTGTCATTTGACAGAGAATGACCATGCGATACACAGTTAAACTCTGTGAGTCGCTGTAGCCACTGTAACCAAACCATAATGCCAAAAGGCACGTAAGAAGAGCAAAACCGTTTTGCACAATATTTTCAATTGGCTCCCGACGCCAAATCGAAAGGATAAAGTAACGGCCCACATATACTGTATACGCGAGAGCAGTCGTTGCAGCAGCGTACCACCATCCCTCCGTAATTTCTAACTCTTGCTCGATGAAATCAGGTAATAGCTGCTGGCATGCTTGAAGGGATACAATAGACACTTCCACTATTAAATTACCAATTCTTCTCCAGCCTACCCGATTGGCCCGAGTTTGGGTCGGACTAATCATGGACATTTCTTCCATTGGTGGTGTATTCAATTCTTGCCATGCTGGTGTATTCAATTCTTGCCATGCTGGTGTAAACACCTCCACTGCTTCTTCTGGAGTCACTACTCTTCTTGCTCTTCTAGCTCTTGATCTAGGCATTTTTTGCAATCGTGGACAAGAAGAAGACAAAGCACAAATGCGACCAGTGTTTTATTTGCAGCCATATTACTCTTCTTACGTAATAGGATTCTCATTGTTCGGCGGACCTGAGAATTTACCAATTGTTGAGGTAGAAGTAGGTTTTCGACCACCTTTCGTATTTGGTTCTTGATCGAAGATCATGCAAAAGCAAAAGGAATTGCCGCCTTAATTACAAAGTAAATTGGTTGCCAACTTTTTTTATTCTGTCATTTTTTCTCTGTATATATCTGATCAAGTCTGGCTAGAGAACTTCACCACTTCTCATTTATTAGAGATAGATAAGTAATAATCTAGAAGGATGAACCGTAAAAATTCCAGCTTATAAGTCTATTTATATGACTTCCATACTCGCACAGGTTAATGAGCTGACTTTCGATCCAAAATATCCAGGATAAGGCAAAGAGAACATGTTTTGGATTTCACGTTGTAGCTCGTGTTACAATAATTTGACAAGTTTGCAATATTTGGTTCAGCTTATGACGAGCAGTATGTAGGAAAAACTTATATTACTAGACGACAACATTCAAAAGACGCACTCTCCATGAGCAATGGGAGCAAATAATCAACAACTTGCAGCAAAAAATGATTGGTGATCCACCCTTTTCAAGTCATTTCTAGTCATTCCAAGCGCAAGGTTATTATAACTCAGCATTCTCTTTGAGTTCATCCTCCTCCTCCTCCTCCTCTGTGATCTCTCCCGAGGTGGCTGATAGGATTAAAAATTCAAATAAACCAACCATAGTATCTATTTGTAGTGATGGATAATAGTACTTGAAAGCGATGAAACTTGTCACATAGAACGCAACAACAGAATAAAACCTGAGTCTAACCTTTTTCCATGGCTCACGGGATTGGCAGACGGCTCTCAACTCTTTAAAAGTAAATATCACACAACCGATTGCAATGCCAAACGAGATATAATTTTGAAGTTTATTCGTTTTTTTGACAACATTCGCCTCCTGGCGTTCCTGAAGTTCACGAACTTTTTCTGCAAGCAGTATCAGCGCTGCCTTCAACGCTGCTCTCCAGCTATTGAGAGACATGGCCCAAGTTGTTGTCGTCGTATTTTCCATTTAATCAACTGCGCTGTAAAAGCTAGGTTTTAAGTAAACGTATGCCACTGCCAAGTCTAGAGCCGTGAAAGAAAGTGGTAGCTTCACAATTATAGCAGGTCAAATGAACCTGAAAATGAGCATTCAGCCTGATTTGCTATTGTTTCCTCTACTTTATACATTCCGTTCCTTATTCTTTCCTTCCTTCATTCTCTGCACTGGTTTATGTCATCCGATGATAGCCAGAGACAATTGAGCTTGACACCACAACCGGAAATGTAATATTGAGTACCACTTCCTTGCTGAAGTAGCTCTCGGTCTGCATATTATTCACAGCTGTGCCTCCAGACACCACCGCATCCACCCGCCTGAGATGAGATGTAGTCAACACGCACGCTCACCCCAACTCACAATGTCGAAACTGACACCGATATCGCTCCCTCAATCGGTGCCGTTTCCGGTGACAGTGACACAGGTGATGATATCCCCAGGACAAACATTGCCCCGTCACCAACCACTTCTCAAGTATAAATACTGGGATTATCAAGATAATCCAAATGACGCAGACACAGATGAACCCACGAAAAATGCGGGTTGAACGTATAGGAACTTTCGAATCGCCTATTACAGGCGAAGTAGAAGAGGTTCAAGTGCGTGTGGGTGAGGAGATTCTTCATTCTCAAGTACAGTTGTGTCGGGTAAAAGAACCATGCGGACATGAAGTACAGTACGGTGGTTTATGTGCCATGTGTGGTTTAACTGTGGACGATAAGGATTATAGCGGCTACAGTTATGAGGACCGTGCTACCATCAGTATGGCACACGATAGTACTGGGCTAAAAATTTCTTTTGATGAAGCAGCTAAACTCGAGCAATCTACAAGCGAGCGGCTCACTTCTGAGCGTAAATTGATTTTGGTGGTGGATCTCGATCAGACCGTGATCCATGCTACTGTGGACCCCACTGTTGGCGAATGGCAGCTGGATCCTCTGAATCCCAATTATAGGGCCGTCAAAGATGTGCGATCGTTCTGCTTGGAAGAAGACCCTATAGCTCCTCCAGGATGGTCTGGCCCTAAAATGACTCCTACCAAATGCTGGTACTACGTCAAGGTCCGCCCTGGATTGGAGGATTTCTTAAAGAGGGTATCGCAATTATACGAGATGCATGTGTATACCATGGCTACTCGAAATTATGCATTGGCTATCGCACACATTATTGATCCTGATGGTCGCTACTTTGGTGACAGAATATTAAGTCGAGACGAAAGTGGCTCGCTCACACACAAGAATTTGCGCAGACTTTTCCCCGTTGACCAACTGATGGTGGTTATCATCGATGATCGTGGAGATGTATGGCAATGGGAAAAGAACCTTATCAAGGTGGTTCCTTACGAATTTTTTGTGGGAATCGGTGATATCAACCTGAGTTTCCTCCCGAAAAAGAATGGTCAAGTCACTGGTCCCATGCGTAAGCGTATTGCTCGCTTAGAGGCGTACGAAGAAAAACAAAGACGAAAGAGCCAGGGTGAGATTGTCGATGACGACGACCTGCAAGACCCACAAGACCCAGGGAGCGAGCCACCTCAAAACTTGGAGCCGCTGGCGATCCCGGAAGAAGCAGGTTCTGATCATTCAAACGACGAAGAATCACCTTCAAGAAGAAATTCAATTCATGATAACGACAAACCATCCCTGACCACCTCCTCACGCAGAAACCTGCAGAGTTTACAAGCATCACCTGTAGACCGAATAGTTGAACTTGGAGGTGACAAGGTCCAAATATTCGAGCAGTCTCTCACCCGCAATCAAAGCTTAGAGCAACAACAGCATGATCGACCCCTTGCAAAATTACAACACGATCTTGAAAAAATCAACCATGAACATGATGAGAAGGAAATTACCCCAGAATCGGATAACGAAGACAATCTCTTGTTTGATGATGATAATGAACTCGAATCGTTGAACGACGCTTTGGTTCGTGTGCATGATGAATACTACCGCATATGGGATAGTTACAACGAAGACAAATCCCTAACGAATCCAGATCTTACTACCATCATCCCTTCGCTCAAAAGTAAATGTCTTGAGGGAATAGTAGTGCTCTTTTCTGGAATTTTAAGATGGGGTAGTGATCCTCAAAAGGCAGACATAGTCATATGGTGTCAACAGTTTGGGGTCAAGGTGGTGAACGAGGTATATCCTGAAGTTACTCACGTCATCTGTAGAGAGCCCAGTGCTGGCGGAGGACTCACTTTCAAGGTACGAGTTGCTAAGAAGACACTTCCTAATGTCCATATAGTCACACCCGATTGGTTATTTGCATGTATGAGCAAATGGACTCGAGTGGACGAAAAGCCGTATGCAATTGAAGCCAGCGACGAAGATTTTTACTTGGAGGAAAAAGATTTGGTAAAGTATCAGGCAATTATCGAGGACCCAAGAAAAGCACCAGAACTGCGACCACGATTTGATTCTGTTGCAAGTATGGAGGAGTACGATTTGGATGGTGCCAGTAAAGAAGTTGATGACTTTTTGGCAGATATTAGCGATGAAGATGAAGATGGGCAGGAAGAGGAGGAAGAGGAAGAAATCAAGGAAGACGAACCCAAAAAGGATACTTTCATACTGGACTTGTACAAAAAGCGGAGGGCTAATGATGATATTGACTCTCTGGCCAAGAAAGCTAAGCAAAATCCCGATACGCTAGACGACCTTGAACAGGAACTAATGGATGGGTTTGACGACCTTGAATGACAGTGTACGATAATGTATAATAGCATACAGTAAACATATCAATGTGCCTACGAGAATGAATATCTATAACAACCTTACATACGAGTTCCAGTTTCCCTTCTTCAACTACAATGACTTACACAGGCTCAAGTCTGTCGAGTAGACAATATTCGTGTGAGAACCCACCACATGGCAATTGTCAATATGCACCCAGATCCGTCCCTCACTAATACAATGGCCACAGTAAGCCTCTACCTAAGCACAATGAAGTGTATGGGCTATTTTTGCATTTCAATTCGAATACCCACTGTACATTTTTCGCAGCCAGCCATGCGTGAGCCGCACCGGCCACCAGATCGGGTAATAGACCAGCCAGCAGATCGAGACGGATCAAGGACCTTAGTATAAAGTGACCACGAGTCCGGGATAAGGTTTAGGAAATCTGATCTGCGTCTTATTCTTGTGGGTTTTTTCTTAATACTTGCTTGGTTTTTCACGTGCATCATTTTGCATCATTTGGAGTGTATAAATTGAAGCTGCGGAAAATTAAAAATAGAACCAGACACAGCCAAAGAAGCTTTTTAACCGAAAGTATTTATAGCTTTACATCGAAAAGCAAGCCCCAGATTTCACCTAAAAGAGGAAGTGTTTGGAACTTTCCTGATTTTCAGATTAAAAACTATTTTCAATTTTGTTTACCCGACTTAACCTATCCAGAACACTTGAACCACAACAGCTACAAAAAGAATGTTCAAATTCTTTAGATTTTTGCTCATAATCTTTTCGATTGCCGCGGCAATCTTATCTGTGTTTGCACTTATTGGGTCCTACAAGAATGAGCTGTATTTGACAGACATATACCTTATTGATGTTCATCTTAGTGGTCTTAAACTTAGCAAACTTTTTGACGTTAACAACTTCAAGAGAGAGCTCCCACCACTCGTCAATGAAGCATTGATCTTAGAGGAAAGGGCTGATGTTTCGTCAAGTGAGATAACAACGGCTATTAACAACATTGTCGACAGTCTCACTTACCAAGAACTTGGACTTGCCGATGTATACTCCATATCTTTCTGGGGTTATTGCCGTGGCACAGCTACCAATGACAAGATTGCCAATCCCTTAAAGAAGGTCACCAATAACTTTGACAATAACAAAGTCAATTTCACCTACTGTTCAAAACCTACACCAGGCTACAAGTTTGACCCTCTTACAGTGTTGAAGCATGAAATCAACGATACTATTAACGATACTGTTGACGGAAATGGTGTTGTGAGTAATGCTATTGGTTCTACCGTCAAACAGCAGTTGACCCAATTGGTGGATAATCTTTCTTATGAGAACCTCAATCTTCCTGGAAACCTTAAGAAAGATTTGACACTTTTGAATAATCTCACAAGGGCAGCTTTTGCACTCACCATCGTAGGTGTTGTTCTAAGCTTCCTTTCTGTCATTATCCAGCTCTTGGGATGCTTTATGTCTCCAGACAACTGCTGTCTTTCCTTCCTCAACTTTATCTTTGAAGCACTTACATTCATTATACTATTAGTTGGAGCAGCTCTCAGTACAGGAGCGTATCTCTATGTGAGAAAAGAAGTGAACAATGCCACATCGGACTATGGAGTCAAGACATACTTGTCAATACAGTATTATGCCTTTGCATGGTCTGGAGCTGTTGCTGCACTTTTGGTGGTTATTTTCAATTTATTGGGCCATTGCTGTGGATTGTTTGGTACTAACAGAAATCGGTACCGTACAGTGGCTCCCCCAGTTCCTGAAAAGGAACCTTCGATGGCATATAGCCATCTGACTATGTAGAGTACGATTCGCTAAATATGGACAATGATTTACGCTTAAAGCAATTGGGCAGAGCAGGAACAGAGAAGGTACATTTATTGCTAGACTCCTATACTCATCTGTTCATTTTCTTCTCTATATTCTTCTCCACCTCTATCCATATTCTCTCTTCCCATCCATCCACCAGCACATAATTCATCGCGCTATCGAATTTCTCATTATTTACACTATGATATGTTCACGTAAGTACCACAGCTCCACACTTTTAGTATCTGAACTATACTAACTCCAGTTTCCGGTAAAGAGGCCGAAGAACCAGTGATATCTCGCAAAAGTGGAGCGATATTCGAGCGTAAACTTATAGAAGAGTACATCAGTGCTCATGGGAAAGATCCTATTTCTGAAGAAAATCTAACAATTGAGGACCTTACCAAAGTCCAAGGTGTCCCTGAGTACGTTCCACCCCAATTACCATCTCTGGCATCGATTCCTAATCTCCTAAAAACTTTTCAGAATGAATGGGATGCTCTTGCATTGGAAGTTTTCTCGCTTCGTAAACAGCTTCACAAAGCTCGTCAAGAATTGAGCGCCAGTCTTTACCATTACGATGCCGCCGTACGTGTGGCTGCCAAGGCGACGGAAGAAAGAGATGAAGCACAAAGAGCATTGAAGGAATTGTCTCAAGCAGTAGGAAATGGTGTTTCTCAAATCAAAAACGATATTGATAATGGTCATCCATACAAAAACGGAGATGAAATACCTGTATCCACTAATAATATACTGCTCAGTGATATAGCTGAGGAATTGGAGGTGGAACGAGAACGTCTCTTTGCACAGCATAAGGCTCAGAAGAAGACCACCAAGCAATTTTCAGGAGCCGACTATTCGATTCAAATGAAGGAAAATATTCCACTTCCATTCAAAACACTTGCTACAGTGGCTTATCGCGACGGAATGCTTGCTCTAGCTTCCACAGCTGGGTCTATAACTATTGTGGACGTGCAAAACGATGCTAACACCACAAAAATTGTCCGTAAGGGAAAACCTTCAAACATCACACTTATCAAATCCGAAGGACAAGTAGTACCAGTGGCAACGACCAAGGATAAAATCTTTGTTGGCAGCGAAAAAACATCATTACAGCATTCAGGAGAGATTATAGCCATTGCTTCGCATCCAACGTTGGCTTACTTTGTTGTAGTTGGACGAACAGGATGGCTGCTTGCTACTACCAACTCGATAATTCATCAAGATTCGACTCCATACATAAGCGCTGCTTTCCATATTGATGGAAAATTGGTAGCATTAGGGTCCAGTTCAGCCATCGACATTGTGGATATTTCGACTGCTGAAAAGGTTGCGGCGATTGAATTCAGTAATGCCAACAAACTCCTATTTGCCCCCAACGGATATTGGCTACTTGCACTTTCCAACGAATCTCTCCTGGTGATTGATATTCGAACACAATCCGTAGTGGGAAATATTGAAGGGTCCTTCAAGGACTTTGTTATCGACCCTACCTCCACCATTATCATTGCAACGAGCGAAGACTCCACTTTCCTATACAAATATTCCAAATCTGAAAAGCAGTGGATGAATGAACCTGTTGTGCACCTTGACCAAGGGATACGCTCAATCTTTATCCTGGACGATGTTCACTTTGAAGATTATTTGCAAACTGGAGATATTCCATTTATTGGAATTGACACCGATATCAGAAAGGGAGAGCTAAAAAAGGAAAACTAAGGATACAAGGAGAAAAAAGTGAACAAGAGAACGAGTAAATGAAGAGATGAAGCGGTAGCTGATGCTAGTTGTATAATAGAATAACCCTAGGTTCGTGTGCTATAACATCCACTGCACCTGTAATCGGATTCGCAGTACCAAGTGTTTCTTCCCCCACAAAACGCTAAATATGAGCAATTCAGAGCATGAATTGGAGCTCTTGGTCAAGAGCTGGCTCTCCATAGATAGTAACCCATCCTCCCGTAAAGTAATTGAGGAACTTTGGGAAAAGAAAGATTATGAATCATTGAAGTCAATGATGATGCCAAGAATCGCATTTGGAACTGCTGGACTTCGATCGGAAATGGCGCCCGGATTTGCACACATGAATGATGTTACGGTTCTCCAAGCCGCCCAGGGACTTGTGGACTACTTGCTAGAAACGGGCGAGAAGTCAATCGTTATTGGTTATGACCATAGGTACAATTCCCAGCGGTTTGCTGAGATAACCGTTAGTGTTGCCATTTCTAAGAAACTAAAAGTGTTCTACTTGGGTTCTACTACAAACCTTTCTGTTGAATCCTTGCGTTCCTCATCAAAAAAGTGGAATAACAACGACCGTGATTCACGCAGTTATGTTCATACTCCATTGGTGCCGTTTGCAGTCGACCATTTCCGTGCTGGAGCAGGTGTTATGGTTACAGCATCCCACAATCCAGCTAAGGACAACGGGTATAAAGTATACTATAAAAATGGATGCCAAATCATTCCTCCTCATGATAAGAATATAGCACTGAAGATTGAGGTAAATTTGCAATCTTGGTCTGGTGTTCAAGATGTGGTTTCTCACTTTGAAAATGGGATAGAATCGGGATTGTTAAAGGCTTGCAAGTCAGAAATTGACAGCCATTACATTGAAAAAATGAAATCTCTTCTTGTTCATCGATCTCTCGACTTTGAATTCGTCTATACTCCCATGCACGGAGTAGGTCTCGAGACCGTGGAGCCAGTTACCAATCTTTTTGAGAACCCGAAAATGTCAGTTGTTCAGCAACAAGCTGTACCAGATCCTTCGTTTCCCACCGTCAAATTTCCCAATCCTGAAGAAAGCGGTGCTTTGGAGCTTGGAATTGCCCAGGCCGATAGAGAAGGACACAAGCTTGTAGTAGCTACTGATCCCGATGCTGATAGATTCAGCGTTGCAATCAAGGAAAAAGATGGATGGAAACAACTCACAGGAAACGAGATTGGATATCTCTTTGCAAAGTTCATTATAGAAAACACCGACAAATCAGAATTGAAGAGTACCTACCTTGTGAACTCCACAGTTTCGTCACAGATTCTCAAGTCTATGGCAGCGCATCATGGATTCAATTTCGTTGATACTCTTACTGGGTTCAAGTGGATCGGTAACAAGGCAATTGACTTGAAAAAAGAAGGATACAGCGTACCCTTTGGATATGAGGAAGCTATCGGGTATATGTTTGGTCTTGTTAACGACAAAGACGGTATTTCTGCTCTCGTCATTTGGCTCCAACTTTATCAGCAGTGGTTTTCCAGTGGTAAATCAGTTATTCAAAAATTAAACGAAGGTTACGAAAAGTACGGATGGCACAAGGAATGCAATGGATATTACCGAGTCAAGCAATTGACCCAAACGAACAAAATATTCACAACTGTACGGCTGCAATATGACAAAGCACCAACTACAATTGGAGATTTTCAAGTTGTCAGTTGGAGAGACCTCACAATTGGATACGATTCGTCCACACCTGATAACATCCCAACATTGCCAGTAGACCCGTCATCTCAGATGATTACAGGTGAATTACAAAATAGTGAAGGACTCGTGCGGTTCACGGTGCGTGGATCTGGAACAGAGCCCAAGATTAAGGTATACATTGAAGGACAAGCCAAGTCTGAAAACAATGCAAAGTCACTTGCTGTAAAATGCTGGACCACATTAAGGTCGCTGTGGTTCGTGGATAAAGATTTGGTCGAGGTTAGAAACAATTAGTTGCAGCCGTAAGTTGCACCGATTCAATGCATCCATACACCTGAGGCGCGTGTGCTAGGTGGCTTAATTCCTGCAGTGAAACCTCAACACTTTGTTCTTTTATAGTCAACATGGGCTTCTACCATGAGAAGAAAAATGACCTTCCAATGTAAGTATTTCGGTTGGAACCTTTTTTCTGTATTTAACTTACTAACCTAGGCATTTCACGCCTCGAGCAAGATCAAAACTCAATAAAAAAGTCATCGCAATAATAGCTGTTGTAATTCTTTTCATTTTGGTCAAGATACGATGGTCGTCTATGCCGGCTTTGCCCGATCCCGGCTACTCCAAGTATATTGCCACCAAGGAGGGAATTCGGCAAGAAGTCAATGAGGCTCCGGATGAAGGTGAAAATCAACAACCCAACGCCGACTGGTGGACCAGTGAAGATGCTTATGCTAATACTGTGGAGCATTATGATCTCAATGAGTTCCGTGGCTCTGCCGACGGGCTTCTGCATAACAACATTGTCTTGTTCTTGATGCCACTTCGTAATGCGGAACATGTACTTCCTATGGCATTCCACAACATCATGAACCTAACATACGATCATAGTTTGATCGACATTGCTTTTCTCGTGTCAGACTGTTCGCCCGGAGACCATACTCTAGAGACAGTATTCGAGTATTCTGTGGCATTACAAAACGGTACTTTGGTTGATCTCTTGCATGAAGACGAACTTGTGCGGAAACAACTGTCGGTTCGTGGCTCTCTGGACTTGTACCAGCAGTATATGGATCCAGACTACATTCAGAACGTGAAGCAATCATATTACAACCCAAGTTCATATCATAAAGACTACCGCAAGCCATTTCGGTCGGTCTCCATTTACCACAAGGATTTTGGACAAGTCATAGGTCAAGGGTTTTCTGACCGTCACGCCGTTAAAGTTCAGGGTATCCGTAGAAAACTTATGGGACGTGCCCGTAATTGGCTTACAACCAACGCATTAAAGCCCGAACATCTGTGGGTGTACTGGAGAGACGTCGATATCGAAACCTGTCCAGGAAGTGTAATCCAAGACTTGATGAAACACGACTATGACGTTATGGTCCCCAATGTATGGCGGCCTCTTCCCACGTTTTTGGGAAATGAACAGCCCTATGATCTCAATTCTTGGATCGAGTCAGATGCAGCTTTGGATTTGGCGAAAACATTGGATGAAGATGACGTTATCGTAGAAGGATATGCTGAATATCCAACTTGGCGGTACCATCTAGCATATGGACGCGATCCTAATGGTAATCCCGACGAAGTCATTGAAATGGATGGAGTTGGTGGAGTTTCCATTCTCGCGCGGGCGCAAATATTTCGTCATGGTGTGCACTTTCCAGCGTTTACGTTCAGGAATCACGCAGAAACAGAAGCATTCGGTAAGATGGCAAAGGCTATGGGGTTCAGGGTGGCTGGACTTCCCCATTATACGGTATGGCATATTTATGAACCTAGCGAGGACGATCTTCGAGAGATTGCAAAATTGGAAAGAAAGAAGAGGAGGAGAGGATCTAGACGCGAATAGGATTGATAATAGAGATAAAAAGAATTTTGCACCGTCAGTAGGAAGGCAGGGTTTTTAATCACTGGATAACTCAGAGATTGTTCACATCCATGTTGTTCATCATTTAGGTACAAAGCGCAGTTCGAACCACGCACCGGCCTGCAGGGCGAACACCACCTGGCGTTCGAGCTGGCGAGCGCACGACAACTGGGCCACAACGCGAAAATTCTTAGTTTTTCACTTCCCAGCTGTCAAGTGCGTTTCACCAACCCAAATTTAATTTCAAAACATATCCAACTAATGTGTTTCCAAACGACACATCCATCAGTATCTTTAGGCCAACGCACCTAGCGAGCGCTCTGTTTCACTTTCAAACGTATAGCTTTTTGCAGTCGTTGGACTGCATACAGACTACCACGAAATCAAGTCCGGTTACGAGCTTCGATTTAAACCCTCTCAAACCTAATCCTGACGAAACGTGATGGCGATAACACGATCAAAACGAGGGTGTTTCACCTGCAGAGCAAGACGCAAAAAGTGCGATGAAAAAAGACCAATGTGTCTGGGGTGCCATCGCAATTTTTTGGTGTGTAATTGGCCCAACTATCAAAATCAAACTTTGCTGCAATTTCGAAAGAGCGAGGCAGCCGCTAGCAATGGCAAGGTAGTTTTGGTTTACAAAGATCTGAGAGGTGGAATTGATGCTCAGGGAAAAACTAGAAAAGTACTAACTCGTCAATTTCTTAGGACTTTGATCCCAGAACCCAATCACAATAAGGCTCAGGAAGACTTGGACCAGCAACTAAAAACGAGTCTTCCTTTGCAGTTGATAGTGGAATGTGTGGATGCTATACTCGTTAGCAACGAGAACACTTCGCAAAATCGACTATATGAGGAAACTCTCAATGCTCTTCGAGTAGAGTTCAGCAATTGTAACGCAAAAGGATCAGAGGATTGGAGTTTGAATGCTATTAATCTTTCAATGATTCAAGAATATTTCTTGGATGCTCCTCGTATTTCAGAAATCCTTAGGCACTTGCAAGCATCTTTGCATATTCTTTGCACGAGAATAATGCTGAACGATGTTACATTTTTGCTTCGTCTCAATGCTGATTCTTTTGTTTTCTATTCAGGTATGGCAACCCTCTGCTGCCTGGAGACAGAGATTCTTATGATGCCAAATCCATTTGAAAGTGAAAAAATCTTTGAGCCACTCTTTGAGAATGCTAAACCTCCTCATGACTTTAATCTGAATCCTATCCTAGGCGATGCCTACGATGCTCTTATTTTGAGTAACCAGGCATCTTATTTGCTACGATCAAACACACAGCAGAGAATTTGCCTTGCAACCGTGCTATTGCGAAAGGTCAACTGCCTTATTCGGATGGCTGCAAATAACCACCTACACCTTTACATCCATTATTGTACTAAAATTGTGTTGCTAAAAATCATTCACCGCACGATTCTGGTTAAGGATAGGCAAATCCAGCAGGCTAATGAACAGCTACTTCATTCTCTACAAAATGCTAAGAAGAGTGAAGTGAAGTTATTAGGTCTTTGGCCGGGCATAGTATGCGCTGCCTGTATTACAGCTCCATCAGATACAGACCTACTCTTGGAATTATGTGATCAGTCAGAAGTTTGTGGCATTACTGTTGAAACCAGTGAAAAACTCAAAAGTTCCTTGAAGAGAATATGGAGCGAAAATATGGGACTTGGGGTCCTAGATAATTTAGCATTCCTAAAGACGTTACTTTAAACCCATGAGTCATGCTGATGAACCTGTTCCTTCGCTAGTTAATTGAAAACCTGACGAAGTTGATTATGCCTACTGAAAGATTCTTCCACCCGTCAGTGCAATCGGTAAATAGAACATTTCTGGAAAATGTTAAAAAAGCAAATATGAATCAAATCAGAAGATATCAGAGATTCAGCTAACGGTAGCTTCGACATTATGCCTTCATAAACTATATCGGCTCAAACGCTATTTTATAGCGCGACTACCTGAACGGGTAACTCCGATAATCGTCCAGAGCTCAAAGGCAATAACCATAACCTATGAGATCTATATACGCAGCCTCCATTATACTCACTTAATACAAACTAATCAAACTTTATCTCGCGCTGAATTCAACACATTTGGCGACTTTATTACCAAAAATACCTCGCACAGTGCGTATTTTTCATGCACGGTCTGCAGCGTGTTGCATAAACTACTCGTCCCATAAACTGCACTGCCCCACACTTTCCGTTCCCAGTCATTTCATAATTGTTCTACATACTTTTTTTCGTACCTGACAGCGCTCCTCTCGTCACTATACCAGCCTATTGTTAATTCTCCGACACGATAAATAACAATTCGTTCATCTCATCGCCGCACGCACCGCCTCGATCGACCAAGGTAGACTTAAACAAACGAACTTTATTTTTCGCAATTTGGCGTCTGGAAAATCTGTATTTGCCGAGTCTCCAACACTGTTGCAATTACCGATGCTAGTACATTGGCTCGGCTTGCTAGCTGGTACGGCTCTTGCACTTCATCCTGTCAAAGATTTTCGAACCGCGTCGTTGCAAAAGCTTAAAGGCGGCGTTTCCAAACAAAATGTTGCCATACAAGTTCCGGGGAAATCTGAGTCAAATGCTGCTTCCTACACCATCATTACAGTGAGCACATTGCCGTCTCTGGCACCAACCATTGCTGTGTCAGACAAGATACAATATGTTCTTACTGACGTGTCTCAGTCGATATACTATATTAACACTACATTTACCGATACCGAGACTCAGTATGAACAAACTTTCCAATTACTTTTGGATAGTGGCAGTGACTTCACGTGGATATATAACCAGTCGTGTAGCTCTGGTGCTTGCACAAGGGATCTGGTACCAAAATTTAACGACAGTCGAAAGATAAATTCTGGCGATAAGTTTGAGTTGTCTTACTCGGGCGACTCGGTTTCTGGAGACATTCTTAGCACGTCTTCTACGGACAAGACAGTGTTTGCATTTGGCTCATTACAACTAACGAGTTTTGAATTCGGGCTAGCCGACGAAGCACCCACGATCTTCAATGATTTCAACGTTAGTGGTATTTTGGGTATTCCCAGTCAATCAGAAGACCACACCAAAAGGTCAATGTTCTCGCAACTTTATAACGAAAAAATTATTGACAAGCCGGTCTTTTCATTGGCTCTTGTCGCTTCTAATCAGCAAATCGAGTACTCTGGAAACGTCTCAGCATTACCAGACAACTACGGAGGTTTGATGTTCTTTGGGTCAGAAGTGGCTAAAAACCAGCAAACTTTCACCGACTCTGTCAAGTCATCTCAACATTCAAAGCAATGACAATGCCTATTGGCTTGTGAATGTGACAGACATAAAATTATTCAACGACTCATATTCGGGAGACTTTGATATCTCGGAGTCTTCGCTCCAGGCTATCATTGATACTGGAACCACTGGCATGGCATTGCCTATGGACGATGCCGACAACTTGCATTCTCAACTTTTTGGCTCCAGTTTGGTAACAGACAGCAAAGGTAATTATGCATTTCCTTGCGACGCAGACGCCAATATTACTATCAGCCTCGATGGCCAGAAATTTTCAATTTCAGTAAGTGACTTCAAAGGAGACGAATATGGGTCCCAACTAGAAGGTTATTGCGCATCCAAGATACAGGGTCTCGACGATAACAACTATTGGATTTTGGGATCTATCTTTCTCCGTCGTTACTATGCTATATTTGATATCCAGCAGCATAAAATTGGACTTGGCGTGAATAATTTGCTGCTGTACAAGTTGAAAGAGGTAAAGCCAACCTCAATCACTTCAAGCAGTTTGTCCTCTTCCACCATAGTGCATGGCAACTCTTCAAGCTCTCAATCTACAAAGCACTCTAAAACGAGCCTGGCTAATAGTTCAGGACTGATCGCTGGTCTTTCGTACGCTTTATTGTGCATGTTTGCGTACATAATATAAGTAAACTAGGTTATCACTGACAACCATGCTAACACTGCATACATAAGAGCAACTGGGTATACTGCCAAGAACACTCTTCCTGGGAGCACTCCAGAACACTTGAGACTCAAAACTCCAACGTAGACACTCCAAACACCCATTCTACGCCATGACTGCCAAACGTAGGAGTTTTCCATCGAATTCTTTGCAGGCATAATAACTCACCAACGACAATGGGGAACATGGAGTAACCAGCAGCACCTTATGGCTGACATGAACGAGGATGTTACCACCTAACATTTGAATGTTCAATCCAATGACAATATAAAAGATCCATACAAATGCAAATGAGCCAGAAAACACCAGGTTGGTTTGGTTTTTGCTGGCTGAAACCCCCAATGTCACAGAGTATGCTAATGAAAATAAGAGTGGTCCCCAGAGATCCCAATCCAAATTCTCCAGCGACAAGAGGTCTCGATTGGAATAACTAGCTTCTCTGTCCTCATCTTCATTGGCATCCACAGCAACCGGTTGGTTCATTATTGTAGGAGGGAGGCGTATACCATTGCTAGAAGCAAAACGTACAAATCTTTGCTGTTGCTGAGAGGCTAGCCGTGAAAGTTGCATGGGCCATACTACAATTGCAAGTCTTTTGGCTATTTGCAACAAGTCTCGCCTTAATGTGTGCCACACGGGCTCATCAAGAGTATCTCCACCAGCATACTGATGTTCCAGAATGCGGTTATTATCGGTTCCAGAAACGAACGGTGTGAATGTCGAACTCAAATCAACCTTCGGTCCAAATTGACCCCACAGTCCAAATTGGAATCCAGGCTGAGAGGTTTGGGCACTTGGTACAGGTGCCAGCTTGCTGGCGGGAGCAGGGTCCTCGTCGGGAATTATAAAGTCGTCAACACTTGGAGAACCGACCATTATGTTATTAAAGCGTGAGACGAATCTTTAGATTGATGGACTGCAGATAATACGATATCGAGCGTTGAAAAATGGCTGCTAAAAATACCTACAGCAGTAAACTAGAACACACCTCCGGCAGCTGCAAATGCCTCTTTCTTCTCCTCCTCCGTAGCATACGATTTGACAACCTTGGCGGGAACTCCTGCAACAACCGAATTGGCAGGAACGTCAGAACGCACCACTGCTCCGGCTGCAATTACGGCTCCATCTCCAATTGTTACCCCCGGAAGTATAACAGTATTTGCTGCAAACCAGACATTGTTGCCTACAGTGATAGGTGCAGTGTGCTCGACGGCATTTATACGTTTTTTCGGGTCACTTGGTAACGAAAAAGTGGTAAAGGTGACATTGGGTCCCAATATACAATAATCGCCAAACGTGATAAACGTGGGATCGAGGAACGTACAATTGAAATTGGCATAGAAGCACTTGCCAAAACTGACATTGCACCCATAATCAACGAAAAAAGGAGGTTCAATGAAGGCATCTTTGGGAATTTTGCCGAATATGGCTGCAAGGTACCGATGGCGAGCTTCTTGATGCTTTTCAATATCAAAGTCATAATTCTTCAACCGGATATTTCCGTAGTCCAATGCTTTCTCATGAGCTACGCTTCTGGCCATAAGAAGCTCCTTCACCCAACAAATTGTATGCCATTCCCAGAATCATTTTTTCATATTCAGGTCCTTTAGGAAAGGTTGGAGAGATTGGTATAAGCATATTCGACTCTCTTTTTGTCAATTTCAGTGGGAGTCATAGCGATTGTAGTACTAATCAAAATTAAAATCAAGGTTTAATCAGGGCCCTACGACTACGATAACGGCTCCCCGCCCCACATTCCACCCCATGCACGGCGCAGGCATATGCAGGCATATGCACCGAACATGTTTGACATAAATTGAAAATTGTAGCTTAAAAGGTGATGAAGACTTGTCAACTATTCCTATGTTGGTTGTCGTGCTGTACTTTTTCTGAACCTCTTACTTTTCTTGAAATGGAGTTTATTAAGCTTATGTTTTTTCTATCATCTTCCCCTTCTTGAGATCAATGAGTTCCATGCTCAAGCTTGTCAATGACTTCCTTTTTCTCTTCTTCCGTCTCGTAAGTCTTGATCACCCGTGCTGGAATTCCTGCCACAACAGTATTGGCTGCAACATTAGTACGCACCACGGCCCCCGCAGCAATAACGGCACCATCTCCGATAGTAACTCCGGGAAGAACCACCACATTGGATGCAAACCAAACATTGTTACCTACGGTGATTGGCTCGGCATATTCCTCGGCGGTAATTCTACGCTTTGGATCGGTGGGGTGGGATACCGTGGTGAAAGTCACGTTGGGTCCCAACATTACATTGTCGCCAAAAGTGATCAATGTTGGATCCAAAAATGTACAATTGAAGTTTGCATAGAATGCTTTGCCAAATTTGATGTTGCAGCCATAATCGACGAAAAAAGGTGGCTCAATAAACGCATCTTCGGGGATGTTGCCAAATATGGAACTCAAATATTGGTGTCTGGCGGCATGATGTTTTTTGATGTCGTAGTCGTAATCCTTTAAGCGAATGCCAGCATAGTCAATTGCCTTCTCGTGGGCTACATTTCTCGCCATAAAGAGGCTATGATCCCAACAGTTGTAAGGAACTCCCAGAATCATTTTTTCGTACTCTGGTCCCTTGGGGAGGTTGTTGAGGTTTTCGTAGGCATAAGCCACAAGCTCTTTGTCAATCTCTGTTTTTGTCATAATGCTAGTTTACAGTCTGCGAAGTTACCTTGATATACGTGGTCGGAAATTAGTTCGCAATTTCCAGAGTGCGGAATAATTCCCCGCACAGGAAGGATTCATGCATCTCTTCATGCAAGTTGTGCATTCGAGGCCTACATTGCATCAATGGAAAGTTACTTGTATTGAATTCGTGTCTAGTTGGCATCAAAGTCGAAAAATGGTGGCACATTGGTTCTGTTGGTTCCATGTTTCTTCTCAAGATCGTTCAATTGATCAAACACTTCCTTTGGCAATTCCACCGTGAGCAAGTTGCTTTGTATACGTTCTGGAGTGACAGACTTGGGCAATACGACATCACCTCTTTGAATGTTCCACGAAATCAAAACTTGAGCTGGTGTGATTCCAAGATCGTTGGCGATCTTCTTGACGTCTTCAAGGTCACGAATCGAACCTTCGGTGGATCCCAATGGCGAGTAAGCCTCAATACGAATGTTGTTCTTCTTCAACAATTCAAGCAATTCTGGTTGCTGCAACAATGGGTGAGCCTCAACTTGGTTAACAACTGGCACCACATCAACATCCTTGTCGGCCAACAAACGTTCAATTTGCTTTGGAGTGAAGTTGGAAACACCGATTGCTCTGATTTTCTTGGTGTTCTTGTAGATTTTTTGCAACTCCTTGTAAGTGTCAAGGTAGTCCCAGTCTGGGTACTCCTTTTCAGTCTTAGGGTCCTGGGCAACAGGCCAGTGAATCAAGTACAAGTCGACGTAGTCAACCTTCAATCTCTGCAAAGACTGTCAGAGCTCTCGACTTCTTATGTTTGTGTCCACAATTTGTGTCAAAAAATCTCATCTCTCTGGAACCTTGGACTCGACAATTCCATTCCCATACTTCTTCTTCGTTTCCATAAATGGCAGCACCATCAATGTGTCTGTAACCTGCTTGCAAAGCAATACGGACAGCATCGCCAACTTTACCCTTCTCGGATTGCCAAGTTCCCAATCCAAGGGCTGGAATTTTCACACCATTGTTCAAGGTGTAGACGGTGGTACTTTTAGTTAAATTCGACATTGTTGATATAAAGCGTTTTAAAAGAATTATAAATGAATATCAGATGTTAATTGTGGCAACTGGGTCCCCTTTTATAGTATAATATTACTCAGCAAGTCCGACCACTTGTGCCGCAACCTTGATTGTTGCTGCAGCCACTTCTGCACCTAGCCGTCTTTGTGCGCCATGCGGGGCCAATTAACCGAGTCGGACCGAGCCGCACCGCACGCAACTAGTAAATTTTCGCAGCCACAACCGTGTGTCAAGCTAAATATTATCTGGCTCAACCCACACTATGGCGGTACATTGTGCGCGCGAGTTATATTTTTTATGGAAAAACTGGCTATGGCGGAAAAACAATGAACCTATGATGACTTCTTGAATAATCCAAACCCTTTCTTTTTGTCGGATTTCCGGCTGGTGTTCAGGCTCAAACTCAATGCCGACAGGCTGCGAATTAATTCTGAGTCGTCAGTAGGTGGGGTGACTTCCATGGGGCTCATTCCCTTAACGGGAGTGGCTTTCTTGCTCAGTTTGTGTGAGCTTAAATGGTGGAAAATACCATGATGCTTTTTCTTTTTTGAATTTGTGGTGTCAAGAGACGAAACTGACTGTACGTCATTGTAGGGTATAGAAGAAGCCGTTTGAGCTCGTGAAGGTGGCTTAGGTTTTTCAGCCGCTTCGTGCCGCGTCAGCACATGGTCTGTTTTACTGTGGGACCGTTCACCTCTAGTGTGAGGTTTAGCCTTTTCTCTTTCGAGTTGCTGCTTTTTGAGTTTCTGATCTTGCTTTACAAGCTTGTTGATGCGTTTGTCTACCTCTTTGTTCTCCCCAATCATTGATTTCTTGGACTCGGATTTAGTCATTCTGAACGGCGTGAGTCCTCCAATTGATCTAAGATTGGACGTCTTGCTACGATCCAAAGGCGTCGTCCGGAAACTACCTAGAGTATGCAAAGATGTCGAGGATCTGGTAGTCTTGAGCTCGGAAAAGTCGTGCGATGCAAGCTCGCTTTCTGAGTCGTTAATATCCAGTTCTGACTCGATTTCTTCTGCACTCCGCTGTTGCTCCTCCAACTTCTTCTCTAGCATCGTAATACGTGAAAACATGTAGTCCTGAGTTTCTTTGAGTAAAATGTTCATATGACGAGCATTGGCTGCTCTCAACATCAATTTCATGTCGGTTGTCAATGCTCCAACCTCATGTATAAGTTCAAGCACATGATCAGAGGGAACTGGAGCATCTGGAGAGACAAGCTCTTCCAACGTAAGGTGGTTCGTACGAGCTTTTTCGTCTGCTTCTTCATCTTCTTCCTCGTCAGCAATGCTATGAGAACGTTGAAAAGGTATATCCATCTTGTCAAAGATAGACTTTGATCTAGGACCAATGGGCATCGACGACTCAGGCTCAACCATGTACGCGAGATCGAAATCGTAATCTTCATTCTCACTGTTCGATGGAGTCTTAAAGTCTGAATCTAATTCTGGCTCCAACTTTTCTGTGTCCCCGCTCTGGCTGGGAATATCGGTACTATCTGACGAGCCTTTCTCCATACCAACAGAACGCTCTCTTGGTGCATTTGAATCCCACGATTTATAGCGTGAGCTCAGACTATTCTTGTGTATGTTTGAAGTCTTTTGTAACAAATTCATATCAAAGTAACCATCGTCAACCGTATCCATTAACCCTTGATATTCTTCTAAAGGTGAAACAAAGTCGGTATCTGGTTCTGAGTTGGTGAGCTTGAGAAGCTCTTCATGTCTTTTTCTAAGTTTGTTGACTTCTTTAACAACATATGACTCTTTTCTTCCAATAATACCAAAGAGAACTTCACAAATCAAGTCATACAAAAGCGGCACTTTGAAGAACCGTGCAATTGCAAGATTATTCAACGTAGTGGGCTGAAGGAGCCATTTGTTACCAATCTGGCCAGTATACAAATACTCGCAGAATGCCTTTAAAGTGGCTGTTGGAAATGGAATATAGAGCTTTCTTGGAATCAAAGATGGTTCCATAGCAAACTTGCTTCCATCAACATCATCAAAGTCGAGTAATATGTTGCTCAATAAACCCTTCTCGACATCACTTTCGGCACGCAGGATTTCAGAATCCGCTCTAGATCGCATCTGAGAGTTCGGTGTCGTATTAACAGTGGATTCAGACAGATGTATGTTATCTCTAGGAATACCTTTGACTGCATCCATGAGAGACTCGACAGGCGAGTTGTCGGTATTGCTTTGTTCTAAGGAGCTCAGAAGCGGCATGGTTGAATTTCCAGCACCTGAAGCGTTTGAAACGGATGCACGAGGAGACGCAAAGGGGGAGTTTCTTGGTGACTTGACTGGAATGTTACGAAGTGTCGTCAATGTGTGAATCAAGGAAGCACGAGGAGAATTGATGTCACTGGAACCTCTCCTCGACTGCGATCGGAAACTCAGCGAGGCTGGCACACTGGGAATTGGTTCGTTGGGTAAAGGAAGTTGCGGTGGAATATCCTGAAGCTGAGAGATCAAAAGCGAGTTTTGGCTGTGGTAAGAGCTTGTCGAGCCGCGGCGTGCCTCTAAAGGTTGGTGGGGATCCACGGCTGAAGATACAGAGACCAACCCAGGTCTTTCTTTTGCCGGCTGTTCACCTGCAGCCACTTTTGTGTTGCCAGTTTCACTCTCGTCGGGAGGAGCAAGATTCGTCTGGCTCGTTTGTGCAAGCTCTTGAAATGGATATCTGAATTGAGGAGTGTCTTTTTGAGGTTTCTTGGAATTCGGGTGCACCACCTGGACTTGAAAGCTCTTTGGGGGACTTGTGCTTAAGGGCTCAGCTTGAAATGAAGAATTTGTAATTGAACTGGTTTCAGATGCTTGTGACGTTCGCAACGCTTGGCGAGTATTTGGGTGTTCTCTTTGGTCTTTCTCAAACTTTGTCACTGCCTGAACGTATCCTCGGGAGAGTAAGTCAATAAAGTAGCTTCCCCAACGCTCTTGAAGTGTCATCATCAGCACAGGAATTCGATCTCCTGAAGATGATACAAGCTCAAAGTCAGAGATCAAGTCACCATATCTGTCGAAGGCATTTCGACCTAAGGTTATCGCAGCAGCAGGGAAAACAGAACTGATATTTGTGAAGTTAGTTTTTGGAGCAGCATACAGCACGTATTCCGAGAAGCTAATTGCATGCGAATGGTCACTCAGATCCGAGTCTAGTTCTTCTTGATCGCGATTAGCATCTTCGTCCAACGATCTTGTTGAAGCTGTATGATCTGACGAGTCATCGGAAATGGGCACTCGTTTACCGTGTGCTTCATGAACATGTCCTCCTGCTAGCTCTGAACTTGCCAAAATATTTGTAATAGGCAAGCTAACGAGAATCATTTGAGTGAAAAAACGAATACTGCTGGTTGTTCTTGACGTAATATAGTTACCCAAGAGCAACACCTTGTGATGGGACTGCCAAACAAATCCACCCCAAAATCTGTGAGATCCATAATCATGATGACAGAAAACATTGAGACGAGACCACTTACCTGTTGGCTTGTTGTATACGAAAATGGAGATGTTAAAATCGTTTGGCAAAAAACCACAAATCACCACATTTTTTCCAAATACTCCAGCGGTGGGATATCGCAAATTGTAGGGGATAGTATGTAATGCATTGCTGTGAGTCGTCAGAGTATCTCGCTTTCGATGAAGCGGGAGGATTTTCCCACGCTTTAGTTGACGTCCTAGGCGAAACGACAAGAGCGGGTTGGGTGAATCAGGTCGTATTTTTCCCTTGGTTGGGGCGTATACAATGATGGATTCCAGAGGAGAGTCATTCGCAGAGCGGTGTTTTTTCCTTTCGGTGCCTCTAGGGTTGTGTCTGTGTTTGTGTTGGGTTTCTTGATCAAAAGCCACCACGATATTTCTGGTGTATTCGATGTTCAAATTGTAGTTGTCATCAACGTTGTCTATTTCATCAATCTCCTTTTCACTGTCAGAGGAAAGGCTATTAGTGGATATTTCGAGATTAATACTGGTACCAACGTAGGATAAATCGACTAAATCGAAAATGTAGTTGTCGTAAATCATATTGGAGTTGGCGTCTCGTCCGCCTGCTATTAATAGTCCATGGTGGTCCGGCTTGTCCAAAAACAGAAGCGAGTTCAAGGGGGTCATCTTGTGGTTGTAGCGAGGAGTAGGCTTCGCTATGGATTCATTATACGACCCATCGTCGAGGAGACGCCATGTATTGTGCTCAAGGTTAAATTCCCATAAATCATTGGTAGGTGTAAGCCATGAAGTAGGAACGTTGTCATCGGGATTCTCCGAGCATGCAAGTCCTCCAAACACGTATAAGCAGTTGTTTGAGGCGGCTACTTCATGAAAGAGTCTTGCACTTGGACGAGGGGTGTCAGGACTAGTTGCAACTCGATACCATACTCTGTCTAAGATGTTGAGAATGAAAAGCTCACCAGACAAGTATCTCTCCAATCTTTTAGATTTGGATGTCAGAAGTTTCAGAATGTATACCTCTACTAGTTCGTCTATGGTAAGGGCATCAAGCTCTAAACCAATGGTCATTCCACCGAACGTCATCACTAACGAATTATAAAGGGTAGAAGCCGATCCGGTTCTAACATTCAAATTGAGACGATCATCTTTGTCTATTGGAGGTAGCTGTAGCGAGTAGCACGTAGAAGCAGAAGGTATGACGGTGGTCATGGATGGGCTCTAATGGAAGAAAACTGAGCCTGCTCGTAATGCCTAAAATTGCAGCGGGGGGATCGGGTCGGTGTATGGATGTGCGACCAGGATGCCGTATAGCGATGTGCCAAGTGAAATAGGCAGCGGAGTGCGATGGACGAGGAGAAGAGGTTCAAAAATAGAAGGAGAGAATGGATGGAGAAGGAGAATGGATAGAGGGTGGAGAAGGGGTAAAGAAAATAGAAGCGAGGTGAACTGGAGTGTAGAAGCAAAGGCTGGGAATTAAAGTAAAGTGTCTACAGTGTAGGCCATCATTTCCAGATTCACCTTTTTCCAGATTCACCTTGGCTGCAATTTGACACTTTACCATTTGGGTATATCCCCACCTTCATCATCGCGCGCTCTCGTGCGCTGCACCGAAGCGGAAGAAGCCAAACATCAGCGCTGGTTCCACTGGCCGCCGCAACCAGCGCATGGGTCGCGCACGACATATCATGCACCGAGGAGGCACCAATTTCACCCACAAACAAGTACAACTCTAGTGATACTACACGCTGTCTGGAACATGCCTGAGGTAGTAGAATCAACCATGAGTGAAGATGGTCGTAGCTCTGATGTTTCATCAGGCTCAGTGAGCAGATTGAAGAAATTGACTTCGGGTAAGTCTTGGGTATCACCATTCCGGGACTCCAGCAATAAATCCAAGAATCTTCGCAAGCAATTGAAGGAGGAAAACTCAATTGAACAAATCCATGTGCCTTCCAAGTTCGCCCTGCACCCTACGTTAGAGCAACAGAAGCGTAAGGAGCAAGAAAAGAAGAAAGCAGAGAAGCTTGCTTCCACCACGGCTTCCACCAAGTCGCTCAAAGACGAGCCAATTGACACTCCCAAAGCTGACTCCGACGTGGAGCCGGTTGAAGATGGCGAGGAAGAGACGAAATCTGACGCCGAAGCCGATACAAAGGCGGTTACTCTCAAGGAAGACCCTACCGATGCTGAGGAGACGGCTGCGGCTGAGGCTGTAGACGACGATAAGGAGAAGGAGGACGACGAGGACAAAATTGAAGAGGAAAGTAAGGCTCCAGTAGACGAAGCTGATGGAGAGGATGCTGCTGCCACTTCAGGTGAAATTGAAGCCAAGGAGGCTGCTGCTGCTCCTATTGACCTTGTTGTTCAACCAGAATCCAAGTACGAGCCAGTCCAGCTTCCCAGCCAGAAACATCTCGAAAAGCTCCAGGACAAACCGGTGCTCCTCAATCGTTACCAATTGCTCAATGCTGATGCAATCGGGTCTGTTTCAAAGACGTTGGATGACCCCAACAAGGTGGTAGATCTTGGAAGCGGCTTGAAGATGACCCAACAGCAATTGCTTGACATTGCCGCCAAGCGTGTTGCCCCTGTGTTGACCAACATCAACAACGAGGTCAGCAAGACGTTGAAGGAAGATGAGATTAAGCACCAGCAAGAGTTGGATAACAAGACTTCCACCCACAATAAGAAGTTGCAAGGTGAATTCGATAAGTTTTTCAAGAAATTGTCAAAGCAGAAGGAAAAGTACACTGCGGAGGTTGAAAACAAGCTCGAAGATTTGTCTCGTATGATGAAGAATGCTGAAATTGCCGCCTTCAACTTCAAGACGCAAAACACTAAAGATATTGAGACTGCCAATGACGAGTACAAAGATCGCGAGGAAAAGGCTGTTACCAAGCATGAGACCGACAAGGAAACTTTGTTGAAGAACCATGATGAGTTGGAGGCCACCAAGAAGCAGGAATTAGAAGATGCCAAGACTAAGCAAGAGGAAGCCACTAAAGAAATTGAGGAATTGCAAGAGAAAAAGACAGTCTTGGACAACAAGAACCTGGAACTTTCCGATGAGATTGAAAAGTTGACCTCCGAGCTTAACGAAAAAGAAGCAGAGCTTGCCGACTTGAAGTCCAAACATGAAGAGAAGACTGCCATTGTTGAGAAGAATAGATCCACAAAAGAAGAATTAGATCAAAAGATTGCAGCTTCCAAGACTTCTTTGGAGTCCAAAAAAGCCAAACATGCTGCTTTAGTTGCCACAGTTGCCGGTTTGGGGGCGACATTGCTGGCATACTCGTCCAAGCTTACTGACTTGGGTCAGGAAAAAGAGCTTCGTGCTCAACGTTTGAAGGAGGCTAAACAGCACTATGCAAACTGGGAACAAGAGAAGGTTACTCTCGCCACCGAGGTTGCTCGTCGTAAAGAGAAGGAAAGATTAGAAGCCGAGGCAGAAGCCCAAGCTGAAAAGGAACGTCAGAAGAAGGCGCAGGAAGCGAAGGAGCAACAAGAGGCAGAAGAGAAGGCTAGAAAGGAGAAGGAAGAAGCCGAAGAACGGGAGAGAAAAGAGAAAGAAGAGGAAGAAGAGAGAGAGAGAAAGGCTAAGGAAGCAGATCCCGAGTATCAAAGGCAACTTCGTATTCAAGAGCGTGAGAAGGAGCAAGAAAGACTCTATGCTGAGCGCGATGAAAACGCCAGGTTGCACTCCGAAAGAAAACTGAAAGAGGAGAGCGAGGCTGCAAGGCTTCAAACTGAAATTGAGGAACTTCGGAATCAAAAGGATGAAAAGGCTCAATTAGCTAGACAAGAAGCTGAACGTGTTGCACAGCTCAAGCTTGCTGAGATTGAAAAGTTGAAGAACGAGCATGACGAGCGTTTGAAGCTTATTCAGGAAAGAATCGATGTTGAAGAGTTACAAAAGAGTCGACTCTTGGAAGAAGTTGATAATTTGAGAAAGATTCGTGAGCTTCGTGAGGAGAAGGCTCGTTTGGCTACTGAATTGGAGCGCGATGTTGAGATTAGTGATATTCAAAAACTCATCGAAGAGAGAGAGCTTGAGGTCACTAGATTGACCAAGCAAATTGAGTATGATGATGCCGAGGCACGCAATTTTGCTGCTGCTGGCAAGCCTCAACTTCACTCATCCAAGGATGTCAGCGCTTCAGTTCCTGACAAGGTTCCTAAAGACGAAGCTGACTTGAAGGTGGGTGGTGTTGGTTCAAGCACTGGTGCTCCTGCCGTATTGCCTCCATTAAAGGAGAAAAAAGAAGTGAAAGAGCCAAAAAATGATACCACAAAGGATAGTAAGCACCACAAGGGAGTTCTTGATGCTACTGCCGCTGGCGTCGGTGCTGGTGTTGGCGTCATTGGTGCAGGTGTTGCTGCTGTTGGCACTACTGCTTCTGGTGTTAACAAGAGCGCTTCAGGTGCTGGTACCCTTTCTGGTTCTAAAAGCGGTCCTTCTGTTGGACGCAGTGGCAGTGGAAGCGATTCCGGACGCAGAAACAGTCTTCGTAATTCTTTCAAAAAGATCTTCAAGTCGGAAAAGTCTGAAAAGTCCGAAAAGAAACCAGTTAAGGAAACCAGTGCTGCACCTATCAAGCAGCACAGTGAAAGTAAGGCAGTGAACATTGCCCATCAGCCTGCTGCTGCTGCCGAGAATAACTCTTCATCGGAGGAGACCTATTCTGTCTACGAAGAAGTATCGGATGCCGAGTACGAGAAACACAAGGATGACCCTAATTATTTTGAAATAAGTGAGGACGAGTTCGAGAAGCACCGGGCATCTGCTTTAAAGCACTAGTGTACTGTTATTGATGTATTGGAATATATGTAACATTTTGAGAATTACAAGCATAAATGGCATATCAAGTTTCAATTCTGCTTCAGGTATTAATGGAGATGTCTATAGGATATTTTTACTGTTATCGTGAAAATTTGGTATGTAGGGGGGATCTACGGATTATGATCATATGATTTTTGCATTCATTGTATTCAACTTACTGAAGCATTGCGCTTACTTGGAGGTGTCAACAACGTATCTACCGACAATAGCACCCTTCTCCATCTCTTCGTAGATACGAGGAAGTTCACTCAAGCCAGCCAACTTGATTGGCGAGTGAACCAAACCTCTGGTAAAGAAGTCAATAGCCTCTCTGGTGTCAGCACGGTTACCGACGTAAGATCCACGGATACTGATGGTCTTAACCACCGAGTCAAACACAGAAGCATTGACAGCAGCGTCAGCTGGAAGACCAACCAAAACAACGGTACCAGTTGGGCGAACGTAGTCAACAGATTGTTGCATAGCCTGAGGAGAAACCGACACGTTGATAACACCGTGAGGACCACCATTGGTGATTTCCTGAATCTTGGCAACGACATCCTTGTCCTTGGTGAAATCAACGAAAGCATCAGCACCCAAAGACTTGGCGGACTTGGGCCTTGTCGGCACCACCATCGATACCCACAACCAAGTAACCCATAGCTTTGGCGTATTGGACAGCAAGAGTTCCCAAACCACCACCGGCACCGGAAATGGCAACCCATTGACCTTGGGTAAGGTTGGCGGTTTTCAATGCCTTGTAGACAGTGATACCAGCACACAAAATTGGAGCAACTTGAGCCAAGTCAGTTCCCTCAGGGATTCTGGCAGCCTGGATGTAGTCGGCGGTGGCGTACTCCTGGAAAGAACCATCGTGGGTGTAACCAGACAAATCAGCTTGAGCACAATTGGATTCATGACCTCCATCACAGTACTCACAAGCTTGACAAGAACCGTTAAGCCACTTGATACCAGCCAAGTCGCCGACTTTCCAGCCAACCACGTTTTCTCCCATTCCCACAACAACACCAGCACCCTCGTGACCACCCACAAGAGGAAGCTTGGTGTCCAATGGCCAATCACCTTTCCAAGCGTGAAGATCGGTGTGACAAACACCCGAGTATTTGACGTTGATCAAAAGCTCATTGGGTTTTGGTTTTGGTACAGGAATGTCGGTGTATTTCAATTCACCTCCATTGGTCTCGAAAATCACCGCCTTTTGCTTCTCGGGAATAGTGTAAGAAGCCAAAGTTCTGGCGATGCGCACACCGGCATTTGCTCTAAATACCGGAGCGGCCCTGAGCATGGGTGCGGTGCGAAGTTGCTGGCGAGCGATGTTGCGAATTGAAGTCTTAAGCATGATGACTACTGACGATTCACCATGTCATTCTACACATTTATATAGAAACTTGCTCGGGATTAGAAAGAGTGGAGAATATCAGGTGTCAAGAATCTCCGAGGTGGGGATCACGGTTAGGCCCGACGCACTCACCCCACAGATCTTATCGCCGGTTTCACGTCAAACCTAAGCGATGAGATGCGAAACCACACTGGTGGTTATGGGGTGTATATAAATGGCCCTGGGGTCAATGGGTTGGTTTTGGTGTTGTTTTGGTGTTGTTTTCCGTTGAAAATGACGCCTGCGGCTCCAATCACTGCATTAACGTGTCCAACCAATGGTCCTCACACTAGTGGGCTTATCTCCTGTATGCCCAGCTTCCCGTCGGACATAGCGACAGCTGACCGGAATTTCAGTCAAATTTGATTTTTTTGCCGGAAGATGGTACAATTGCAGCACTAGCACGTTGAGCTGTAGCAAGTGCGACAGAAGATTTCATTCTGCTTGCAACTGGCTCATGACGAGTACGGGTTCTAGCAGCGGTAGGTCTGCGCACGGCTGAAATTGGAGCTTGAGGCTCGGGTGTAGTCGGAACCTCACCAAATTCTTCCCCTCGGTTCTCTTTTCCTTCAAATCTTTTCGGAGTTCTTTTTGACCGGTCTTCACCGTATTCAAGTCTCAATGGCCGGTTGATGAGCTTTTTCGCTAATTTCGACTTGAGTGCAGTGGTGGGTCCGGTTTCGTCCTTGAAGTCGATGAACGCAAACCCTTTACACTTGCCGCTATCTTCAAACGTAGCCATTCGTATCTTGATTATCTCACCACAGTGTCTAAAATGTTCCTCTAGTAAATCGGATGTGGTGTCGAACGACAAATTACCAACAAACAAGATTCTCGATGGAGGATTCTTGGAGAGCGGTTTCTCTGGCCGGCCCTCAAACGAGCTAGCACTCTTTATAAGCATTCGCCGGCCATTAAGATGACCTTCACTCAATGCGACTACAGCGTCAACGTGTGCACTGCTTGGAAGATCGATGTATGCAAAACCTTTGATTTTTCCGTCTTTTTTAGGTATGTTGACTCGACTCATATCCTCTTCAGTAACCTTGGGCTCGCTGTCTTCGGTCTTGCTCACTATATAGCGAACAAGATCTTCTTTGGTGGTGTCAAACGAGAGGTTTCCAACCCACACTCCAAATTCAGATTTCTTCTTTTCCTTCTCAGATTCTTCCTCATTCTCGGGCTTGGGAGCGGGGTGCTTTTTGTCGAGCTTGTCTAGGTTAAGCTTACCCTTCTTGAGCAATCTCTGTTGTTTCTTGGACAATGGAACTCTCGCACTCAAGTCGATTTCAAGCTCGTCATTTTCTTCATTTTCGCTTGAGTCTTTCTCCACAGAAGTGTCTACCTTTCTACGCTTCGACTCCTTGAGTTCCTTAGCCGCTCTCTTCCTCTCCTTTTTCTCCTTTTTACTCTCACTACTATCCATGGTGATTTTTTCAATTCTCATCTCATCGCATCTCGATGCGAATACTGTGGGGGAGAATCCTGTAGATAAAGAAAAGTTCAATCATGTAATCATTAATACCTAGTCTACTCGTTATCGACTGCTTCCAGCCAAAACCATTTTCGCCAAAGCTCTCCAGCTTCATTCACAACGTTATCCATGAAATCGTATCGGCGACTATTAGCATTATCATTTGTGATGATCTGACTGCCTCCATCACTATTGCTGGCTTCGCTGCTAACACTGCCATTCCCATTGTCTTCCTCTTTTTCCTTTTCCATCTTCATTTGCTTGTACTTTTGATACCTGGTAGTATAGTTGTAAGACTTGGTTGGTAACCGTGACAAGAATTGACGAATCTCATGCTGGTCAAGTTCTACTAAAGTGCCTTCCTTCGACTTGAGCAATGCAAGTGATATGAAGACGAGCTCAATGTGTGGGTCAAGCCGTGAAAATGGGATGTTCATATCATCTATCCCTTCCGATAATGATGTGGAAGATGACGACAGCCTTCTCGTAGGTGTCAATAACGGCGACGTACTTTCCAGTGGCAGATTTGTATTGGAACTGCTGGCCGATATGTTGGCCATCGATAGACCATGGAGTAAGTCCTTGAAAGAATCAGATTTCTTGAACTCGTCGGGCTCTCCACGTTCATCTACCGTCTCTTCATCATGTTGGCTCACCGACCAAAACACATCGGGACCCAATTTTTCTAATTGATGCTTAGTCAACTTCAACTTGTCTTGGTAATAGGCAGTGCTCTTCTTAGGATTCTGTAATCTCCATCCTAAAATCATGTCCCATATCCTGCCACGGTCCATCCGAGACCATACTTTGGAACCACACCACTTGAGCCACCATATGAGCCATTCGTCGTCATTGCTTCCAAACTTGTTAAGTATCTGCTCTTCTTGAAAATAGTCTGACAATTCTGGTAGGAGCTTACGAAGACAGTAAATGAAAAAAGAAACCCGATCTTCGATAGTACCACCATTAAGAGGTAAAGTAGTTTTGTTAACTTTTGAAGATGGAGAACGTGTGCGATTCTCGGGCGAATGCAACAAGACCAAGACTAATCTTTCAAACACATCCAGAAACTTCATTTGAGGAGACGCAATAACATCGTTCAAATAGTCCTCAAGGTCAGGAACATTCTCGATATAAGTGGAGTACTCATCCATGATATTGGTGATGTACAAGTTGTCCGATGAAGAAACATCTCTTCCAATAAGCACCCAGTGTGTGTTCTCGATTGGTGGAAGCCACTCAGCAAGCCCTAATGCTATCCAGGTAATTGCTTGGTCGTATTTTATGATCTTTCCCCATTTTTTTACAAACTTGAAAATTGCTTTCTCTAACACTTCAAGCATTTCCATCTCGATCTCATTGATATCTGGCGATGAGTTGTACTTTAAACGTTGCACGTACTTCTTAAGATCTTTCTTGATATTAAAGCGAATGTCCTCGTCATTGAGCTGGCCCTCGGCTCGATCGTCCTGGTCTGAGTCATGTTTAGGTTTGTTCAATACGTCATTATCAGGTTGAAGGAAAGGATTGAGGACAAAAGGGTGATGTTTCAAAAGAATAGGCCAAATTCTTAAACGGAGGAATGGAGGAAGTCCCTTCTGGCGAGCAATTAATGCAAGGCCGTGATAGTTGTTCTCCTCCAAGTATCGTGTGCAGAGTTTGAAAATGTCTGCATCGAAACGAAACGACGGCTTTCGGTTCTCAGAAGCCGCAACCGGGTCACGCGGCAGTTGTTCTGACATTGAAGATAGTTCAGGTGAATTTTCAGGCTTTTCTATCTCGAATTTGGTTCAAATAAAAATCAATACATCTTCCCCTTTCAACTAATAACAATAAATTTTTGACAAAATGATAAGATAAGCACTGGATTTGTAGCTTATGGGCGTCTCTTTGCTGATACTTGGATAGCTTTTTACTTTCAACTGTTTTTTCTCGGCACCGATAGATTTATTTCGCCCCTAAGGTTGAAGGACAATTTGGAAATAAGGTTCACTGGAAATATTCGCTGATAAAAAGACCCACAAGCGATTAACAGATGTCGGAAATGTAGTTCAAGACCGAGAAACGGTGAAAACGACGAGTTTTAGGTGTTCAAAGAACCGGCTGATCTGATCGATCCAATGTCTTATGATCACTTTCCTAAAGATTTTTTGGGCAGGTTTTGTGGCATGTTCGATACCGACATTTACGCTGGGTTCTGTAGATTACCGAGGTACGTCGGCCTCCGCGCCTGAAATTTTCGCAAGATGTAGTGCGACCCCTAATCGCGCGCAGTCATGTGCCGGCAACGCCGATGCAGGTCGGTTTCCGGAAGCTAGACTTACCGATCTGTCTTAACCATGCCGGTTAGGCCGTTTATTCCGAATTTGTATGATATATAGTTTTGAGCAAATAATTTATAGAGAATCTTGCGATATGACTTTTTTGAGGTCCATTCGAAACTTGAATAGTTCTACCGAGCTACAAGTCAAGAGTGCTACCAGTAGTGATCCATTGGGTCCATATAATAATGACTTGGTTCAACTTTCAATGCTTACCTACAACTCCAAACTGTTGTCTATCATAGAATCGGTACTTGAAAAACAGCTTCGTAAATATTCACCATCTTCGATTGCTTCACTGAAATTCTCCAACAATGAAAAGGGGTGGTTGATTCTACTCAAATCACTAACAGTGGTGATGTACTTATTACAAAATGGTTCCCCAGAATTTGTGTACTGGCTTAAAAGTTGCACCGCACTGGTTATAGCACCACTACACCGAGCAAAATTGCATTCAAACACAACTATGTATAAAGATGCTATCAAATTCAAGATCGATAGTATCTACAAATTCTGTACTAATGATAACGAACTACAAAAACTTCGCACAAACATCCATGTTTACCGCGAGGATATGAGCATTCCCGGTGTCAAGCGCGCTAATACTACTTCCGCGGCAGACAATAGCAGTCGCAGATTGAAGCCTATAAAACGGTCGCGCACGGTAGAAATTCCTCGGACCGTAACCGCTCCATCATGGAATCCCGATAAAGTACCAAGTCCCCGCAATCATCTTCAGACCATTTCAGAGAACCGATCGGAAAATTCTGTGGACCGTACTATGTTTACGTGACGGCTAGAGGAACAGCAATTGACTTTGCACTATTTATTCCGCAATTGAATTTGCATTTATTTTTAATCTTTTTGCAACTACTTTTTGCAACTCCACAAATTGCTGCACGAAGGCTGCACGAAAGCTGCACGAAAGGCTGCAAGCCCAAACTAATCGCCATTGTGCAGGACACAACTCGTGAGTCTTTGGCCACTTAATGTGTCTATTGCACCCAATTGTATATACTTTAGATCAATTCTACAAGGCTTGGTTGTCTATGTGAATGACCGTTTGCGGCAAAAGGGGCTACAAGCTGCATCTCGTCAACTTTGTTTTTACAGGAATTTCTTTTTGTTCGACACATCCCTACACCCCGCATTTCTTTTTTGCTCCGTGCGTGATTTATCAGCTCTTTCCTGCGTATAGCCCCTTATCCTACGCAAATATAAAAGGGGCGACTTTGCCACAGCCAGCAGTACAAGTTATCACAAATAAATCTCGGTGAAACATTATTTTATTGAGAGAAATAGAGACCTGTTACAATGCAAATCTTCGTTAAGACATTAACTGGTAAGACCATTACCCTTGAGGTCGAGTCCTCTGATACAATTGACAACGTCAAATCGAAGATTCAAGATAAGGAAGGAATTCCTCCAGACCAACAACGTTTAATTTTCGCTGGTAAGCAATTAGAGGATGGCAGAACCCTCTCTGATTACAACATTCAAAAGGAATCTACTCTTCACTTGGTGTTGAGATTGAGAGGTGGTATGCAAATCTTCGTCAAGACTTTAACCGGTAAGACCATTACTCTCGAAGTCGAATCATCCGACACTATCGATAACGTTAAGTCCAAGATTCAAGATAAGGAGGGAATCCCCCCAGATCAACAGCGTTTGATCTTTGCTGGTAAACAATTGGAAGACGGAAGAACTCTTTCGGATTACAACATCCAGAAAGAATCTACATTGCACTTGGTATTGAGATTAAGAGGTGGTATGCAGATTTTCGTCAAAACCTTGACTGGAAAAACTATCACTCTCGAGGTCGAATCGTCTGATACTATCGACAACGTCAAGTCGAAGATTCAAGACAAAGAAGGAATTCCACCAGATCAGCAACGTTTAATTTTTGCCGGTAAACAGTTGGAAGATGGAAGAACACTTTCCGACTACAACATTCAAAAGGAATCTACTCTTCACTTGGTGTTGAGATTGAGAGGTGGTATGCAAATTTTTGTCAAGACTTTGACTGGAAAAACTATCACTCTTGAAGTTGAATCGTCTGACACGATTGACAACGTCAAGTCCAAAATTCAGGACAAGGAAGGTATTCCACCAGACCAACAACGTTTGATCTTCGCTGGTAAACAATTAGAGGACGGCAGAACCCTTTCTGACTACAACATTCAAAAGGAATCTACTCTTCACTTGGTGTTGAGATTGAGAGGTGGTATGCAAATTTTCGTCAAGACTTTGACCGGTAAGACCATCACTCTCGAAGTCGAATCGTCTGATACCATTGACAACGTGAAGTCGAAGATTCAAGACAAAGAAGGAATTCCACCAGATCAGCAACGTTTAATTTTTGCCGGTAAACAGTTGGAAGATGGAAGAACACTTTCAGACTACAATATCCAAAAGGAGTCAACCCTTCACTTGGTGTTAAGATTGAGAGGTGGTATGCAAATTTTCGTCAAGACTTTGACCGGTAAAACTATCACCCTCGAAGTCGAGTCTTCTGACACTATCGACAACGTCAAATCCAAGATTCAAGACAAGGAAGGTATTCCTCCAGATCAACAACGTTTGATCTTTGCAGGTAAGCAATTGGAAGATGGTAGAACCCTCTCTGACTACAACATTCAAAAGGAGTCAACTCTTCACTTGGTGTTGAGATTGAGAGGTGGTCACTAAATAGATTAATGCAATGATTAATATATTTTAACCATTAAAGCTGCTTGTATTTGTCTATATTTAAGTAGTTTTGTCTACCTCTGCTTGTATGACTGACGTTAGTTTAAGCTCTTTGAACTCGTCTAATTTTTGCTTGATTGTATTGGTTTCTTGACTCTCAAGAACCTGACTGATTGCTTCTCTGACTTCCTTTGTGCACCTGAGAGACTGTACTTGTACGGCCTCTATTTCACCCTCTAATAGACAAACAGAGCTGATGACTTTCCAGGTCAGCAAGAGCATCCTTGCTTGTTCAACATTTAGTTCGCATGAAGAAGACCGTATTGACAGTAAACATGAAGTTATCCATTCATTACAATTTCTCTTCGATCTCCAGGTAGGAGAGAGTACCTCAGTAGTGAACAACTTTGTGACTGATTGTAGTGCTAGCTGAAACAAGTCATGGTTGACTCTTTCCGGGTTGATTGACTCAAAGATATTTTCAATAAACAGTAATTTCTCTTCCTCTATCTTGATATTTTGACGGCTGTTAAATTTGTTACCATCATCCATCTCAACATCACTGTCTGAGTCGTCAGCTTCTGGCCATAAGATAGAGTTCATGACATCCACGTAAGTCTCCACCACGTCATCTTCAATAAACTGATGTAAAAAGTGGCCCGTCAGCTTTATTGCCTTCCTTTGGTATTCCTTGTTTCTTCTTTTCGATTCAGTGATGACAATTTTGCTGAGAGCAGCAAACTGCATTTCATCTTCTTGCAAAATATGGTGCAATCGAACAGATGTCGATACGAGCGCATCGAAAACTACATCTTTTCCTGTCCATGACTTCCCTCTGCATGCCTCCATCAATATGGTTAGTAGGTGGTTACTCGAATTGGGGCTTACTGTTGAGTTTTCGCCAACAACTTCGCATAGTTCAACCATTGATTGGGCCACAATTCTTCGAATTGTGTATGAATTCGAACCAATTTGAGCTTCGGCTAATTGTAAGATTTCGTCAAAGTACAATTTCATAGCACTATTACCACTCGTGTGTTCGATCCATTCCCTGTCAAACGGCTTTGATGCTTTTGAGACTACATCATGTTTTCCGATGAAGCAAAGTGGAAGAAACGCACCACTGACAAGATCAAATTTGTCGGCAGAATACTTTGATACGGCTTCACTTGCAAGAGCCACTATTTGTCTCCTTTTCTCATCCTCTGAATCGAAATACAACTTGCTGATCTTACTTCCAAACTTGACTATTTCATCAACGCTGGAAATTCGACATAAATAGCCGGCGGCAGCAGCATATGATGAAGAGATGGTTTCGTTCCTGTCGTAGATCTGACTAATAGCACACTGTAGAAGTTTATCGCCAAAAGGTTTGGTTAGTTCAATATGTCTTTGGACTAGCGTTACGAGAACTCGACTACCGCAGACCTTGGATGGTAATCCCACTGATTTCTTGATAGTTTGTGCCAACACGTCGACTACTTTGGGCATGAGCTCTTCGTCCAAAGTTCCAAGCAATTGCTCAATAGCATCCATTAGAGGCGACCTTCCTAAGCTCTGTAGTCTTTGCGCATCAATATCATTGCTGTTGAGATTGTACTTGTCTGCATTAAGTACAAGATAGTTGACAACGTCTGGCTCCATTGTTGACATCATGGAGATGAAGTTTTCTAAAAGGGTAGGTACAAACGTTTTGATTCTGGGGCCAGCCACTTTACAGACTTTGAGAATTGTGTCCAATGAAAAGGTTCTGACGTCTTCGGCGTCGCTTAAAAGTCCCTGGTTTCCAATCAAAAACGGTATCAAATCACCAAGGACCTTCGTTGCTCTTGAATCTGAAGAGCCTGTTGATACGTCTGCTGCTCTGGTCAAGTTCGTTGCTAAACTTCGCGTGAGTTTGGTGCCCGCTTTTCTGACACTGTCTTTGATATCATCAATTGCTCTGAAACTCATGGACCAAATTTCTTCCATTCGATCTTCATATTCATCTAGTGACGTAGTCTGTAATAGATCGGTTAGAGCAGTAAACACTTCCTTGTCTCACTCGCCATTCTTTGTTTCCAATTTCCTTTAAAAGCTCATTTAAAATAAGGTCAAAGTTGTCCTTAATCGTCTTGCTGGGGTCTTCTATAAGTGAATTCCAAATATCGTTCATCGATTGTGAGACGGAAGTACTGGGATCATATCTGTATCGGTAGAGTCGTGGAATGAGCTTTTTTGCCATTTCTCTGTTGTCAGAAAGAAGTTCGTTCAAACTGGTCTTTGACAATACTGATCCCAAGCCAAACGCCATGCCCTTTCTTGAGGACCAAAGTGCAGACGACTTTGCTAACGACATAAACTTGTAAACAAGACTAGGGTCTCCAACGTCAGATGCAAGACTGAGCACATCTTTGTAGGTAGACACTGAGCCATCGTCTGTCTTGAGAACATCAGGAGCAAATAATTCTGTTTCCAAGTCTACTGTTCCAGCCGTCAAACTTCCAGTAGTGTTTGAATCTGTGAAAGACCGTAAAAGACCACGGACCAAGGTATCTTTAAGTTCATGGTCACCTAGTTCATATACCATGCTTAATCCTCTCGATGCCAGCTCCTGTACAAGATCGTCACGGTCGACTAAGAACTTCATGAAAGTGACATGGATCTCAGCAGCACGAGCTCTAACAGCTTCTAACTTCTTGCAATACTGAACAAGCGATAAAAGCCAAATACAGCACGCTTTACGAAGCGATGGCTTAGTAGACTTGGACGATTCTAGAATGAAGTCTATGATCGTGGGAAGCCTTGAGTCTGTTGTCTCAATAAATTTCAATTCCTCTCCCTGAATATCAAATTGTTGTTGTAAGATTATGGAGTTCCAGCCGGCTCCAAGTATCAGAAAAGCCTCGCCTGATGTGAACAAGACATCAATCAGCTTTGAAGCATGTGTGTCAAAAACAATGCTTTCGATATCAGTGAGACTGGTTTCGGTGCTCTCGTGCAATTGCGGAACTGCAATCCCAAGTTTGGCAAGTGCAGATATAGATCTTTCGTCACCTTTTTTCACTTTCAAGCGAAGTATTTCCAAAATCTTTTTTGCTTTCGTCGTCAAATCCAGCACAAGTTCCAAGGTTGGATCAAACGCTCCAAAAATTGCTAACTGGCTGATGCACTGAATTGAGGTGTAGTAAGTATTTTCACTATCAAGCAAACCGACCAATTGGTCCATGTAGGAATTCACGATCCCTGTCTTGATTATTTCGACTCTATCACGTAACACAAGCCTTGAGATAATAAACGATATTGCAAGTAGACTAATTTTTGTGCTCACTCCCGAAGTGTTGTGGAACTTATTCAATGTTTCAGCCACCCATGAGTCGGAAACAGCGCTATGAGTTCCCACAATTCCTAGAACCTGACAAAGTTGTACTGTCAGCGTCTCAGTTAGCGTCTTCAGATGGAGCGTGTCAAAATATTTGGGCAACGATTCCACGAGACCTTCCACGATCTTTGAAGGTGATAAAGAAAGGAGGTGGAGGAAGCTAAACCCGTAAATTTCGCTTCTAGGATACGTTTCACTGAACTGTCCAATGAAAACTTGCGAGATAATATTCATAAGTAAAGAAAGAGTGTTCGAATCTTCCGACAAGATCAACATTTGTGAACGAACCAACTCTCTGACTTGTTCGTCTGTCTCGATTGCTTTGTCTACTCTAGAAGACCATTCTTCGTCCACCACTACCACCGTGCTTTTGTCTTTGACAGACTTCATTATTAAGGTCCTGACTGCAAACTGAATTGCTTTGTCCATTGCATTCTGTAAGGCAGGTGTGTTTCCCTCTTTCTCTATAATTTTGACGATTGAGTCAAATGATGGAAATGTGGATAGAGTCCTCTTTCCCAACAATTCATGAGATGATACGAAGTGTGGCGAAGTTGCCGAGTGAGCCAAATTGAACCAGTAAGGATGTAAACCCTTGAGAGCCTCTTCAATAGTGTCCAGCCTATTCTCTGAAGACGTACCCATAATGCAGTAGAGCCTTGCTTCAGGATCATCGAAAGGGAAAACGGCAATTAAGAACTTGATAAGAATATAACGACACGAATGTGCAATTTCTGGAGAATCGGCGAAGTATTTTCTAGCCATCATTTTTAGTTTGTCCCTAGCCTGCTGATTGATTTTTGTTAGTTCGCCTGTTAAACTCGATAAGCTGTCTTGAATCGTTGGCCGAACGTCGGCATCCTCTCCCTGTAATGAGTCGAGAAGAAATTCAACGTTTTCCAATTCATCTCCAAATAGTTTCGAATCAGAATAAATAATGTTTCCAAAAGTCTCATACTCCAAAGAGCGCTGCGCTAAGGATGATGAATAATTCTTCACGCCTGAAACTTCCATTTTCGGCCAGCCAAAACCCATTATATCGCTCTTGATTTGTTCTAGTACATCAACCCCCAATTTTTGTGAGCCATCTTTCGACGATTTTGATACCCACTGAATGAACTTTACGGTAGTAACTTTGAGCTTCGAATTGCTCGAGGTAAGTCCTAAGTCGGCTATTTTCGTGATGAAAGGAAAGTCGATGGATTTGACACTTTTCAAAAGTACAGAAAGAATTCGTTCTTGAAGTACCGAATTCACTGGGGGAGCTTCTGATCCAACAAACATCGTTAGTATTCGATTGATGATGTTCTCATCGATGTTCAACTTGAGCCGCCTGAATAGAGTCTCTGCTGGTTCGTTTACAGCTGAAGATGGATCTGCAGAGGCAACCAAGTAGGGAATGTACAACATTTCGTCATCGAATCCGTGCTTTAAAAATTCAAGAAGACGTAATTTAATCTGGTGAATTTCCTGAGCCGAATTGAGCTGGATGCCGGCATCTTGGTTAAAGAAAGAGATGTCCTTGACGGTAAGACCAGGCGAAGCTGAAATGGCTCCACTCGTACTCGGTAAAAGCATGAAAAACTTTAATATGGTCTCTGCCAAAAATTGAGCATCTGGCTCTTTTATACTCAAGTCTTGAGGGATCTGAGGTACAATGAGGAGTTTGCAGAGAATACTGAAAAGCCTTGCCTTTACTGGATCTGAATGATGACTGATACCTTCTATCACCTTGGGAATGAGGTCGGTTTTCTCTGAATCGTTGAGTCTTTCGATTCCTCTAACGACGAACAATAAGGAATAAAGTCTCACAGACAGAGGATCTGCACCTTCCGTAACTTTGGGTGTCTTTGCCTGGTCCAAAAGAGCATTTACTGGGAGTTTTATGGCTCTAGCTGCTGTAATTCTGGGAATAATATGTTGAATAATTTTCAAAACTGCCTTTCTAACGTCAGCATTGGCACTGCTCAACTTAAGTATTACCGGAGCTAAGTACAATCTTAATGCATTTTCAAGCTGGGAGTCGTCGTTTGCAAGTGCAATTCTTAATTCCACTTTTTCTAATAGCGCCAATTCCGACATTGGTGGCGACGTTTATCTTGAGAGTGGCGGCTGCAACAGATATAACCTAGGAAGTACATCAATGCACCCACATTACCATGCTATACGTTTGATTGTATAATGATCACCAATAATTAGTCTATGTATTCTTGTACTCCCGCAAAATAACTGGCACGGAAGATGGAGGCAAAGCACCAAGTTCAGTCACAACCTTCTTGATATACTCTGGAGGAGTGAGATCATACATAATGTTGAGTATGTCCAAATGTTCCATCTTCTCCCAGTTGGACAACGGGTCGGCGTCGGTCAAATCGGAATCATTTTCTTTCTTGTCGCTCTTTTGGTTACCTTTACCCTTCTTCTTCTCTTTTTCTTCGGCGGCGATCGCATCTTGCTGTTTGATGAATTGTTCCAATGCAAACGACTTTTTGAGCGGAGGCTTCTTAGCATCACCGTGCATTAAGTCTTGACGGTCTGCTAGCTCATTTGTTGTTACTGAGTCTAGCTGAACTTTGTCAGAAAATTTGATAGACTCGCAACAGGTCAAAACAGGAATATTTCTGGAATGGCTCATCATAGCGATCAATCCCAGACCAACTCTAGAGTAAAGTCTTCCGTTGGAAAGCATAGCATGTGCACCCAAAAACACACAGTCGACATCTTCAAGCACCATCGAGGAAAGTGAGTTGATGAGTACGTATTGAATCTTGATATGGGTCTTGGTTATGGGAAGACTTTGGTCTTCTTTAGCATGGCACTCAATTAAGCGTGAAACCAATTTCTTACCCTCAAAGAGAGGTCGAGAGTCGACCACCACTAACTTAAAGTTCTTGTTCTCCTCTATAGCGCAATACTTGAACAACTCTTCTAATACATGAGAATGTCCGAAAGTGAGGATAGTGCTACCATTCGTGATATGTTTAGCAGCATTTTGAACAATGAGTTTGTCACTAAAATCGATCTTGTCTCTGATAAATTCGTCAATGCGATCACAAAGTTGAACTTTGGCTTGGTCTTCGGTGGTGTCGATTGATATATGTGAGATCTCCTGCTTCAACCACCTGATGGCATTACCCATGGAAATCGACAATGGACGAGCGGTTTTGAGATACTCGATCTGGTGTGAGAGATGTCCCGTCAAGTGTCGTGTCAACGTAGTATTTTCGGGAGTTTGATAGTCTGTTATCACAGTTTTGAAAACCTCCATCATCCGACGTAAACGCAAGGTCAGACCTACAATTCTGTAAGTTGAATACTTGAGAGTGAGCGCCAAAATAGCCGGATGCACAATATGAGAAATAGCGGGAGAAGAAGCATTTCGCTGCTCTCGAGTCTCTAAATGGCTGAAAAGTGCCGGTATTTTCTGCTTCCCCGAGTTACGTATCACCGTTTGATCCAATTGTTTCTTTATGTTTGTGGTGGTGGCAGTCTGCTGTTTCTTCTTGTCCATCTTCTGCTGTGCTAGTTGTTGTTGTTGCTCTGGAGTTATGCCAATGGCCGCTTTCTGAGCTGCCCTTTTCGCTGCCTTCTCTCGTTTCTTCATCTCTTTGAGTTCCTTGTTTGAAGGTGCCTTGGGCTCTGACGACTTCTCTGGTGCCGCCTTAGGTGCCGCCGCACCACCGTCATTTCCAGGCTTGGGTTCGTTAACTACGGGTTGAGCGTTAGTTTCCTCTACCATGCTTGATTCATTCTACGAGATGAGAGCTTAAAATATGCAGTCGTGTAATGCTCATAAATCGAGTGACGAATTTTTTCTATGTAGCCTCCTGTAGTTCTCCAAACGCTCCTCTCTTCTTTGTAGTGTCATACAATCGTAAGATCTTCTCTTGGTCTTGGTTTTCAGCTTGCGAGAAGGCAAACCCTCTTTGTTTCTTGATTCTTTGCACTTGACGCACCTTGCGGATCGCCTTCTGAAATTGCTCCATTCTGGGCCGGTAGTCTTGAATATTGTACTTTTGAATCTCTTGAACAAAGTGGTAACTTTCAGGACTATGCATCCGTTTAAAGTACTTCCAAGCAAAGTCCCTGAGCAAAGCAAGAATTGCCACACCAAATACCATCGCCCAAAAATCTATACTTGGATATGTAGCCTTAAGAACACCACGATATTCTTGAGAAACATTGATGGCAGGTGCCACTATCGAGTACACTGGGAGCCAGGCAAGCCAAAGTAAAAATGATCCAGGGATAGCAATAAGAGTGAATTTGGTCCACAAAGTAACCACTAAACCTGCTTTACCTAAAGCGGTTAATGAACATGTTGTGTACACAGTGGTACCCCATGCCCAATTGTTCACCACTTGACCCCCTGGTAACAGATCTCCATGTTTGAAAATGAAGAATGAGCAAAGGAAGATGAGCGCTGAGTGGTAAAATCCATTCACGATCCAACTCCAAAAGATTTTAAAATTGAAAAAATGCTTCTGCTGTCCGAGCTTGTATAACTGGGGGTACCTGTCAAGAAGTCTAGCGCTCACAAATTGGTCAAACACACCAATGACAAAGGGTGGAAACACCGTGAACAAGACATTATAAAAAGTCAATGTCCATGACTCGATGATCGATTGACCCGAGAAAGCATTTGCAAACACGAACCAGAACTGAGTCATGTACAAGGCAATGTTCTTGTAGAAGGAATATAAGATGGCAGTTGAAATCCGCTGATACGACCATGATCCATGAACCAAGAGGAGCTTTCGCAAGAACTTGAACTGACCAATGGAGACATCTGCACTCCGTGCAGCTTGCATACCTTCCATACCACTGATTCCAACTCCTACATGGGCTGCTTGAATCATGGACACATCATTTGCACCATCACCAATGGCCAAGAGAAGTGAGCCTTTCTTTTTGCGTTTCACCATCTTCACCACCAACGCTTTCTGCAACGGCGACACTCTGCAACAAATCACTGCTTTACATCTGCTTCCTAGTTGAATGAACAAGTCTTCAAGGTCGGGTTCCAAGGCGTAGGTCAACGATTGGCCATCAATAATAAGAGCAAGAGATGAGTCCAAAGATCCATCCTCTGCATCATGCTGGTGCTCTTGAATTGCAGCAATCTTCTCTTGTAAGTTTAACCTCGTGTCACGTTTAGTCACTTCATTAATGATCAAGAGGTTCATGTCTTCACTCAAAAGTTTGCAAGACATTCCAATATTGATCGCAGTTTCTTGTCGATCACCTGTAAGCACCCAAATCTTGATTCCAGCAGTCTGTAAAGTTTGAATGGTTTCAGGTACGCCTTCCTGAAGTTTGTCTTCTATGGCGGTGGCCCCCAACAAAAACAAATCTTTCTCTATCTTTTCTGCGACCTCGTCAAGGCGTTCACTTCTATCCGTCATCGCAGTGGATGCTTCGTAGTATTCTGAAGCCCATGCCTTGTACTCCTGGTCAGGGACAATCCGAGTTGCGATACACAAAGTTCTTAAACCTTCAGCAGCAAAGTCTTCAAGGTGACGGAGTGTGGCATCCACGAACGGCTGTTCTTCCAGCTGGGATAATCTTTCCAAAATCACGTTATCGGCTCCTTTACAGAAAAGTCGAATTCTGCCATCAGGGCACCTAAATATTCCCGACATTCTCTTTCTCGTTGAGTTGAACTCACACAAGTTTAAAAGTTCGTATTCTGAGGTTGTATTTGACAAGGTGTTTTGAACAGTGACACCTTTTGGACGACGAATAACGAATTTGTAGCCTAGATCAGCAGCACCTTGAACAAGAGCACCTTCATCGGGAGATGCAGCCTGGTACTTGATTTCGTTATTGTCAGTTATCTCTGGTATGACAGTATGACATGTACTCAATAATGTAAAGAATTCATTGATGATTGCTGAGTCTCGCAGGGAGAGATCGCTGAGCCTGTCGTGCATTTCATCGAAAGTGTGGTAGCCGATTTCAATGCCATCAATTACTTGAGCCTGTCCATCCTCAGGGATTTCTTCAATATAACATCTTCCTCCAATAGTACATGCTTTGAACTCCATAACATTTCTTGTTAAAGTTCCAGTCTTGTCGCTGAAAATGTAATCGATTTGACCCAACTCCTCGACCAAGGAAGATGTCCGAACACCCGTTGGAGTGTCTGTATCAGGATAATACATATCGAGATCACTGCCAATCATAAATGCTTGATAATATTTGATAATCTCCACGGTGACAAACAATGAGATTGGCACCAAGTTTGAGAATAAAATCCAGTATGTGAGAATATCTTGAAAGAACAATGTTACTAGCTTAGTACCTTCCAACTCCACGTACCACATAGTGTTTCTGTCGACCCTGGATTTAATCACGTTACCTATCGATGAGATCAAAGCAAGAACAATTAAAATGCAAAAGAGTGCAACAATTTGTAAATTGATGATACGTTCGACGTCTGTACGCTTAATTGGAGTAGCGGTTGCGTTTCTCATCAACTTGGTTTCATGTCCGGTGAACACAACTACTCCATGAATCCACTGGGTGTTTCGAAGTGTCGCACCTCTTAACAATAGCTGCTCTGGAGAAAGTGGGATGTTTGGAGAGGAACCAAAGTTCTTGAGAACACCGTCATACGTGTATAAGGATGAGTTAGGTTGTTCAGAGGAAATTTCGGATCGGGATAAGTCGTTGACTATGTCACGAGGATCGACAAGATAAAGGGTTTCTGGGCGACCTTGTTTTATCTTTAAATTAGTTTCTCCATCCAAATTTGCTGTTTCGATGTAGCACAACCCCTCTGGTTCAGAGGAGGAAAGGAGAAGCAAATCAGCGGGAAAGGGTTCTTCATTCAACACCTTGACAACATCTCCAACTTGAACGTCGATCCACTTTTTGAGAACAAACTGGCTTGTCTCAGTATTGAGGACTAGTACGCGGGTATTATTCAACTCACGATCAGCACTTGCACGCTTAAGGTCCTCGGAAATTTCTTTGATCGCCGAGACTAAAAGCACAACTGTCAATGTACCTATGGTCGTGTATCTATTGGTTGGTGAAACGTTGGGAACCTGTTGTATAATGGAAGTGAACAAGAAGAACAAGTTGGCGTACTTGCTAAACTGTTCAAATAGAAACTTTGGGAGAAACGTTGCAAAGTTGTACTTTGTGGTGGAGATATAATTACCATAGTATTTGAACTGGGCATTAGCAGAATGGTTTAATGCATAGATTTGACGAGGTGAAGAGTCGGTTGGTATGGTTTCAACACCAGGGGTACCGGTCACCTTCAGTTTGATACGACCAAATATTCTTCGAATATCGAAATCACGCTGGCGCTCAGGATCTGCAAATGGATCGTCGTTTGTATCATGTTGCATTCCCGTGTATGCCGCGCCATTGTTGCGGTTTCCAAATAAGTTTCCTCCATTGAAGAGGCCCGTTGGTCTCTCTGGGTTATTAGTTGTACTCAAAAGAGGCACTTGTCGTCTCCCAAATGAGTCGTCATGATGGCTTACGGTTGCATCGTCTTCATCGTCCGATATTATGAAATCGTCATTAAACGGATTGTTCTGGTTGTGCTCGTGTCTGGTATCAAAGAGCAGTTCAGGAGAGTCGTCGTACGGATTTTGATGGGCCACCCTTGGGGTAGATGGGTCCAAATCAATTAGATTTCCTTCGGACTTAAATGGGTCCATTGTTTAAACCTGTGGTCTTCTGAGGCAGCTCAACGTGATCACACCCGCGGAAACTCCTCGAATTGGGTACAGGTGATATAAACCAAGAATGCCGCTGACTACGTGTTTTGAATGGAACGATCTGGTGGAATGGAGGCATTCGCGATGTGTGCTGCTGGTGCACTGATGCAGATTCGAGGCAGGTGCAGGCTCGCGAGTGATTGCATCGAAAGTGGAAGCTGAGTCACAACCAAGAAATATGGCAGCAATTGCCAAAGAAGCCGCCGAGGCGTTTGCTCAGCTAAAGACACTCTCTAATGAAGAACGTTCTGGAGCCTTGCAGAAAATACATGATGGACTCAAATCTGCCAAATCAAAAGTGCTTGAAAGCAACAAGGTAGACATGGAAAATGCCCGAAAGAACAACCTTTCACCATCGTTGATCAAAAGATTGGACTTGTCAAACAGTGGAAAGTACGATACCATGTTACAGGGAATTTTGGATGTGGCCAATCTTGACGATCCAATTGGTAAATGTACCTTTGCCAAAAAGTTGGATGAAGGTTTGAACTTGTACCGAGTAACGGCGCCATTAGGAGTTCTTCTCATTATATTCGAGTCACGGCCCGAAGTTATTGCCAATATTACAGCCTTGGCTATAAAATCCGGAAACGCAGCTATTTTGAAGGGCGGTAAAGAATCGTACCAGACATTCAAGGCCATGAGTGATATCATCAACCAAGTTTTGAGCACCGAAACAAAGGTTCCTGGACCAGCCATACAGCTCATTCAATCCCGTGAAGATGTTAGCAACTTGTTGCTGCAGGACAAGTACATAGATTTGGTTATTCCTCGAGGGTCAAATGAATTGGTAAGAAACATTAAGGAAAACACCAAGATCCCCGTTTTGGGGCACGCAGATGGTATCTGCTCGATTTACATCGATAAGGATGCTGACATTAAAAAGGCTGTCAAAATAGTCGTTGATTCCAAAACCAACTACCCGGCTGGCTGTAATGCTGCTGAGCAGTTGTTAGTTCATGAAAGTATAAGTTTGGAAAACCTCAACGAAATACTAACTGGGCTTGCAAATGCCGGTGTCACCATCCATGCTGATCCTCAAGTCTTAAAAGAAGTTCAAGGCTCAATTGATATCGGTGAAAAGTTGCAACCTGCTGATGATGATGCTTTTGATAAAGAATACCTTTCCCTTGATATCTCAGTAAAACGAGTTTTGTCGCTTGAAGATGTCATCACCCATATCAATTCTCATTCTTCCAAGCATACCGATTGCATAGTCACTGAAACCAAGGTCAATGCCGAAAAGTTCTTGAAGGGAGTAGATTCGGCTGGTGTGTACTGGAATTGTTCTACTCGTTTTGCTGACGGATTCAGGTATGGATTTGGAACCGAGGTGGGTATTAGCACGAATAAGATTCATGCCAGAGGACCCGTCGGTTTGGAAGGTTTGATGAGTTACCAATACCAGTTGAGAGGAGAGGGTCATATTGTTGGGGACTACGTTGGTGGTGGTGGTAACAAGGTGTTTGTTCATGAAGACCTTCCACTTAATTAGCGAAAATTGTATAATTTCAAGAATTTGCTATTTTGAGATTTGCTAATTGAGGATTAAGTACTTGCGAGAATTTTTCGTAGTCATTAGGTGGAAAGTCTGGGAAATAAGAAACAATTCGACCAGCACCTTCTTCATCGATGTCTAGTAAACTCCATTCTCTCAAGGTGAAAAAATCAGTAAGAGATTTGATCCAATTCATTCTTGTATCTATGCTTACGAGATCATCATCAATGACCACCGAGCTTCTTAGTTTCGCCCTGATGGCTCCAAGGTTGTCCACTGCCTTGTTGAGGTCAACGTCTTTGAATTTACGGCCAATTTCGTCTTTTATAAGACGCAGAAGTCGAGGCGACTTGCCGTTGGTGGAGATCATGATTTGAAGGCTATCTTGGTTGAACATGCTTCCAAAGTAAAAATCGCACATTGGTGGTTTATCAGCAATGTTCACTGGAAGATGGAGGTACTTGCACTGGTACAATATCTCTGGTGGAGAGCTCGTAATCGTCAAATGCAGCAACACACAACTGCAAACCGCTTGTTTGCATCTTCGACTATACGATAATAATCATCACCACCAATATTGTCAATATCAAATTTGGTTTGTGGTGCGTCCTCATAAAGCTGTAGGTCACTGGATTGGTAATCACGAAGAATTAAACTGTGTATTTTATTGGCTTTCGAAAGTTGCAAGATTTCGGGATGAGCATCGCGAGATCCAGCAACCACGGTAATTTTAGCATTGGCCCGTATCATGTGATGTACCCTACTGAGGGCCACCTCGCCGGCGCCAATCACAAGACAGTGCTTTTGCTGTACTTGGTGAGCAAGTAGAAGTGACATGAGAGTAGAAGTAGTACAGTGCAGAGGTCGGTATCTTGCCGCAAAAAGGCGGATTGTGTGCAGTCAAGTGCTGTTGCGTGCCCCGGTTCTGTGCTGCGCCGGTGTGCCGATTGCGCGCTGGGACATGCATAACGTCGCTTCCGCTCCATCCTACACCCGGCTCGTGCTTGCTCGTAATTGTGCTTGACGAGAGTTGTTTTGGGTGCAAATGGTGACAATGGTACCATAAAAATGATGAATTACGCAATTGAGTTATATGACTTGTATATAGCTTATTTATGGAAATAGAAACTTTTTTGGTGGCTTCAACCTGCTTTATGGCCACGTTTGGTAGATACCCACCCAGACCCCACATTAGTGACTCGATAAAAAAAAATGCGAAAACCGAATTGGGGCACCGACAATTGATTAAATCGCCAGAGTGAAACCTCAATTTAGAGACGGTTTAAGATCTCCAAGTGCAGATTTTATACTATAGCGACGCTTCAAGGATAAGCTCCATAATAGGGGATCTCAATACGTGTCGCCTTATTGCCAAATCGTTGAACTGTTTCGTAGTGGCGTTTGAACCAGCAGCGATTAAAAACTGAAAGTTGACCTTGACAGCTGGTACTCATCGGATCCTGACAAAACAAAACTTTTCAGCCTAGTCTATCGAACCTGAAACTCATACTCGCCTTGAATTTGATCATCGCTCAACTCCAAGACAACATGTTGCACTCTACTGAACGGAGAAAGTCGGCCGCTGAACGGCGCCCTAGCACATCCTACACCCCACCAGTAATTCCTCATCTTGCTGGATTGGAAAAACCACAAGCTCACACCCTTAATATGGACCACTGTGACATCTTGATTATGGGCACGGGTCTCACCGAGAGTGTTTTAGCTGCAGCGTTATCATGGCAAGGTGTGGAGGTTTTGCACATCGACCGTAACAATTACTACGGTGATCTGAGCCTGACCATGACTATAGAGCAGTTGAAAAAATGGTGCCATGAAGTAAATCAGGGCAAGATCCCCCACTTCCAGGATGCACAAATATACATTCCTGGAGGCGGCAGTCGTATCAGCAGTAAAGATTATGGTATTGACTTGACTCCTCGGCTCATGTTTGCTCAATCTGATTTATTGGCTCTTTTGGTTCAGCTGAGAGTTTACAGGTACCTCGAATTCCAGAGCTTGAGTAATTTCCATGTTTTCGAAAATGACAATTTTAACAAGAACGTCTCCAATACCAGTAAGGAGGATATCTTCACTGATCAGTCGTTATCACTCAAGACAAAGAGACAATTGATGAAGTTACTCAAGTTTATCTTGGCAGATTCTCAAGATGAATCCAAGCAATCAGTACTTGCCGAAAACGCAGCCACCCCTATTGCTGAATTCTTAGAGAAGAATTTTCATCTTGAAACTCCTCAGATCAACGAGTTGATTTACCTGATTGGTTTGTGTCCATTATCGCAGACTACGGCCCCTGATGCCCTTGCCCGAATCCGACGCTTTTTGACCTCATTTGATGTCTATGGCAACTTCCCGGTGATGATGCTGAAGTACGGTGGTCCGGGTGAAATTTCTCAAGGCTTTTGTCGGTCTGCAGCTGTGGCCGGCACCACATACAAACTAAACACTAGCCTTGTTGATTATGATCCATCTCTGAAAGTGGCTAAGTTTAGCGACGGAAGTGCAATTAAAATCAACGAGAAGTTGGTCATTTCCCCATCTCAAATTCCTCGGTTTTTGCAATCAGGATACTCCGAGATCACTTCGAAGCTCAAACTTTCTTACGTTACTAGAATGACGACTATAGTCAAACGTGATTGTAAGGAATGGATGACAGACAATGAACCAGCTGCGGTAGTGGTCTTTCCACCTAAATCGTTGCCCACTGGCAACAACGAAAGTGTCCAGGTAATTATTCAGAACGGTAACTCGGGCATCTGTCCAGATGGCCAATCAGTTTGGTATTCGCAGACTTGTGAGCAGGACTTGCGGAGGGCGAAAGAAGACTTGGAGAGTGCTTACGAGAAGATGGAGGCTGCTTTGTTGCGAGAAACTTCGTCCAACCTTGACGAGGTACTTGATGAGAACGATTTTGTATTGAGTGCCAACGGAACACCATTGGTTGCCAATTCTTTCAAGTTGGGCAAGTCATTACAAAGTTTTGTTCCAAAGGAAAAGTTGGAGATTATTTGCAAATTGGGATATGTTCAAAGTACTTTTGTTAATCTTGATTTGTCAAATCAAATGTTCCCTACGAGTGAGAATAATGTGTCATTGGATACCCTTCGCGATGCTGAGGATATCGTGTTCACCAACATGCCATCTGCCGAAATCAGCTACGATGGAGTTGTAAGTGATTGCAGAACCTTATTTACAAGAATCACAGGGTCCGAAGATGATTTCTTTGACGTTGACTTTGAAGACGAAGAGTTTGACGAGGGGCAAGGATCTACATCCGTGAGTGAAGCCGTCAAGAACGGTGACATCCTTATGAAAGATCATGAAAATGCCATTGAAGATAGCGATAGCGACGACGATCGTCACGGACCTTTTGGAACCGACCTGATGGAGTTATAGAGTCAGTAATAAACTGTATAGAGAGCGAGTAATTCAATTCCGCGTACTTAGAGTAGGTGTCTACTGTCAGTGAGAGAGCCAAGCCCGTAGAGTATTAGATATCAGAATTCTACAGACTAGGTTTTAGTAAACTACCACTTAGTTTCTTAACCTACAACGTAGTTTCTTAAGTGTGCAATGTCAACGTTGGGCATTGCGAACTAAGAGATTTAGTTAATATATTTTGAGTTGAGCAAAATAGAGATAATAGAGGAAAACGCAATCGAAAGTAGAAACAGTAATTGAATATCCTAGGATCAACACAACCTACAATCATCAGCCTGCTTGGTTCATCAGCACTTGGAACATGGTCTTCATCCTGTATATATCCGATACGGTTCCTCACGTGCAGGGCTCTGCCCTCGACGCTCGCTGAAAAATGGATTTTTTTCACCTCTTCTCTACTGAGCGGATTACATCTGACGAAGAAGTCTTAAATAATGTCTGACGTCGAAGAACAACAAATTGTCGAAGAAGTTGCTGTTGAGCAAACCGAGGGAGGTTCTATCTCCATCGAAGATGCCTTGAAGGTCGTTTTGAGAACTTCATTGGTTCACGATGGTTTGGCCAGAGGTTTGAGAGAAGCCTCCAAGGCTTTGTCCAGAGGTGAGGCCCAATTATGTGTCTTGTGTGACTCTGTGACTGAAGAATCCATCATCAAGTTGGTGGAGGCCCTCTGTAACGAGCCAGAAGAGAAGATTCCTTTGATCAAGGTTTCCGACGCCAAGTTGTTGGGTGAGTGGGCCGGTCTCTGTCAATTGGACAGAGAGGGTAACGCCAGAAAGGTTGTTGGTGCTTCTTGTGTTGTTGTCAAGAACTGGGGTGCTGACTCTGAGGAGAGAAACATCTTGTTGGAGCACTTCTCTCAGCAATAAATATCTCAATAAAGAGTAGTCAACTAGCGATTTGTAGAAGTGTAGGGAAAGCATTTGGCCAAGAATTTGAACTCTTGGGTTAGAATTTGCGTCCATCAGTAAGATCTTACCCAAGTACTTTTCACAGACCGTTGTATTGGTGTATGGGTGTGCTCACTAACAACTGTTTTGGTGCTTAGATCTGTATCTGTTTATATGTCTACTGATAGATTGGCTAGAATTGAGGCCCGTACCCGAGGTTCTGGGTAAGTATTTATACTTATAAATGCCTTATGGTATTCACAATAAGGTTTTCTGTACTCAAAATCAAGTTACTAATTCAGAAAACGCGCTGTTAACGTGTCTGATTTCAGCATCAAGATCGATGCCGCCGCTTTAGAACCCTCTGACGATGATATAGATGGCAATGAACACAACTTTGGATCCTTCAGTCCCAGAGCACAAAGAAATAATGACGTTTCAGACGATTTTTTCGCCTTGCAAGTTAAAACAGACCCAGCTCCAAAACGAAAATCCACCAAGCGGCACAAAGAATCACACAAAAAGTCTAAAAAAAGCACCAATAATGCAAAGATTGAACCGAAAGACGACGAATTTGTGATTTCAGAAGTTTTGGATTCTCGTAGTATGAAACCACCTCGACTGGAGAGCCCACCACCTAGAGTCGAGAACAAGAAAACCACACAATCCAATCAACCCAAAAGGCCCAGAAGGAACAGCAATACACGTGTATCACAAAAGGTCCATAAACCGTTCAAATCACAAACAATTGCTCGCTTAGCGAACATCGATCTGCGCGATGCCTTGGGTCGCGATGAGGATATTAGTATGATAGACGATGCCATTCCTTTGAGCAAGGCGAAGCGCCGGGAACGCCAGAAACCCATGCTTATCGATGTGGATCGTCTTGTCAATGAAAGAAGTGCCAGCAAAAGAGTGAAAATTAATACGATTGATGTTCTCAAGCATTTGGTACAAACATTCGAAACCACCGAGGCAATCTGCTGAACGAGTGGATCCCGAGATTGTACACCACGAATTCAAAATGCATTTGATGAACTATCTTAGTGTGCTACAAGATATGCATGCTAATATCAACGACTTGTCGGAAGAGATACAAGAAACCCAGCGTCGGAAGCGGGACTTACGGGCTGAAGTGTATGAGATTCGAAAAAAGCATGGAGAAGTTGGTACTCAGTTGAGTAGCTTGAGGCAATCGTACCTGGACAGCAAGTATAACCATGAACAATTCATTAAGAACGCCGATCAATTGCGTATTTTGAAGGAGCGTACCAAAGGAGAGGGACAGAACACTATTGATCTACACAGCGTCGTCGAATTACAGGTAGCGGCAGTGAACAAATTGGTGAATCCAGTTTCAGGCATTTATTCGAAATTGAGGATGATAAACAATCAGCTAGAGAACAGGAGGAATTAATATTACACAGGATCTATACCCTGCCAGTTGGGCAATACGCATACACAAAGCGATATGGCAACTTGCAACGATAAATGCATCATCTAACTGTCCTCGGCGACCAAAGCAACGATCATTCTGTACAAGTAGAAGAAGAATACTAACAAGTGGAAACCCAACCTGAGGAAGGACTCCTTCTTATGCTTTGACAAGGTTCTGAAAATCTCGGTGGCATCTAACATGTGGTTCTTGTTGACGATTTTGTTGACGTTGTGTGCCAACAATGGAGCATTCAACAAGAAGGTGAACCAGTATCCGTTCACAAGGAACAAAAGAGTTAAAAATCCATGTAAACCAGCCTCAGGAATAAACCAAGGATTGAGCTTGTTACACAACTCAATAGGATTGATATAGTCACATTCTAAGTCGGAATACATGATGGTGAAAAACACTTGGGCAAACAAGTTAACCACATTGGTTATCATAGCAAAAATAAACAACCTTATTGTTAGTATAGTTTTAGATCAAAAGGTACCTTATGATAAACCTCTACTGGATATAATCACAAGAGCGTTTACAAGGGTTAACCCCCTTCGTAAAATTACTTACCAGCTTTCTCCGTTCATTATCGCTTTATCTCGAACTGCTGAAATCCTAATTTTCATTACAATTGAGCATTACATAAGAGGAAAATTACCTGCAGGTTTTATATTTTGCTGTGGCAGATACTTATACCTCTAAACATTCCCACTTGACTCCATCGTACTCAATGGTGTCTCCAACCGTACAAGAAAGTTCCTTTGGAAACATTTTTTCCCCGTACTTGATCAAATCGTTCCAATTACCATCATAATGTGACCTAATCACACTGAACTTGCAAGTCAGTTTCGTATAAAGAAGTCCCTGCAACCAATTACCCAATTTCAACAACTTGCCTTCATATGTTGGATTAGAGACCTTAAGGACAGTTGCTTTGCACAGATATGCCTCCTTCTCTCTCACGTCTTCAGTTGGGTTGTGCGCAATTGGATCTAACGATTTCCAAATCTCGATATATTCTTCCTCTTTACCAGTTTCAGGGCTGATCATAGAACCTGTTTCTTTACGGTTCTCACTGCCCTCAATCGATGAGAAGTGTCCGATATCTGGCGCTCCCTGAATTTGAATTTGGTCGGGTGGTGTACCTGTCTCAAGAGCTTCAGAAACAGCGATATGATCCAAATCTTTCTTAAAGTTGATTGTACCTCCACCTAAGGGTTCTTCTATGCCACACATACACCATTGGAAGACTTCGTCAATTGGCTTTGTAGCATCTCTTTCACTCAATGGATAGTACTGACGGAAAATACGAATGTCAACAAAGTGCCCGCTCTTGGAATTCATCACAAGAGTGTTAGAGAGTTCCTCCGGTTCATTCGGAGGCCATTGTAACGAGACTCGAGTAGAAAGTGACATTTTTGAGGTCAACGGTGCCCAGGGCCTTAAATAGATAAGCCGCTGGAATCTTGGCGGGTAATTCGTTTTTGGCGGTTGCAAATTCCGCGCACCCTTACACCCAGACTTATTCCGTTGCCAAATCGCGTAGTTGGTCTTTGCACCACCTCCTCTTTTCCTTAGTTACGGCAATGCCATCCAATTTGCGTAATTTGGGGAAATAATTGACTAGTAATGTCTCGTACCTAACTCTTTGATTGAGCTTTTCTTGATTGCGACTAATTTTCTTTTCAATGTACTCTGAATCTCTTTCTTCCCAGTTGCTGGTGTTCTTGGTAAGTGCTCTGTAATGTATAGCAAAGCTTTCTATATCGTCCAACGTTTCCAATTGAATCGGTTGGGGGTCATCAGCATCAACTTCATTGGGACTGAAGACATAAGGGTATAATTCAACATTGATTGGATTGAGCCTCAAATCTAATACCTCAAGCGAATCGCGACTGGCTGACAATGATGAAATTATATCCTTGATTTTGAAAATATTATTGCTGACCAAAAACACGTCTTTTGAGGTTGCACATACCTTCCAACCACGGTTAGTAGATTCAACCGGTTAAAGTTGAGATTAATTTCGAAAAGATTGGGAAATTGGCTACTCAAGTTTGATGGAAGTTCATCGTATTCCATTGCGGCCATTGTCAAGCAATTCACACCGACAAACCGTCTCGAAGCGGTAAATGAAAATTGGGGGTTTCCAGAGAGATCGAGCGCTCGTGACAGGACGATATTTTGCAACACATGACGAATTAAATCATCCTTGTGCTGCGACTTGAGCGAAATCTCATCAAGGTGTTCCAACTTGTGCAAGTTTTCCACGCTTCTTAGATAGTTACCATCGAAGCGGAGCACGCGCAAAAACGGGAATGCACCGACATCAAGCAGTCTCAACTTGTTACTCTTCACGAGCAACTTTTCATGAGTGGATGTACTCCTTCACAACTCATTCTGGAAATACTGTTATCATTAACATTGAGGATTCTCAACGAGTGCAAACGCTCAATACCCACAATAGACGTGATGCGATTATCGGACAAATTAATCTCTTGGACATTTGGTAAGTCGAAATTTGAAAAATCTATTTCGCCAGATAACAGGTTTCGGGAAAGATCCAAATAAATGAGGTTTCTCAAACCTTCTAAACCATTGAGAGATGATATCTGGTTATTGGCTAACAGCAACCGATTCAAATGAACATTGTGACGCAAATTTTCTACCAGACTCAAATTGTTATCCGCCAACAGCAACTGTTGTAAAGCTTGAAAATTCTGAAAAGATGTGACGTTTCTCAAATCATTCTTGGATGCATTCAACAGTAAAATGCTTTCGGGAATACCCGCCAAGAATTTGATATTGTTGTCTGCAATGTTTGCTGATACCAAGTTGGGTAAGAAGTCGGCAAGGCCCTCGACTGAGTCAAGTTGAAGAGCCGACAAGTTTACATCAGTAACCTTGCCCCACAGCGATTCAGGAATTGTTTCAGTTAACAAGGAAACTAGCTTTTTATGCGTTTGCGTGAATGTCACATCGTCTAGCTGGGATACTTGAGTTACATCTCCAGGCATCGGCGAACGTCGTTTAGGTGTCGATGTCTCGCTCTCATGGGGCAAGTGAAAGGAAACTTCTTGTTTGTGGTTCTTCGCTTTCAAAACTCTGTTGCCATCAGTAGGTTTCAATATACTATTTTCTCTCTCATTCATGGTTTCGAGATCTTCAATCGAGTCCAAGCTTCCACCCATGTCATTCTCTTTGTCGTTGGGTATCCATCGTTGATTCTCCACGTCTAGGACCATGTTGTTGTAAGAAGTTGGTAAAGCATTACTTTGGCTTAATTTTTCCCACGTCATGACGAAACTGTTGCGCTTTGAGCGAGTTTTCATCATTGTGATCCACGGTCGTAGGTCGAGGAAATTCGTTAGATTGGTGCTTTCTATGACGAAGACCCAATTGTGACGCCCGTTTCCACTTAATAAGCTGTTCAGCATCGTTGAAACTGTGATCTGCTAACCCACTTGTTTGGTTCCTGAGCAGACGAGAGACAGAAGTTCTTTCTTGGCGACCAAGCTCTCTGATGATATCTCGTAATTGCTTGTTCTCGTTCTTAAGTTGCTCCATGACTTGATGGTGATCAGTGGTAACAAGGTGCTCGAGCTCATTAAGACGACTTCGTAGGTGTTGGAAATCGTAATCGTTTGAAGGCGAATGCAGTTCAGCAATATAATTCGAAGCAGCCCCTGTCTCATCGACAGTATCGACAAAAGATAACGAATCAAGTTTTTCAAGGTTTTCTACTGAAAGTCGACTATCGTTATTTGTTGTTACAGGTTGTGTAGAGTTGTGAAATGAATGACTCTCCCTGCTACCGACAGACGTATAGTCGTCATCGCCCCTTTTTGAAGCAGAAATGCTCGAAGATTCGTCATCAAAACCTGTGGTGAATGAGGAATAGTCATCGTCAATCACCTTGGCATTTTTAGGTGTTGAAGTTGCCGTGGTTTGCATTTGGTCTTTTTCATTGGCAGTTTTGAATCCTCTTTTTTGGATATTGCTGAATATGTTATTGGCATTTTGAAGGAACTGTTGCTCGGAGTAGCTTCCTGACTTCGTAAAGTCACGGATCATAAACTTGGGCTGAGATGCCTTGTCTTCGTGCGTGGGTTCCTGCTTTTGGGTCGGCATTTTCACTTCTTCGCTATCTTCTTGGACCGATGAATTATGTTGAGTATAGTTCAGAGTGTCAGGAATTTCAAACTTGGGCGGCTTATTCATTTTCTGCAACACATCTGCTAGCTTGTCTTTCGTAAACGTGTTATACTTATCTCCAAATAACTTTAGAGGGGATTCAGGGTTCGGAACATAAGCTGGTACACCTTCCTGTTCCAAAAGGTGTTCTAGATGCTGAAGCTGGTCTTTCGACAAGTGAAGTGGAACCGAAGCCATGGAGTTTGAAGTGGTGGATGTCATAGAGTTGCTTATAGAATCATGAAAGCGGTTATCAGATTTCGTTTCTGTTTTCAGCAGCTCGGATGCAAAGATGTTTTGGAGTTGAGGTTGAGATTTGCGTACTTCTTGGAACTGTTTGGATGCCTTTTTCCATGCTGGGGTATCGCCCTGCTTTGAATTGTGGATCATTGTGTTGGTTGACAGAAGGAAAAGTGGAGCCAGGTCAACTTGGGTATTGGGAGATTGCCTATTGATACGAACAGATGAGGAGAAATTCTCCTCGTTCCATTTTTCTCCCAATTCCGGTGGCATCCAATCTGGTGTGCTATTGAAATCCAAGGTATTTTTCTTACTCAAAGTAGACGTTCGAACTGGACCATCATCTGGTTGACGTAATTCTGTAGTGCCATTTTCAGCGGTATGAGACTTTTGGTTATCCAGTTCCACACTGATCTGGGAGTTTTGTAAAGAATCTCGACGTTGGTCAGATTGCTCGTTCATTTTGCCCAAGGTTTGTTTGGTTCTGGCATTTGGATGCGATTTGTACTTGAAAGTATTGGGAATCGAGTTGGCATTATTGGAGTTTAATGAGTTTGGACCACTCATAGGGAACGAATTATTGCTATCGAGGTGAAAATCGGCATTCCGGGCGTATTTAAGCTTGTTTTGGTACGCCTGGACGGGTTCAGCTGCAAATTTGGGAGCTGGTTGATCGGTAGAAATTGGCTTGGAAGCACGAGAAGCATCATCTGAAGCCTCCAGAACGTCACTGAGCTCTGTGGCTTTCATATACGCCAGGATTCGGGCTGCGGTGCTACTTGGATTTGACACTGAATCCAGGGCAACACGGCTCATATATTGTTTTGAGATCAAGCGGCTGCACAGAAACATAAACACTTCCGGTGTACGGGTGCGTTCACAGAGAGGTTGGGGAAGGGTTTAGACGGTCCACGAAAATGTCTGAAATCATGTACTGGATATAGCTTAGTTGGACTATTCCATTCCTGATTCTTACTACACCCTCAAGCTAAACTCAAAACTCGAAAAAATTAGCTTGCGCTTGCATTCCCTGAAAAATCCCTGGCTAGCCCGTCCCGTTTCTGTGCAGTACCTCAGGTGCTCCAATTCCTGCGACCTATCCGCCAGACGACGGTCTTTATATTGGTGCTAGAGTAGGAATTACGATAAAATTCTATATAAACCTCCTTGATTTACAGTGCATTGTGTACGGGAGGCGAGAACGTGTCAGATCATATCCAATTGAAAAATACACCTTCTGTTGAAGTTGAAAATTCCACCACAATCTTAGTACTTGAAGCAGGAATTCAAGGATATTAAGCGGCTTTTCAATATCTTGGTATTTTTATACTGAAAAGTGCTATTCGGATACATATTGTGCTGAATAACTGTCCGCAACCTCGAAACCACCACCATTCACTTCTGGACCAGTCAAAATTTCACAACATTCTAACCAATTATAATTGAATAATTGACACCACAATGTCGTTTGATTACACCACATCCAGTACTGCTAGTCACCAACACCAACAGGAACAAGAAATGCTTTCGAGTTTTGCCGTTCCGAAACCACCGGTCAGTACCCAACAATCTAGTGCTGCAGCTGAAAGCGATACGATTGCCTCTAATGATGCACCGCGAACTTTATGGATGGGTGATCTTGACCCTTGGTTGGATGAGGCAGCCATTGCCGATCTTTGGTACCAATTGCTAGGCAAGAAAGTCACCATCAAAATCATAAAGCCGAAAAATGTCAGGGGATCAATGTCATCAAGTGGATTGTCTCATTCAGGCTACTGTTTTGTGGAGTTTGAGTCATATGAGGATGCTCAACAGGCCTTGAGCCTCAATGGTCAACTTCTCCCCGATATCGCTATGCCATCTCAGCAACTGTTCCCCAACAATCCAGACAATCAAAAGAAATACTTTCGTCTTAATTGGGCATCGGGTGCAACCTTGACTGCTCCTATAGTACAAGGACCCGAATATTCGTTGTTTGTTGGCGACTTATCGGCGTCAACCACAGAAGCGCATCTATTGGCGTTTTTTCAAAAAAGCTTTCCCAATTCCATCAAGACAGTTCGAGTTATGACCGATCCCGTTACGGGAAAACTGAGATGTTTCGGTTTTGTTCGCTTCACAGATGAGTCAGAAAGACAGCGTGCCTTGGTCGAGATGAATGGAGCATGGTTTGGAGGAAGGCCCTTGAGGGTTGCTTTAGCGACACCTCGAAGTAGTGGAAAAAGATTTGGTTTCCAAAATATGTATCCATTCTGGGGCGGAGGGGCTCCATATTACCCTTATGGATACGCTGGAGCTCCAGGTCTGCCCGATTACGGAAACATGGGAGGACTCAATGAAGAAGATGATTACGGAGGTGCACCACCACCACCTCCCCCTCCCCCTCCTCCAGGTCAAATACCATATCCACCACCCGTCCAGCAATACACCGATCCCAATAACACAACGGTGTTCGTTGGCGGTCTTTCTTCGGACGTTAATGAGCAAACACTTTTTACTCTATTCAAGCAATTTGGTATAATACAACAAATTAAAATTCCACCAGGAAAGAATTGTGGTTTTGTCAAGTATACCAATCGAGAAGACGCTGAAGAGGCCATTGCGTCCATGCAAGGATTTATCATTGGCGGAAATCGAGTGAGATTGAGTTGGGGAAGAGTGCTGGCAAGTAACAAAAAATTCCAGCAACAACAGCATCAAGTTGCTCAAGCGGCTCAGATGGAGGCAGCAGCAGCTCTATCTATGGGTATGGACCCTTCTTCGGCCATTGCGGCGGCAGCTGCGGCAGCTGCTGCTGGATATCCTATGGGACAAATGCCAATGGGAATGATGAATTATCATCCAGGAATGCGTGGAATTCAAGGCCATCCTGTTGGAGGCGAGGGTTCACAGCTGCCAGCACAACTTATGGAAGGACAAGGACAGTATGCTGGTCAGCCACCTCCTTTCGCTGAGCAATTGCAATATGATGAGCGACTTGGAAATTTACCTGGTCAAATACTGGGCCAGATTCCGGGCCAGGTTCCAGGCCAGGTTCCTGGACAAATGCCTGGGCTTTACTTACCGAGCCAGATAATTCCACCACCGGGTGCTGCACCACCAGGTCAAGTGTGTGCAATGGGATCGATTCACTCGAATGGAAATGAGTTTAGTGCACCGGAAACTGGAGTGGAAAATTTGACATCTACAATTGCACAAATGTCTGTTGGAGAAGGAACGATGAAGAAGACGATAATACCACCCGGAATCCAGCCCGATCTGGCAGTTTTAGCATCTGAAGAGGGTACGACTGTAACTACAAATGGTATCGAGCATGCGAAACAAGAAAAGAGTGGTGAAAAAATCGGTGAAAAAGTCAAGGAAAAAGAAAGCAATGAGGATAAAGCGGAACAAAAAGGGACAGGTAAGGAATTAGGCGATGGAAAGGCAGGCGAAAGGGTTACTGGCGGTGAAAAAGTGAGAGGTTCCGCATCAACTGTTGATGAGAATGAACCAAAAAAGAACTAACATATCTTAAAGTTTAGGCATAAATAGAAGTGATAGGTTCCATGTATGTTAATGTAGTTGCCACTACAAATGTTCTACAAATTCTCAAAAACATATTCACTCATCTACATAACGAATCATAAAATCAAACTAGGCAACACTCCTGGTATCGCTTAAGAACGCTCACCACGCAATCTTCTGGCTAATTGGATATCCTTCTTCTGGATAGTAACTCTCTTGGCGTGAATAGCACACAAATTTGTGTCTTCGAACAAAGACACAAGATAGGCTTCCACAGCTTCTTGCAAAGCACCAATAGCAGAAGATTGGAATCTCAAGTCGGACTTGAAATCTTGAGCGATTTCTCTAACCAAACGTTGGAAAGGTAACTTTCTAATCAAGAGTTCAGTCGATTTTTGGAATCTTCTGATTTCTCTCAAGGCAACGGTACCTGGCTTATATCTGTGAGGCTTCTTAACACCACCAGTAACTGGGGCGGACTTTCTAGCAGCCTTGGAGGCCAACTGCTTTCTTGGGGCCTTACCACCGGTAGACTTTCTTGCTGTTTGCTTAGTTCTAGCCATGGTTAATGAGAAGAAAAAAAATTCAAATTGCCCCTGTGCGAATTAATCCCGCACATTCGTGACGGCAAATTGGGGGCGGCACAAAAGGCAAATTTTGTAAGGGAGGGGCTTTGCTTATGGAACGCGTTATGTAAGCGCGCGGGATTCGGTGTTTCGAGGTTATTGCAGCCATGGAGTTGGATAGGAGTTGATATACCTTCTTTCTTTCGTTTCTTTCGTTCTCTCTTGCTCAGCTTCTCTTTCCTCTTCCTTCATCGTTCTTTTTTACAATCTCTCAATATATTATTGCTACGCTAGTTTCTGTACCACAACCTGGTGATTCTTGTTCTCATCATCTTCTTTTGCAACCTGAACACTCCGTACATCAATGCTTCGGCAGTAGGAGGACATCCTGGAACATACACATCGACAGGAATGAGTCTGTCACAACCTCTCACCACTGAGTATGAGTAGTGGTAATAACCACCTCCATTGGCACAAGAACCCATAGAAATAACCCATCTAGGATCAGCCATTTGATCATAAACCTGTCTTAAAGCAGGACCCATCTTGTTTGTGACGGTTCCGGCCACAATCATCACATCGGATTGACGAGGAGATGCTCTGAAAATAATACCAAGTCTATCTTGATCGTATCTTGGTGCAGAAACATGCATCATTTCCACAGCGCAACATGCAAGACCGAAAGTCACGGGCCAGAAGGACGATTTTCTCGCCCAGTTAGCAATAGTATCAAGCGAAGTCAACACATAATCCACGGGTGATGATGCAGTTTTTTGTGAGATCAATGGCATATCGGTAGGCAAAGGCTTTGGCGTCAAATCTTTGGAAGATATATGACGATAAGCATGCAAGGGGACCATCGAGACCATTCTGGGCTGTCTGAAGGCCGCAGCCATCACTGAGCGTGGTGCTAAAGAGTACATGGCGTTAAGTATCAGCAAGAAAAAACTGGTGTTGATTGGCCGCGCACCGGAGGTGTGGGTGTGAAATGAAGGAGGTGCATGGGTGCAGAATGAGAGAAGCCTACCAAGAGTATAGAGAACCAAATCGTCAAAACCCCTTGTACTTTATTCTTCATTTCTGCTATCGTTACTTTTACTATCATTTGGTCTTCTTATCATTACTAATATACCGATTTTTTTTCATAATTATTGAATCACATCTTCCAAATACTCCCTTATTCTCGTCATTATTTCCTGCCGAACCTCATCGGGAACCATCAGCTCGGCTTGCGGCTTCACCATTGCATATAGACGTTCAAACGTCAAATTTTTGTTGTCTTCTTGTTGCAATTCAGTGGTCGCCAATTGTCCCACTTTATCGTACCATCCATTTTCATATAGCTTCAACTTGAGCTGCTTGTTGATCAACTCGTAGTTTCCTGACGAAATAAGATGGTCCTGGATCTTAGCCCGAATTTGGTCCAACTCATCTTGAGACATAGGAAGTTTATGCTATGAGCGAGGTCCGACCACCTGAAAATAGTGTCAAAGTCACGTGAGTCTCCACCCACCCCACCGATTGCGAATTATAGCAACGGTATGAATCGATTTAGACCAGCAATTTTCCTCAGAAGATACAGTATGGGACGTCCTTCTCCTTACAATGCGCGTGTGGACCTGATAGAGAATGAAGGTGAAGGCAAATTTGTGCAAACCCGCAAGATCAATTACACAGATGCGGCAGGTAAGAACCGGATCTGGGAGATGGCCATCCGGCCAACACGCACTGAAACCACCGGAATAGATGCGGTATCGATCGCTGCAATACTAAAAGATGCGAATGGGAAAAAGAATGTTTTGGTAACAAAGCAGTTTCGTCCCCCTACTGAGAAAGTGGTTTTGGAGTTCCCCGCGGGACTTATAGACCCCAACGAATCGGTTGAGAGTACGGCAGTACGAGAATTGTTGGAAGAAACAGGGTATGTTGGCACTTTCAGCCATCTGTCACATAAGGAGATGCCACTTTTCAGCGATCCAGGACTCACCAATGCTAACATGGCATTGGCATTTGTGGATGTGGATATGAACGACGAACGTAATCAAAACCCTGTACCTCAATTGGAAGATGGTGAGTATATAGATGTTGTCAAGGTGCCCTTGAAGGGCATGCTAGAGGAATTGCGCAAATTGTGCACCAGCGAGGGCTGCGTAATCGATGCCAGATTATACCATTTTGCGGAGGGCATTGAAATTGCACAGAAGATTTGAGCTGAGCAAAGTAGAGGATGGTTCGTTAAGATATATAATGTTTCAAAACGACTACTGACAATTTTCTGATTTTTTATGCTTGTCCTGATATTACTGCTGCAGTCCTGTCTCACTCTCAACTATTCGCACATGTTTTCTTCTTCACACTATGAGTGACGTGTGCTGCTTTTGTCTCGGAGGCAGTTCCGATATCCCTGCGTTTGGCACCCGGGATGATGCTCGTGATTTCGTCAACCCCTGTGCAACTTGTTCCATTGTGGCCCACCGCAAGTGTCTTTTGGACTGGTTCAATTCGATTCCTGAAGATAAGCTCCAAGTGATCGATCGAGCAGAATTACTTGAAACGATAGCTGGCCGTCGCCGGATGGATGAGGATTCAACCAACACGGGAAATATACGGATTGATATAAATTTCAGTACCGAGCTGATTCGAGAATGGTTGTTTCGTTTTGTGGGCATGGATAATAGCTCTGACAGCGATCAAGAGTTGAACGATCAAGACCCTCATAATCAAGTTGGAACCGCTGGAGGCGAACCCTCGCACGAAGAAGATGCTTCGGTGAACCCTTCTGCTGTGAACGAAGATATATCGACTGCTATCACAAACCTTGCTCTTCTTCATCAACATCCACAAAGTGAGACGCAGGCTCCTTCTGATCAAAATGTGACTTATCTTCTTGCACCATGTCCCCAATGCAAAAGCGAAATAGTCGTATCGATGACTGAATCGGCACTTCTTACGTTCGTCAAGTCCACAAAAGCTATGGCCATACGAACGCTCTCGGCAACTGTGCTTTGTCTCGGAGTAACTTCTGCTGTCACAGGAGTAATGTCGCTTGGATATGTGGGACTCACAACTTGTGGGTTGAAGACTTTGGAAGCGTTGGTTCCTGGTCGTATATTGGTTTCAATGTTGCGTCGTCCAGGTGTTCGCATTCCCTTTGGCAATGAGGCATCCGCCTTTTCTGGTCCTTTGGAATCGGCCATCTCCAGCGGAATCATAGATCCGTTCAAGTTTCTGCGCATACCCATACTTCCGGTGGTTCTCTATAGGATGCGTAGCTCGTCCATACTCTCATTGCTGTCTCAAGACAGCAACTGGTTCACAGAAATCATGGTGGCCGCATACATTTCATCTTTGGGAAATAACGAGCTTGTTGGCAATATTGCCCGCCTATTACGCACACTGTTGGTGCAAAAGCTGCCTTATGCTATTATCGCTGCCGTCAAATCATTATCAATTTCGCTGTTGACGGCGCCTACTCTCATATCACTTCTCGTTCCTTTGCGATGGGCTTACGATTTGTTTTTCCGTCTTACCTTCAATCGGCTTCATTTTAACGTTGCTTTGCGTACAAGACCTCGCGAGATTGCTAATAGTATCAGTGAAGCTCGCTTGGAGCGTCTTGAAGACTTGTCTCGAGAAATGGCTCAGCTGTGGGATCAGGCTAGTAAAATGCGTCCTACTTCATCGAGAAATTTGTCCGAATGGTGTGGCTATGTGAAAAGATTAGCACTCTCGGATATTCCTAAGAAATACCTTGTTCTGTGGATGAGTTTTTGGAACGAAGAAACTCGTTCATGTCTCCAACATGACTATCTGTCTGTGTTTCTTTTGAGATCACTGATGTTAAGAGGTATTACTACGGTTGCCTGGCCCTTCCTTGGTGCTAGAGTTGGAAGGGTCATATTCAAGTTAATTGCGTCGAGATTGGCTACTAAACTTGAACCTGAAACCATCATGCTCCTTGCCAATATTATGGGATTATTTGGGATAGCTTTGCTCAAAGATGTTTTCAATCTTTTCATAGCGACCCAAAAGGCTCGCCAATTACGCCAGATGGGGTGGGTTGCATGGAATCGATAACTCATGTATATTTTCTATATCGTACACTCAGCATATACTTCTCATCAATCATCATCATAGTTTTCATCTTCATCTACTTTGCGCATTGGTGGTTCAGGAGTATTCTGCTTCTCCACTGGTGCTTGTTGAGCAGCTGGTGCGGGCGATTGAGTCGCCGAGCGTCCTTTCGCAGCAGTAGGGTTTGTGGTTTGAGGTGCTGATTGAAGAGTGTCGATTGGCTCAGATGTTGCTGTAACTGCCACCGGTGGTTCTGGTGCCGCATTATTGGTCAATTCCACAACTGGTTCTGGTTTCAGTTCCGCAGGTACTTCAGCTGGCGGCACCGATGTAGCCAGCTCCAGTGCCGTCTCGGTTGCAGACGGACCTTGTAAGCCCGGAGAGGCAGTGCCTTTGTCAGGAACGGCTGGCAACCCTGGTCCCACTGATGTCCCATTCTCGTTGGTAGGCGCATTGGATACCTCTGGATTCACCGCAGCGGTGTTTTCAACTTGAGGAACAGCCTCGGGCAGTTTAGTCAAGGGTCTCGCAGTAGGCGTTTGAGTAGTCGCAACTGGTACTGAGGCGGCAGGTTGAGGTACACTTGGTGCAACAGGCTCTGAGACAACTGGCGCTGCTTGGACAGGAGCTTCAGTCGCTACAGGAGGAGCAGCATGGGATGGGACCTGAAGCAGCGGAAGTTGAGGAGCAGGGTTTTGTCCCAATTGCTCTTGAGCAGGTGCCGTAATTGGTGCTTTGGCTTGACTTTGGTCTTTAATTGTTGGTACATTAGGCACTTGGTTTGAA